CAGCATATATTTTAGGATTCATTAGGGTAAAAGTATCTCAAATACCAAATTTTATCATTCTATTTTTTTTCTAAATTGCCCATCCATTGAACTGTTCTTCGTGTTAATTTTGCCGTTTTATTGTCTTCAAATTTTTGTCTACATTTTGATAATTCTGCAAATTTTATTTTGAGTTCTTAGTGTGATACCCTTTCAGATTGAAACATTGTAAGAAAGGAGCTGAGAAAATGTGTTAAAAAACTAAATTTTTCACCTATTTGTGAATGTTTGACTTAAATTCAACAAAGGAATTGAGTCTTTACAACAAACTCTGATTTTCTAGATTTTGTATTCTTCCAACCAAATGTCCAAATATGTTTTTGCAGTAAATGAGAAGAAGTTCAGGTATTTTTTGTCAAGGTCGCAACTAGCATGTATACAAATGCGTCGAGAAATTATTGATGACGTAAAGGTCTTAATAACTAATTGATTTGTTTATATAAAATTGAGTTTTTTACGTTCCTAGTTGTGTGTTGCAATTTTCTCTATTTGTATGAACACTTCATTCTTCGGTATCAGTAGTTTTTAACAATTTTCTTCTTATACACACAACAGATAGAAGTAAGATTAGTAGTGATTGTAAGCGATTATTTTTCATATACACCCTTTATTTCTTTGCAAACACTCCTTTTAATATGGTTCTTTATGCACAATAATAATGCCAAGATCATAAATGTCAACATGTAGGTCAAAAAATATTTTTCATTATTTGTCGCAATGCAAAAAAGTAATGTTTAATTTATATGGGTTTCACAATTATACCAAATTTTCAATTTGTTCTGTTTTATGAATTAGTTGACCATATACAAAAGTGTCTTATGACTAGTCTACACTTTTAAATATGAGTTTGATCATATGTAAACAATTGTCCTAAATCCAAATAAAAAAAAAAAACTATGCAAAATCCAACTTGTTTATGTTAAAAACCGTGACAAATGGTTGTCCCTAATATCAATGATATTTATTGTTTTGTAACGATGCTTGTATTAAGAAACACGTCAAAAAAAGTTTCCTAGTTTTAAGGATTTTTTTCCATCCAGCCATCGTACTAAGCAGAACAAATAATATTATTGATATAAGGGACAGACTTTTGTCATCGTTTTGACCATGTGTGTAAATATTCTTTTTAGACGCACGACAACAGCAAAGAAAATCTGTTAAAAATACTTAAGACTTGAGATACCAGCATCAAAGTAAGTTATTAATTAAATCAAAACCCCATGCTTTTAATTCCTTTGAACAGGTTTAATACAGATCTTGTGTACCTGAAAAAATGCATAATCTGCATCAGCAAACTTATTGATTATGACTACTCTAATTATGGGACACCCTGTAATATATGTTGGAAATCCTTAAAGAATTTACAAATTATGCAGAGACCAATTGGAGTTTGGATAACATTAAAATCTAAATGTGAAGCTATCTAAAATTTGGGAGCAGCAGTTAAAACTTCAACATAAATATTAAGGGATATTTTTTTTTAAATCATAACCTCCCCACCCCCAGCCCTCTTCAAGAATCATTTAAATTTTCTTAATAAATAAAAAAGTGCTGTATCAGCACTTGTTAGTTTTATTTTCTTGGAAAACTAAACATAAAATGTATAAAGTTCTACAATAATCTACAGGCGTCATGTCTAGGAACATGTTGAGAAAATAAAAATTAATCTTTTCATCGAAAAGAAGTAATCTTGTTCAATTATTATTTTCTATTATCTCATCATTCTGGTTTCTCATTGTTCACAAAGATTTTTGCAGATTTTCTAGAATTATTATTGAAAAGACTACATTTGAAGAATTTGAAGAAATTGCGAACAAATTCTAATAAAATTAGAAATTCAATATATTAATGAATAAGAAATAATTGATTTAAGCATTGATTTATTGACAAATTTCTTTTGAGAAACATGTTCCTAACCATCTAATTTGATTACTGTAAAATTTTAACTTTATTTGTCGTTGTCATTATTTAATAATTAAAAAAAACTAATTATGAAACCGTACCCACCCCCAAAGTAGGAGTTTTGACTTTCGAATTTGCTCTCAAACTCTGGATTTATAGATATTTAAAAAGATTGATATGTCTCAAATGAACCCGAAAAAAGCTTTGAACAATACTGCTATACTCAGTTCAACTACCTCACATAGCTGGACACTCACTTTAAGGTTTAATCATAATTTGCTACCTGTTTCCAAAGTTTAAAGAAAATTCTTGACCTTGATTTCCATGATGTCCAATAACTGGCTGAATTCATAAATAATTACACAGGCTATGCTAGCACGTGCAATGGCCCACTCAGACGGGATTCATAAAGCCTCAAACATTAAGATGCAGTAATTTACATGTACAGTGGTTTATAGGAAAAAAAATTTCCTACAGAAGAATAAAAGTTCAAACTTACTCTTAATTTAATGAAATTGAGCCAGGTCTCAAATTCCACAAAACTAGTTTCAATTTAGTGCCGGCTTAAATTTTTAAACATTGAATAAGGTTTTAAGTGGAACCAACAACATTTAAGGTGCAGCCTAAGTTTCAGCCGTGGTTCAAATTCTTTAAAGGAGGCATTGCATCAATGACATTTTTTCAATATCTCAGTAAATAATGGTGCTAGCCGGTTCTACTTTTACATGTATACTCATCTGATGCTCTAGGAACAGGATATGACGTCAAATCTTCAAAGAAGGGGTGGGGGGGGAGAAACTGAAAATGATGGAAAGAAGGAAAAAAATACTATTTATGATCGCAGGAAAGATCAATCCATCACTTTCCTGCTACATGCCCCGCTGATCTTTACTGCGATCAGATACGAGGAAGCTCCGTTATCTCTACCTTCTCCTCTTTGATCCCGAACCTGGAGGTATATCTTACATCTGGGGGTGGAGCTCTCCTGTTATTCATTGGCATGGACTGAGAATCTCCCATGAGCTCCATTAGTAAATGAGCTGTCCTTAGTTCTTCATCAGACTGAGTCTTCTTGCAAGATTTACAAACTCGTACTCCAGATCTAGCCGCCCATGCTCCGTGCTGGAATGCTGTGATCAATCCCCCGCATATTCCTACGAATGATACTCCCATCCAAATAGGCCCTAGGATTTTTACTAAAAAATAATCCCATGGTCCTAATTCCACAAATTCAACAGTTTCTTTCTCCAGTTTGGATAGTGAGTATGATGGACTTCCTGGTAAAGGGTTCAAATCACATTCATCATCTTGCGAGCAGACTGTGTGCACAAGGGTACCTGTCACTTGTTCCTTATAATGCAATAAAGTGCTCACATGCTCAAAATCACGTTCTTCTTGCTCCGTGTACAACCCTACTTCGTCAGCGTGATGGGATAAAACAATATTCCCGTGCTCCTCTGACCTGGGCGGAGCAACTGCTTTCACTTTTGGACCAAATCTGATCCAACTGTCTATCCCTTTTAAAACCCGGTGGAAATTCTCAACGCAGGGCTTTTTGGCCGAGTCCTGCTGCAACATTCTATTGGCCAGGTTTATGAACTTGTACTTTCCCACGGGTTTTATGGGAGCTCCTTGGAAGCATCTGTCCGAATCTATTAACTCCACGATTACTTTTTTACACGTATATTGATAAATAACATCAGATCTGCGGAATAGGAACTTATCTTTTTCCACTCTGTGAGGTGAGGCTAGACCAGGCTCTTTCAAAGCACAGACAACAGATTTCCCTAACGCTTCTTTTCTTCCTTCAATAACATCAAGTTTAAACCTCAGGAATAATGACAGAGACCTGATTTCTGCTGCATAACTTACATCCTGAGCCCTGATCTTCGCTTTCTTGGAATCTTCAGTCATGTCAGGCGTTCTCACTAATACAATGTCTTTCACATTTGTGGAGAATGCTTTATATCCTCCGCAGGGTATGGGCAGTGCATAGCCACCTTATAACTCATAGAAAAGTTCATTCTCAGTGGATGCAAAATAGTCTGAGGCTAGTAATCCTTGCACTTCCCTTATCTCCTTATATGTACAGCTATCCGCAGGCTGGTCCCAAGTATAAGTGTGGAGAGCACCTACACATCCTAGTGATGGACCTCTCGGGTTGCAAGCCAGACGCTCCAATGATGACATAGCTCTGATCTCCGATCCTTCTACCGTAAACATCTCCGCCTCGATCGTAACCACATATTCCATATGTGTTACTATGCCCTTCTGGATCGAGCCGTCAACTAATATATCTGTACCTTGACACCTTATCTCTGAGTTTGAGGTAGTTTGGAATCCAGAAGAGAACTCCATTATATAGGTTCGTCCAGGAACCACTACTGACTCTGTCTTCCGCCCCTGGGGAGTAACAAACTGGCCAGTACGTGCCATTTCAGCGCAAGATTGAGCTGTTATCACTAATGTTTGTTCCTGTTCAGCACTCAAAATAGGTTTTGAATAGCTGAACATGCCGCAATAATACATGTTGCGGTGAGAGGATACCTGGCACTTGTATCCTCTCACCGTCTGTACTCACATGTTGGAGAATTGTAACCTTCTCCGGCACTCCTACTACTTCCGGGTTGAACCTGCAGTGGGCTTCTCGGTCGAACATCTTGATATTCATAGGCTGGGAGCAGTCATAGGCCTCCACCTTGTACTCNTGTAGGTATACAAAATATGTTGATATGATGTAGGTATACAAAATATGTTGATATGATGTAGGTATACAAAATATGTTGATATGATGTAGGTATACAAAATGTGTTGATATGATGTAGGTGTACAAAAACGCGTCTTGAACTGATAAATACAGCCCATTTGTTTATTTTATTTATATTGCAAAATTATTCTTACTAGGTCTAAAAAACTCATTTTTTCGATACTGTCAGGCATATAATTTGCTTATATGCTTCTTTATTAGTGTTTCAAGTATTTTGATACACATCTTATAATATAGCGATTTGATCTAAACAAAGAGTATTTATGAGTTTGATAATAATAAATATTCTCAAATCAGTTATTTTAATGCATCAAAGAAAACTTTAGAATTGATACAAGGTGAATTCAAGCATAGTTTCACCCTTCAGTAAAGGAAATAGATAGTAAATGAGATGCTTTTATATCGTTTATTTTGGAACAGTAATATCATCTTCTGTTTCTACTTCCGGTAAACCATACAGAGATCTAGCCATTCTCTCGAGTGCCATGTTTCTACCCTCGATAGGTCTAAAAACATATATAAATATAAAAACTATTTTATTTTTTCTAATTCCGCTATATATCTGTATTTATATTTTATATATGTAGAGATATATTGATTTGGTTACTCAGCTCAGGAGAACTAAATTGGAATGTGTTTATTTTGCTTTTGTCTAAAATCGTAATTTACGACTAAATGCGGGGAAACTATGTGTAGCCTGGACAACGCTGAGTTTTCATCAAGCTAGTAGTTGAAGGGAGTGACCAGCTATGTAAGGTAGTTGAACTGAGTATGCAGTGTTGTGGAAAACTTTTTTCGGATTCATTTGAGACATATAACACTTTTTAAAGATCTGTAAATCCTGAGTTTGAGCGCAAATTAGACGTTTTCAGAATAAGGTTTTTTAAATTATCATTAATATAAATATTAATTTTAAATAACGACGACATAAAATGTGAAAAAGTTATACAATAAACTACAGACGTCATGTATAGGAACATGTTGAGAAAATTAAAATTAATCTTATCATCGAAAATAAGTAATCTTTTTTAATTATTAGTTTCTATTTTCTCATTATTCTGGTTTCTCATTATTCACAAAGATTTTTGCAGATTTTCTAGAATTATTATTGAAAAGACGACATTTTAAAAATTTGAAGAAATCTGCGAATAAATTCAAAGAAGATAAGAAATTCATTATAATAATGAAAACGAAATAATTGATTCTAGCATTGATGTTTTGACTAAATTTTTTTGAGAAATATGTTCCTAACCATCTAATTAGATTACTGTATAATTTTACTTTATTTTTCGTTGTCGTTTTTAAAAATAAAAAAAAATAATTCTGGAAACGTATCCATCCCCAAATGGGAGTTTTGAACGTCCAATTTGCGCTCAAACTCAGGATTTACAGATATTTAAAAAGTTTAATATGTCTCAAATGAATCCGAAAGAAGTTTTCCACAACACTGCATACTAAGTTCAACTACCTTACAAACCGGTCACTCCCTTTAACAAAGTATGAATTGAATAGCTTTTTTTAGCCTATTTTTTTTTATCAGAAACTGAAATAATCTTTTTTTTGTTTGTTTTTGTACATCACAAAAATAATTATGAGGGCAGTATGACGTAACATAATGCGAATTTAAGAGCTGTTTACAATTCGTTTACGATTTAAATATATTTTTTGTCGTTCCAAATATTTTGCAAAGATGTGAAAATGCAAACTGTAAGTACATTTAAAGGCACTAGAAGGCAGTAGAATCACTTCAAATAGTTTGGACAGTCCCATGTAGGTTTAAAAATGCCTTGTTTAAAAATGATTCGGAAAACCTCAAAAATAAGATAAATTATATTTTAAAAAAAACCTGCAACAAGAAGGACAGAACCTTGTTGCCAATTTCTCCCGACATGTTTCACAGATGGCGTGTCCATCTGAAACAAAAATTCAAGGTTGTGTAGCATAAGGTTAGATACTCGGGATGTACGGAAAATGACGTCTTAAAATCTGTAAATGAGGTCTAAAGAATAGTTATTATTCAGCAAACAATAACAATTTGGTATAAACTTGTCTCAAGCTGAAAAAAAATGTTAATGAATAAATTACGTATACATAAGGGACGTCATTTATAGATTTTGATTGTATTTGCCTTGGAGTCGACATTTCCCATACATTGGAGCGCATCTGAGTATCTATTCTAACTAAATAATCTTGATTAAAATCAAGAAAACTTTGCTAAATGTTGAAATCCAATGCATAAAAAGAATGCTTACCAACACATTGCCAAATTCTAGTTGGTGGTGACATTTCCTAAATCATTTTTGGTTATTAATCTTTTTATTCTTTCGGCATACATATAAACTATATATAAATGTGGCGAAAGATAATCGATGACTATAGGATGTAATATCTGAATGATTTGTTTGAAATTAAATTGATTTTTTACGGTCTAAGTCATATGTTACAATTTTCTGAATTTGTATGAGCGCTACGTTATTCGGTATGAGACGTCTTTAACAATTTTCTTCTTATAGACGCAACAGATAGAAGTAAGATTAGTAGCGATCAAAAGCGCTTTTTTATCGCATTAAGCCTATATCCCCTTTCATTTTTCGCGAACACTCCCTTTAAGTCAAATAATCTAAGTTTGCAATATCAAAGGTTTACATTATCAGGTTGTACAGATATAGGGATTAGAATTTTAAATTTGTGGAAAATAAACTCACCCAAAATGTTTGAAAAATACGATAAGTTAAAGTGAATTGCAAGTAAACAAATTATTGTCTAAAACTTCTTATTTGTATCCGGATAAAATATGCGCTTCTAATGCTCATGCGTGAAATCAAGACTGGAGAGGCGACAATTAATTACAAAGTCGTAGCAGTACTCTCGCATAAATTTGACCTTCTTCTGGTGTCAGCATTTTGCAGTGTATTCTGATTGAATTAACAAAAATGTCAGTATTACACAATTAGTTCTTTATTTCTAAAAATTTGATGATTTCAAATTGCTTTTTGTACTTCAATAAGAACAAAATGTTTTTCTCTCTACAGTAATTGTTGGTTATATTAAATCCATACAATAAAGCCGACTTTCATTTTCAAATTTTGATTTTATACCAATCTTCTAAACATGAGAGACACGTAAACATGTAAACAAAGTGAAGTTGGCAATCAAAAACTTCTTTTAGTTTGAAGTATTATTTATAAACAGTCGTCTGCATTGCATTGATATAATCGTGGACAAAAATATCAATTTACTTCACCTCGAAGCAGATCGGGCATTCAAACTCTGATTTCCACACTGATTTCTCGTATGCTTTCTCATCAAGGGATCGCTCACTAAGATCAAGATTAATTAAAGAGATTGCTCGTTAAACCTTTATCGATCATCAAGGATATCGAAGATATCTATATTTATATTCAAGGTTAAAATTGAGTGCCTGGAAGCTCAAGTATACTTTGGCATAGTATTAAATAACATCTTTAGTCTTTTTAGATAACCTTTGTGTTTAAATAAGGCTTTGAAAATTTGTTTTTCTTGAAAAATATTTTTTTAACCTGCTGCACATTTTTTGAAGCAACTCCAGCATTTTGTTCAACGCGTAGATAGAATTTTCATGATCTTTCTAAAAATAAGTTCTTTATTATCTCAAGTCAATTAAGAGTTGCGGATTTTTACCTCAATATTCTCCATTTCGTTGATTTTAGCAGTATGCACTTCTTCCAGCTTATTTACGAGGTCACGCTGTTCTGCTTCCTTTTTCTGCTCAACCTGCATGGCACAAAACAATGTTTAAAAAAACAAAAGAAAAAAGTAAAAAAAAATATTTGATCAATTTTTTTTGTTTACATCTGCAAAAATTAATTAATAATAACTAAGTATAGTTTAAAACAATTTGTATTAATATTTTCCTGTGTCTCCTTATGGCTGGGACCAGATTTAATGAATTGCAAGACATAGCTGAGCTGAGTAGACTCATTTCAACTATTTCTCCTTAGTATGAAAATGTGCAAGAGAAGCGGTTCAGCTATGTCTACGTGGTTCAGCTTCTTGTTGTATTCATTAAATCTAGCTTCTGACCTCTTCTATTTTTGCTTTAATCTCCTCCCGCCACTTAGTCTCAATCTGACTTTTGATATGTTCGAATGAAAAGGTTGGAACAATCTAAGAAAAAAAGCTAGGATTATTTAGTTTTGATGGGAGGGGTTGAACATCAAGGCATATTAAAAAAATATAAATTCGCGTACAAACTTAAAAATAAACAAGCAGAGGATCTAAAAATGTTGATAATGCTCATAACATCAATAATCATGGTTTTGTATGCTATGTGCATTGTGCAATGTGTATTTGTTTTTAGTTTTACAGAGGTCGAATTCTAAAAGTTTGAGGCGCAGCTTAAATTTAATCCGCGGCTCAAATATACTTGTGTCCACTTAAAATTGAATTCAATGTTTCAAGATTTTAGCCGCGCTTAATTGAAACCGGTTTTTGGCGGTTTTAAAACGCGGCTCAAATCATTCAATTCGGACTCAGGATCTTTTTATTTCATTGCAAAATTTAATTGAGAAAAATATTAAATTTATTATTAACAGATTAAGATAATCTGTTGCTTATCTAAATTTTATTTAAAAGTTGCAAACTGACCTTGACATCAGTCTGGAGTTCTAAGTAACCATTACTGTGTTCCTCATACAACACATTCGTATTCGCCTCAACATTACAATTCTTCTCCAAACTTTTCTAAGAAATTTATTTTTATTTTTAGAACTTTTGGCAATTATTCTCCTTTTCACCTGTTTATTAGGCCTTGAGATCCAGTTCTGTTTTCTGTGCTTTATCATATCCATTACTTAAAATATTATTATGGGTTATGTATGATGTAAATATTATTATGGGTTATGTATGATGTAAATATTATTATGGGTTATGTATGATGTAAATATTATTATGGGTTATGTATGATGTAAATAAATGTATCTTTAAATTAAAATTTTTCCTGTGATCCAAAATACTTTTTGTAAAAGAATAATTTAAAAACTCTACTTATCTTCTGAAAGAGTAAATATTTTTAAAACATAACATTTTTAAATATAATTTTCAGAATTTTCCAGCAACCTTTGGAAAAATAAAATGTATAGAACTTTAATTAGCATTAACTATGAGATCCCTCCTCTAAATATCTCTTATTATCCTGGCTTCAAATATCTCTTATTATCTTGGCTTCAAATATCTCTTATTATCCTGGCTTCAAATATCTCTTATTATCCTGGCTTCAAGAAATATCTCTTATTATCCCGGCTTCAAATATCTCTTATTATCCTGGCTTCAAATATCTCTCTTATTATCCCGGCTTCAAATATCTCTTATTATCCTGGCTTCAAATATCTCTTATTATCATGGCTTCAAATATCTCTTTATATCCTGGCTTCAAATATCTCTTATTATACTGGCTTCAAATATCTCTCTTATTACCCTGGTTTTAAATATCTCTTATTATCCTGGCTTCAAATATCTCTTATTATCCTGGCTTCAAATATCTCTTATTATCCTGGCTTCAAATATCTCTTATTATACTGGCTTCAAATATCTCTTTTATTACCCTGGTTTTAAATATCTCTTATTATTATCCTGGCTTCAAATATTTCTTATTATCCTGGCTTCAAATATCTTTATTATACTGGCTTTAAATATCTCTTTTATTACCCTGGTTTTAAATATCTCTTATTATCCTGGCTTCAAATATCTCTTATTATCCTGGCTTCAAATATCTTTATTATACCTATTATCCTACCTTCAAAATCCCTAGTTATTTATCCCACCTTCAAATATCACTTCAAACAATCTTTAGCACTCTGCCTCCAAACTTTCTTTATTATCCCGCCTTCAAATATCTCTTTTCGTCCCACCGCCGCCCGCCTTTAAATATCGTTTTATTATCCCGCCTTCAAATATCTTCTTAATTTCCCGCCTCCAAATATCTATTTCAGGGGATATTAGTTTCAAAACTAACACATGGCCCATTTCTAACACTGAGTGCTAGAAAATGGGCCAAATCTACAAAAATATCGTTTTTCAAGAGTATATATCTTTAAAACCAAGACGAGAAGAACAAAATTACACCATATATTTATAAAAATGGCTAAAATTATATATTGAACCAATAAATGTCAATTTCAAACTAATAATAAGGTATGAGAATTAGTGTTTGATGATTCTTGATTTCATTTTCGAGTTTCAGCTCATGTCATGTTTTCGGAACATATCCTGGTTTTGAGACAATTACCGGAATTCACATCAATGTTAATTTTCAAGTATAATTATGCACTTATGAAACAAAACAATATTATTTGATAGGGTAAAATATAAACAAATACTCTGAATATGGGCCGGGATGAAAAAACCCAGTCTTTCAATTTGTGCCCATTTCTAACACTCAGTGTTAGAAATGGGCCAAGTGTTAGTTTTGGAACTATTGTCCCCTGTATTTAATATCCCGTCTCCAAAAATTCCTTTATTTCATACCTAACGATCGTTTAGTTTGTCTGGCCCATTCCTCTGCCTCTTTCTTAGCGGATATAGTTAACCTGGGAATTTTAAACAAATAAAATAAAGTTAAAAAAAATCAGTTTATCAGTTTATCAGTTTATCAGTTTATCAGTTTATCAGTTTATCAGTTCATCAGTTCATCAGTTTATCAGTTTATCAGTTTATCAGTTTATCAGTTTATCAGTTTATCAGTTTTTCTTGAATCAAAATTGAAGAGTATAAAAGAACTGAACTAAAAACTACAGCTCAGTTGAAGTACCGTGGACTGCCTATAAACCAGATATTATTCAGTTTAACCCTGCAGAACTTTGGAAACATCGAAAGAATTTTAAGATGATATTTAGGTTTTGTATAAAATTGTATTAAATGATTAAATGATTTAATACTGTTCCCGCATTATTCATGGATATTTTTTTATTGTTAAAACTACTGGGATTTTGGTATGGTGGTAACAAAACCATCGGAAAATTTTTAAGATGACATTTTATAAATTCTTTCAATTTCTCCGATGTTTTAGGTTAATCTGTAGCAAGATGTTTATGTGACAGTACTCCAAATAAATCATCTCTTTTAGAGAAATACATGTATTATTCATTTACCGTCCATATATCCTCCTTTGAAGTACTGTACTTCTCCATCCTTTCCCAATAGTTTTCTTCAGATCTGCTTCATTGTCTGAAATCAGTTTGGTAGTTTGGCTAATTAACTAAATGTACAGGGTGTCCCAATAAAAAAGGGAATCAACCCTATTCAGGCTGACGTCTGGTTTACCCAAAATAGTCTGTGGGGGGAGTCCCCTCTCTATTTCCTTATTGTGATGCAAATCTATAACATTTGATACATTTTTAGAAAGCCTTTGAGCTCTCCCATTAGTTACGAGACCATTAACTATTAGTGAAGTTGTTTTAGAAGGATCTTGTCATAACAAAACTTGATTGTACCCATGAAAAAACAATATTCAATTAAAGCTTATTTTTTTTTGGTACAGGGTGACATGAAAATCTAAAAAAACTTTGGTAATTCATAATTATTTAATTATCTTGAAAACTTTACTTTTCATGTTTTAGTTATTTAGATCTTTAAAAGAAGTTTCCAAAAATGTCTGTACATTTGTTTAGTAAAAAATTGACAATTTTAGATTCAAAACTAAATTAAAAGGTGTTCTTTTGGTTTTCTTCCGAATTTTAAATCTTGTTTTGGGGGTTTTTTTAAATTGAAAATTTAAAAAAACCCAATTTTGAAGTTACGTCAAATATAAAATATGTTTTGAAAACAGAGAATCCTAAGGAAAGCGCAGGAAAAGACAGGACGACATTTAGTTTAAGAATAAAGGCACTTAAAAAACCTCACCCGGTCAAAATTGACCTTCTCGTCACTGCAAAAAATTGCAAATTTTTCCAAATTTCAAATATCTATTGTAATTTAAAGTTATAAGGCAAAAATGTGCAAAAACAAAAAGTGCGCGAAATATGATAAATCATAAATTTAAATTTTAAAATGCAAATATATATGCAAGATTTCCAAAATTAAATTTTTATTCAAGGACAACCGAAAATGTTCAAATTCTCTTTAGAGGCATCTGTGCAAAAAAACTATGCCAAATTTCTCCGCAAAAAGAGTGCACTCTGTTCACTTTTGTTTAAGGCTTTCAAATGAGCTATAAAAAGTCTAAATCCAATGACCGGAAGTTGGTCTAAATATAGATTTAGTCAAGTGAAGGTAAAATAAGGAATAAGGTATAAGAACCCTCCTTTGAGGCTGAAGTTAGAAAAGTAAAAAAAAATTGAACAGCCTGAGACCAACACTTTTTTCTAAAAACGTCCCTGGAAATAGTGTTAAGAGACGACTTAAAAATCGCCATCACTTTCCGATAGTTGTTAAATGACAATGAGCTTTCCAAAATGTGTTCTGCCTTCTTTGTATCTTCAAAATTGATGGAGATATCAACGAACGATGTTGTGTTGCTTTTTAGTAAATTGAAAGCTCTTCGTCAATTTCGAAGGTGCACACAGAAATAACCACAGTTTAGAGTTTCTAAGACTAGGACTTAATTAGAACTACGACATTGGGTTGCTTAGATATATGAGAAAGTCAGATTTTTTGTCAAAGATTCAATTCTTTTGTTCAGCCATTTTGCTTTTTTTGTAAAATAAATAGAAAAAAAAGTTAAGCCAAATATAGCATGGAGGATGAATAAAGATCAATTTACTTTCAGGTTCTGGATGATGTGCTAATTCTTCTTGTAGTAGAAGAAATTCCTTCCTCAGACCGTACACCTCAAGCTCAATCTCAATCTCGAGACTGTAAAAAAAACATTTTACGAATTTGCCAAATATTTTTGGAAATTACGAACATTTGATAAATGAATTTGAATTCACAATTTCGAAAAGAATGTTCAAGTTTCAAAAATGTTTGTAAATTATAAATGTTTGGTGGTTCAAATTCATGCTTGCTCAAACTTACTTGCGAAGCTCAACTCTTTTTGACTCTAACAGCTTTTCCTTCTGCTCAATTTTAGAGGAGAGCCCTTCCAGCTCAACTACCAGTTCACTTTTCTTTAAACAAAAATGACTCTTTTTGACTTAACATTTAAACATTCTCAAATTTTGTTTGAATTTTTTGTTGTCTTACCTTTTTGTTTTTTCTCTCTCCCAGTTCTAAACAAAAAAAAAATATAGTATTTTTTTAATTTAACATGAATAATGAATGTTTTACCTCTACTCTTTAATAGTTCCTCCTCTGACACCTGGGGTAAAAACTCCTTAACAAGTTTGATTTAATTTTTTTTAAAAATATTTTAAAATGTTAAGTTTTTGTAAATGCTGGATGTACAAATGTCTTATGATTGGGTTCAAATAATTATTTAAGATTTTACATTCACATACTTTATTTTTGGATTTTTGGATTTACCGAGGGGAGGAAGGCAACACACTAGAGATGGGCATTGCTTTTGTAAACAAACGACATTAAAGTCTGGAAAGTCCTAAAACAAACTGTTTTGGATTTTAATAATTTTTGTTATTTATTTTGTTAAACACATCTTTTACTCAAATAATATATTATACTTTGATATCGGAGTTTGATATCAATTTTACTATAACATGGGTAGGTATCAAACAACTTTTAAACTATTTTAAACAATTAACTCACTGTCATATTTCGTGAGATACCCTGTATTCAATTGGTATGATTATAATCACTTGTTCGGTAATTTGTTCCTCTCTCCCATTTCTTAAGTATTAGAAGAATCCAGTAAAGGGACTACTAGTGAAAAAATAAAGGGGTATTGGTTGATTCCATCACTATTTAGATATGTACCCGTTTCAATGCTATCTGATGTTTCTTTAAAAATTTAAAAAAAAATTGAATATTGACGCCTTCCCCCCTGCTAATCCAGTTTTTGCCCCTATTACTTACGGATTCAAAACTCTCTTCTTGCCGTAATCTTAATATAGTCAGCTTTGGTTTCACAGAGTCGTCCAGAGCTTCAGTTACATCTTCAGAAGGTTCTTTACTAGAGTCATCTTCAGGGGGACTTCCTTCAGACATCTCTTCAGTTAGTTTCTCAGAGTTTATTTCTATTTAAAAGTGCATTTAAAGAACATTTTAATAGATAAAACTTAAAGGGACAGTCAGCGTATTTTCAATTGACCCTCTATGCTCGATTTCCAAAGGTGAGTTTGAAACCTATTTCTGATCAATAATGTAGAAGATATTATCGTATTTACAAGTTTCAAAGTATTTAATGTATTTATCTAATTCAAATTTGATCAGACAAAGTTTTTAAGGAAACCGTTGTAAATGGGGCATTGCCATCTTGGCATGGAGGGTCATTTGAAATTACGTTTAATTTCCCTTTACAGGGAGTATTTTTATGGTCTGATAGTTAATTTTAAAAAAAATTTATTCCTGTTTCAAGGATTTTTGATAATGAAGACGACATTTTCATATTTTCCAGGAATGTTTGAAAATCCAGCAATAGCGAAATATTATTTTAAAAACATAGTCAACAACAATATGAAATATCAACTATATACGAATGCGTCGAACAATAATCAATGATTATAGGTTGTAATATCTGATGTTCGTTTGGAAAAAAATGGAATTTTTTTACGATCCGAGTTAAACATGCAACTTTCTGAAGTTGAGTAGTTTTTAACAATTTTCTCCTTATAGACGCAACAGATAAAGGTAAGATTAGTTGCGATCAAAAGCGCTTATTTTTAGCCATAAGCCTATACCCGCTTTCATTTTTAGCAAACACTCCCTTTAAAGGAATTATTAACCTATTTGAAAATACCAATCATATCCCAAATTTTGGAGTTAAAGAAACAGTTTTTTTTTCAAGTATTTTCAAGTACGGAAACATTATCTTTAAATAACTAGGATAGGTGGCTTATAGGTTTGTTCACATATACATGGTTACTCATATAAGATATGACCTCAGAGACAATTCTGATACGGAATTTATTCAGACCTATGTATTATGTTTCCTTATAATAGCTCCCTTAGCTTTCTTTGCTAAAGCAATTATTGCAAATATTGTAGACTTTATTTAAGACCAAACAACAGGTTTAATTCTGAAAACTTCAGAATCAATGAGTTTTGGGCCATCATTAAGTTCTTGTTCTTTGTACGCAACCCCTGAGACAACAACTTTAAAAAGAGTATTATATTGTAATTAAAACCAAGAAGCAGAAACCCAGTTTCATGAACGGGGTCAGGCAGTTTTGTAGAAACAATAGTTTTTGTGTAGTTTCTTTACAATCCCTTTTTGTTTTCTGGCTTCTTAAAATAAAATCTACGTAAATGTTTAGAGTAGACCCCAAAAAGACTCTCTTTAATTTCCGGCTCTGTACATTTATGTTGTTAAATTAAATACATTTGCAGTACATTGAATAATTGCATGTTATTTATGTATATATAAATTGCAGTATACATAATGTTAATAATAGCATATCATGTCTGATACACATATATGTTGTTAGATTAAATACAATTGCAGTACATAGTATAATTGCATGTTATTTATGTATATATAAACTGCAGTACACATAATGTTAATAATAGCATATCATGTCTGATACACATATATGTTGTTAAATTAAATGCAATTGCAGTAAATTGTATAATTGTATAGAGGACGTGAGTCAGACTCTAATAAAAACGCATAAATAACTTCCAGTATATATATTTCTTATAACTTATTACTAGAGGGTTCAGAACTAGAGTCAATATCAATATCACACGTGTAGACTGTAGATGATTTATCAGTACTATGCCCCGTATCCGTTCTATCTCATTCTGTTGAATCTTGTGGAACTAGTTTAACACGGCCAGGCATCGTCTTCCACAATTGCATGTTATTTATGTACATATAAACTGCAGTACACATAATGTTAATAATAGAATATCACGTCTGATACACATTTATGTTGTTCGAATAAATACATTTGCAGTACATTGCATAATTGTATATTATGTATGTATATATAAACTGCAGTACCTGTACACATATAATGTTAATAATAGAATATCATGTCTGATACACATATATGTTTTTAGATTAAATACATTTGCAGTACATTGTATAATTGGATGTTTTTATGTATATATAAACTGCAGTACACATAATGTTAATAATAGCATATCATGTCTGATACACATATATGTTGTTAGATTAAATACAATTGCAGTACATTGTATAATTGCAGGTTATTTATGTATATATAAACTGCATGCAGTACACCTAATGTTAATAATAGAATATCATGTCTGATACACATATATGTTGTTAGATTAAATACAATTGCAGTACATTGTATACTTGCATGTTATTTATGTATATATAAACTGCATGCAGTACACCTAATGTTAATAATAGAATATCATGTCTGATCCGATTATTTGCTGACTCTTCAATTATGAATTATCTTTGTGTTTAGTTATAATTTGGCAGTGAGTACTTTGTAACAAAGCAAACAAGTGAAATCAAAGTTAATGAGAACTCACAATATTTCTAGAAATATTACGTTTGCTTATTTATCTTTGTTATTGAATTTTAACTGTAATTTGAATCATTTCTTATTGTACATCTTTGCCTGAGTATAAATGAAAGAAATATATGAAAATTAAAAATGTTTAATGTCTTCAAAAAAAAAACTGCTAATTGTATTTTTGTATAGGTACCTTTTGTGATTTTCAAAAAAGCATATATAACATGTTAGATAGATAGATAGATAGATATTTATCAATAAAGTATATAATTTCACATAGATATATTCTTTAAACTAATACTTTAATGACGGGATTGTTGCTGAGATAAAATATTTCAAGGATACCTTAGTGATTTGATGAATACAGGTCGCTTAAAATAACATTAACAGTCACTTTATAAACGTATATATGAATAACACCAACAGTCACTTTATAAACGTATATATGAATAACAGTCACTTTATAAACTTATATATGAATAACATCAACAGTCACTTTATAAACGTATATATGAATAACACCAACAGCCGCTTTAAAAACGTATGTATGAATAACACCAACAGCCACTTTATAAACGTATATATGAATAACACCAACAGTCACTTTATAATCGAATATATGAATAACACCAACAGCCACTTTATAAACGTATATATGAATAACATCAACAGCCACTTTATAAACGTATATATGAATAACACCAACAGCCGCTTTATAAACGTATATATGAATAACACCAACAGTCACTTTATAAACGAATATATGAATAACACCAACAGCCGCTTTATACACGTATATATGAATAACATTAACAGTCACTTTATAAACGTATATATGAATAACACCAACAGCCACTTTATAAACGTATATATGAATAACACCAACAGCCACTATATAAACGTATATTGAAATAACGTTGACAATTGACAAACACGTTTGTTTATGTTAAACTAATAATTTCAACGTCAATGTAAATATTCTAATTTTTGAAAGTTTACAAAAGATTTAAAAATTCGAATGTTATTAAATTTTTTTTAAAGTATTATAATAGCAAAGATAATAAGAATTAGATTGTTGTTCCTGAGTATTTAAAGATATGTTTGCTGTATTGCTTTACCGGGTCAAAAATGCAAGTGCTAGAGAGGAGAATACAAGGGGATGGGGGGGGGGTAGAGAGTATGGAAGGGGGGGGGATGAAAGAAAGGTAAGAGAAGGGGGAGAGAGAAAAATAAAAGGGGGATCCGAACGTAGAGAGAATGCTGGTGGGGAAGAGAGAGAGCATGAGGAGGGGGGGAGATACCATCATAGACAAGGATACTATAGCAACCAAACCATAAACAGAGAGAATCATAGATTACTCTGATAGATCATATAGATAGATATGATCAGAGATTACTCTGATAGGACATAATTCTACAAAAGATTTTATTTGAATGGTTTCTAGTGCTGTGTATTTTAATTAAGTTCATAAAAATAATCAATTTCTTATTTAATACAGATAACTGACATTGTTAAATTCAGACACGCCGAATTTAAAAATGAATTTCATATTGATCGAAGAAAATAATTTGATAAAGATATCCTTGTTTGTTTAACACAGAGATTGTTTTAATTTTATGACAAAAAAATTTTCACATTTAATCTTACAATGCATCTTATATTCCAAAAAATGTACTTTATTTGAACTTTTATAATTTTATTCTTAATGTTTTAATTAAAAATAAGATTTAATTCGATATTTACAAACATTTTGTTTATTTTCCAGAAATTGTCAAATTTTACCAATATTTAGATTTGAATTTTCTAACCGATTGTTTAGCTTGATTCTCAAATCTGATATAATTCAACTTGTACCTTATACTATTAAGTAGTGCAATTAACAAAATAAAGATAATGAATATATATATATATATATATATATATATATTTATTTATATATATATATTGAAGATAAGGCAATGAGAATATTTCTTAGGCAGTTCTTCATCAACAGCTAATCTTATATAATCAAAGTTATCCAAATCTACAAGATTTGTTGTGAAAATATTATTTTTTGTTTTTTTGCTCTAAGATCACTAATGCCAATATAATGGATGATGGAGTATTAACTGATCTGAAAAAGAGCAGATCTTTTGTTATTCATCGAGATAAAACAGATCAGGAATTCTTATCAAAAGTACTTTTTATACAATTTTGCTGAGTTATTCCTTAACTTTTATTTTTATTCCTTTTTATTCCTTAATTTGTTTTTATTCTGCAGATTATGGATTTTTTACGATGCTACCATTTCCAACATTTAATAAATATGAAAAATTAGAAACAAAAAACTATTTCAAAAGTTTTTTATCCTCATAAACTTTTATAAAGATATAGAAAACGTTTTTTAACATTTTCATTTGTCACTTCCCAAAAAAATGTTAAAGAAATCTTAGGGTGGAGATGCATGCGCCTTTAATGACGACCTGAAACTCTTTAACTTTGACGCTTCCAAGTTGTAATTTGGCTTTCTGTTTTTTATTATTTCGAAATGGCAAATGAAAGATATTCCATAAGTCTTTTCTGAAGTCTTTTTTGTTGTAAATAAGCCTGTATCTCATCTAACACTAACCAACATACACAAAACAAAATATTAAAAAGAACATGATAAAAATGTGAAGGAAGAGGTTTCTGTTTTTCAAAGATTTGTTCGGACCTGCCAGACAGGAGTTATTGGAAGCTTAGAGAAATTTTTTATTTGGTAGGGTTTGACATGACGTTTAAAGAGACTTATTAGACCCCAGGCGGATATAACGGTGTGCTCCTTATCCCAGCAAGCTGTAACTTTCGATCACAATTTGACCCATTAAACATTTTCTTTCTTTTCTCTTTTGTACTTATTTGTCCGCATGTGCGTGTTTTAAATAAAAAAACTTCGAAAGTTTATAGATTTTGGAATTTTATAGCCCATCACACATCACATATAGGAATACATAGTAAGAGTGCATGAATTGACGTCTTAAAATTTAATTAAGAATTTATGACAGTTGTAATGCTTCCTAATTGGTCTCTACAAAAAGAAATCTGCTAAGGGTTCAAAGGGTTGAATACGATTTGTGAAAATAGACCCAAATTTCATTGTAGAGTCATAAGTTTTTTGATTATTTTTTAGAAACTGCTATTTATTTTTTATTTAAGTTAATTAATATGATAAACTCGTTTTTCCGCAGCATTTGATCTTAAATATGTTGAGAATACGACATTATAAAAACTCTTGCTTTGTATTCATATATCTGGGATTCACTGTATACCAAAACACAATTTAATTCAAATAGAAAACCCCGAACGCCTTTCGCCCTGTAGGTTAGATCAGGGTGGGACATAGATTTAAGTTATAGATTCATAGAGTTACATGTTGGATTTACAACGGTAGCCTTTAAACCTTTGTATGAGTAACAATATATCGTCTTTTAACAATATTCACTTACTGTTTTAAATTGTTGTTTCTCATTAAAAGTAAATTTGCACGCAGATAAAGAGAGCAGAATTGTCAGGATTAATTGTCAGAGAAAAAAATAGAGGAGCACTCGAAATTACGTCTACAGTTCCTTTAAAAATATTAAAAAACAAAGACGACCAGTTGAAAGACGACATTGAGCTTGACTGATACTAAATTCCTCAGAATATACATACTGTATACAATAATACAGTATATATATTCTGAGCTAAATTCTATGATTCGAGATTATTTTTGTTTAATGAATCCCGAAAAACAAACATAAGTCAAGGTTGAAGAGTCACAACTTCTTATTACTAAATAATAATTTTATGTCCTCGTAACTTTAATTTAATTTTATTTGTAATGATTATAATTTTGATCTAAAGCACACATGCTGGCATGCTACAGTTAAACCCTAAATAAGCCATAAATAAAAAGAATTCATCAAATGTCGTATTCTCCACTTTCTGATAAAGGAATGTTGCAGATAATTAGGTTTTTAATTAAATGATTATATAGAGCTATTTAAAACTGTTTCCGCATAATCATGACATGCTTATTTATTTTCGCATATACTGAGTTTTACGAAAAAAAGTATAAAACCCATTGAAAAATTGTTAAGATGACTTTTGATAAATTCTTTCGATGCATGGTTCATTTAGGGTTTAACTGTTTATATATATGCGAAGAAAAATAAACCTTTAAACAATGAACACTCAGTTTTATATGTTTCGATAATTTTACTGTTTTGAAGAAAAAACAATAATTGTTTTTGCATTCCGTATTCCAAATTTAACATGCGCCAATTCTCCCTTCCACATTTTGCATTTCGCATTTCATTTTCCGCATTACTCATGCCACATTCCACATTCTGCATTACACATACACAAAGATTAAGCTTGCTATGAAATGTAGCACCAATTTTTAAGACAGGGTCGACATAGCTTTAAGTGTCGCAAACCATTCGGCTTTGGTTTTACCGCTCTAACTCACTTTTTCTTTTTTTGTAGCCCTAAACATGTAATTTATAAGTTTTAAAGCACTAGATTTTAGTTTTTGTCTTTAAAAAGTAATTGGCAAAATTCTCAACTTAATCTGTTTTATTATAAGGTATGGGGAACTTGTTGCAACCCATCCGTGGAAAGCAATTCTTGTTTGTTTTCTGGCGACACTGCTCGGGGGACTAGGCCTTCTTAGGTAACAAACATTGAGTCAAAAATATGTAAAAAGATAATTAGAAAAAAAATTTAAGTTTTAATAGAATTTATTAGCAAACATAATATTTTCTTGGCTGAAGTTTTAACAAAAAATGTTTTAATTTTTTTTTAACGATAATAACTACTTTGCACTTAAATGCATATTTTCATGCAAGCAAAAACATTAATATTTAATTTTTCAATAACGTTTTAAATTGTTTAATTTTTTTTTTTTGGAATACAAATTTTACCGTCCGCAGAAATCACAAATTATTGAAAATTAAATGAAACCCATAAATTTTTTTACTTTTTTTGGGTAAAAAAAACTTAATTTTGTAAAACCTTCTCGTATATATATTTACCTGCTAAACGACTGTCTGCTAGAACAGTTGTGAACTGTACATAGTACAATGCACTGGCCTGTGTACACTGCACAACTAACTGTACACTGTACATTGTATACTTCACTGTTTACTGTACACTGTACATTGTATACTGCACGCACTGTTAAATGTTCACTGTACATTGTATACTGCATGCACTATTAACTGTACACTGTACTGGTAAAAAAGTGGAAAACATATTTTACAAACAATATAAATGTTATGCAACCTCTCAATGGAAATAGCGTGAAAACCTGAAACCCTAATTTTATACAATTCTAAAATATTTTTAATCTTCTACTGCATATTAATTATGTTATAATCTCGTAAATTCTACGATATATTCCTTGTAAAAATTAAATGTAATAACATGTAATATAATGTAATAATGTTTTAACATAACATATCGGAAATATAAATATTTAGACCTTAAGAAATAAAAAAGTAATCCCGATGCACTTTGCAAACAAAACCTAGTTTTAAAATATCTTCTCTACAACAATTTTAGCCAAACTTTAATTCTTCTTTTGATTTTTTGGAAGACAAAAAAACTTTTTGACTTATCAAACAATTCTTAATAGTTAAGCACAGTTTAATTGGTTAAGGTTCCATGAGGAAGGAGATGCTGCATCTATTGTTATTCCAACAAATTCAGAATTTAGGAGAAATATTGATTTTCTAGATAATAACTTCCCTAGGTAGGTGTTCAATATATTACAATATATTTATGTATTTAAATATTTCATGATTTGAACTATCTGACGTAAGCACTATAAAACATTGGAATAAACTATTAGACTCAATAAATAGTCGTTTAGGCACAGAAATTGTAAAGTATGAAAACAGACCTATTTTACTTAACACATAATTTAATAAGATACTACGTAAGATACTTGTAACACAGTTAAAAAACAAAAGTTTCTTGCTCTCACTGTACTCTTATTCTTACTTTTATTATTTAATTAAAATGTCTATTAAAATGCACATAGAAGATAGAAAACTGGAAGGTCTGGCCTAAATACATTGCATTTTATAGAGAAATTCGAGTTCACAGTGTAGTTTATGTAGCAGACAATGTTCTCACACCCTCAGGTATTTTTCAATCTTGTTTTTACTTCACGCGTTTTTTTCTTCTTTTCCATTTAATCAAAAACAACTGTTGTTTATGTCTTATCAAAACTATAATTTAGTCATACAGTATATTTACAAGCAACGAAAGGATCTTCAAAACCTAGAGACTGACAAAAAGACATTTCAGGTAAAAAATATTTTTTCACAAATTTATGCTTGCATAACAAACTGCCTTATATTAATATTAGTTCCTTATACATTCTCTAAGTTGGTCATAACTTAATGTTTGATATCATGCAATAATCCCATAGATAAAGATAGATTGTGCATAAGACGACATTTTTCATCTTGAAAGATATAAATGTACAGAGATGTTTTAAAGATATTCCTATTATATAGATTAACTAGGTCGGTTGTGAACACTGGCTGTTCTTATTTCATTGAGTACTGGTTGTGTACATGAGTTCTGTAGAGAGAAATTTAAGTTAGTTTAGTCCTTCTCATGTTATCGTCAATATGATATATTGCTCATAATTGGATATTCTCAAAATAAAATTCACTTCTGAGTGGTTTAATAATTATGAAATCCATTAAAACACCAAACCACCCCGCTTATCATTGAAGTACACTTTGACCCCTAGAAGTATGAGTTCGCGGACTGTACAATTCTTGATGATTTTGCGTACATAAGCTATCTATGTTTATTTATTTATCTATGAATAATCCCTATAACTTGAGTTCCACAGAGGACTCTTTTGAATTTTACTCAAAATCTGCTTCATCTCTTGATTTTGGATATCCGCAATTTTGTTTCCTCTAATTGGTTGAATGCAAAATTACCTGACTTCTGATTGGTTGAATGCAAAATTACCTGACTTCTGATTGGCTGCTCGTATTCCACAAACAACACTCCTCAGGGGATCAAAAATTCCTAGCGTAAAATAAGAAAGAAGCAATAAAATGTGAAAACAAATTTATATTTTAGGATATGTGCATCAGAGTTCCTATTCTAAAGTTTCCAGAAAACGGATTGGGTGGTTCAGACTCAGGAAAGAAAAGTACGGTAAGAAAACTAAAAACAACAATGAGATGAAACTAAAATTATTATTTATCCAAAACGAGAAAAGTATGCACTGTTAAAATTTCCCAATGTCCTTTAGCAGAGAGCTTTTGAAAATAATAAAACCCTGCTTTGAGAAATATCTAGAAATACATTATGCAGTGTGTATCCGAACCTCCCAGAGGAAGGGTGTCAGCAGAGCTTTCTAAGCCTGTTAAGAGAAAGGGCGCTATGTGCGTTGTACTTGTATAGAAGTCTAGATAGCAAGGACAATTCTCTTCTCTTCTCTCTCCACAACTGAGTAGAAAGCGTGACTCATCCCGAACAAGATAAAGTAATAAAGATGAATACAGAAGCAATCCAGAAACTCAAAACATTAGGGATGAAGTACATGCTGATACAGGTTTTAAGGGGGAACAGAGCCTTCAATAGACTTTAAATCAAATACCATAAACTGGTTTTTCACCCTCCTCACAATGGAAACTGGATTACTCATGGCAGACCTCTGACAATGATAGGCAAAAGACACACTCCCCGTGTTTTAAAGCGATGGGACAGCATGCTTAGCGGGTTATTTTTTCTTTAAAAATCTGTCCACGTGGGAATACACGTTAAAAGTGAGGACTATGGTATTTCTGATACCTGTTACCCTTACACCCCCATCCTCATCCGCCTACCTCCTAAATTCCAACCTTATCCTACTTCACGAGCAGATATTGTGGAACTCAGAAACTGCTTTGCTGTGGAATCTTAATCAAAACTTTCTGAGAGAGATCATCATTGGTTTCATTGGGTGTTCCTTTCCTAGGGGGTACACCTAAATCACCTTGAACCTAGCCGAATGCAGTTAAGGCTAGGAGGTCTTTTAATTTCTTTCTAAATTACTGCAAGACACTGATACATGTAATGCAGCTGACAAAGGGAAGTTCTCATTACAACAATGTCAGCAATAAACCTGCATAGATGGCCGATATCAACAACAACTGAAATAAATACAGAAACTCAAGAGCTGATATTAAAATACTACAAATTGCCTGATCAGCATCTCAAAACTGCATATTAACCCTCCTGGGGGGCGGGGGTATGCAGCTAATTGAACGAGCATTACAGGACAGCCAGGAAACAAGAAGATTGGAAACATGATTATCTGCATTCTGCATTAAATACATGTATCAAATAATTTGTTTCATAAAAAAAATTAAAAAATAAATAAATTGATAAAGTTAAAAGAAATACATTATGTTTACCAATCTGAACTTTTTTCACATAGTATACAAAAAAATGTATTTTAATTTCAGGTGAATAATTTTGAGAATGATGATTGGGGTGATGAGTTTAAGGAGTTTGATGAAATATTTGAACAATCTGAGGGAGGTGATCCATTCAGTAAGTAAAACTATTGATTGTTATCAACCCATATTTTTCCTATTATTTTCTTACTTACGCCAAAAAAATCTGCATTTAAATACTGGAAAAATAAAATCTGGAATTTTTTTATATTTTTAATTTTTCTAAATTATATTTTGGCAGATGGAGGATTAGGAAACCTATTCTCAGAGAAAGAAGTTGATGTTGATCTTCTTATGAGCTGGAGTAATACATTTTATCCAGGTATCATCATTATCATCATTATCATCATTTTCATCATTATCATCATTATCATCATTATCATCATTATCATCATTATCATCATTATTATCAATTTATCATCATTATCATCATCATCATCATTATCATCATTATCATCATTATCATCATTATCATCATCATCATCATTATCATTATTATCATCATCATCATCATTATCATCATTATCATTATTATCATCAATATCATCATTTTCATCATTATCATCATTATTATCAATTTATCATCATTATCATCGTTATCATAATTTCATCAATTTCATCATTATTATCATCATTATCATTACGATAATCATTTCATCAATTTAATCATTATTATCATTATCATCATTATCATCATTATCATCATCTTCATTATTATGATCATTATCATCATCATTATCATTTCCAGAACCGTACTGCTCTGCTGTGAAAGCGACTGAAACAGCTTGTTTTGAGTTGAATATAGTTGAGCTATGGGGAGATCAAGGCCACTACAGGAAACATAAACTTTAAACATTAATTTTATAATTAATAATTTACCTTAACTTTTAAAACCTTTATTTGCGAATTAAATGCTTGCTTTTAATTATATATAATATATATAATATTTAACATTTTTTTATCCTAAAATAAATTTGTTCTTTTTATTTAGAAGGAGTGGTTAGAGTATATAAATTCCTAAATTTTGTTGCTAGAACATAAAAGTTGTTATTTTCTCATTTTATGGTTTACTAATGGGGAATCTAATGTAGGGGAGGGAGTCCAACTATCTAATGTTTGGACCAGAGGTTCATCCAGGGGGGGGGGTTGTTTAGGAATTAACATTAAATATGAAAATAATTACAAAAAAGTTTCCCTGTAAATTACTGTTTTTGCAATGTACAGACTAAAGATAAGCCTATGGCAAAAAAATTATGTTTTATGCACGTTTGGGATTGTTACGACTGTTATTCTTACTGAAAACCTCAAGTATATTTTCCAATTTCGTTTAGTTGTTTAAGTTTGGAACTGGACAAAATTCAAAATTCTAATTTTTCTTTTGTTTCAAAATATGAAAAAAATGTTGAAAAAAGTCTTGCCTTTAATGTTACACTATATGGTGTTATTTTAAAGCCCAATTCTAGAATCTCCAAGCCCTTAGTTTAAAGTTTTGTTCTAGTGAGTCAACTGACCTAAAAATAGCTTTCCTCACACAGGCAAGAAAAAATACAAATAAAATATTAAAAATAAATTCAAGATTTAAATACTCAAGGTTAAAAACTTTTAACTGATATTTATTATAGACAACAAATTTGGTTTGAATGAATTTTACTTTTAATTATTTGTAATGCCCTTTTATTTTGTTAACCAAATTTGAAGCCATTATCACTTTCTTTTACGATATTTTAATATTTGGTTTGGTTTAGGCCGATATCCTGGACAAAATAAACAATAAGAATATCAGCCAAATATTTCTCAAAGAAAAAAACTTTAAAGAACTGCTTGGAGATGTTAAATACAATAAAGAAGGTAAATAAAAAAATACTTCTTCATTTAAAAAGTGCCGTCACCAATGATACTTTTTAACCCTATTACTAATAATCCATAATGAATAATGTTCTTATCCTGAAAATGATCATCATATTCAGCAATAACATTGAAACGCAAAGTGAAACATCTTATTTGGAGTAATGAGTATTGCAAAGTGAGATTGCTACAAGTTTTAAAGACAATTTTGGATAAAAGGGATAAATTCAATTTAGCAAATTATGAAATGTAGAACAGGGCAGAAAGTATCAAAATTATGTTATAATAAAGTCAAATCAAATGTGGTTGTATTGCTCATCTTGTTTTAGTCTAGACCAAATTAAATTTTTTTAAAAATTTATAATTACTTATCTTATTAAAAAACAATATCAAAAGAAGAAAAAAAAACAGTATATACTACAATGTTTACTTAGTTACATAAATTGAACATTGTACTACAGACTTCAGTGCAAGTAATTTTTGTTATTTATATCTATGTTTTCTTTGTTTTTAACATTTTTTTAAATTGTTTAAATTTAGGAGAAATTATCGGAGCAGGATCAGTGGAACTCAAATTTTACACAACTGTTAATATCAGGTTCAACGTTTTGAATGAAGCCAATGATTAAATTTTTTATTATTTATTAATATTTTGTATTGGAAATAGTTCTTTGAAGGGGCTGTAAGGTGACCCTTTTTGCAAAGGTTGCAAAGCAAGATTTTAACCTTAGAATAATTATAAAGGCTAGAGAACTATGTTTGTTTATCTCTCTAACAATGTTCAAATATCTGTAAAATAGAAGTGTAGGCTAGTGCAAAGGAGGACTCAATGAAATTATATTTATCCCGAAAATACCTAATGCTCAATTTGTTCAAGGCCATTTTTAACTTCAATGTAAATATTTTTTATTGTCTGCAACTTATTGAACTTAATTTTAATATTGTTTTTGTTAAAATATAAAACAGCTGATAAACCACGAGGGTTTCTGTAGATTAGTAAGGATAAGTTGGACATCTTTGATCAGTCAAAGGATTAAAGATCTAATGTGAATCAGTCACATCACTCTATAACAGATTAAGAAATCCAGAGGTTAAATCAAGAATTTAAGCCACAGCCTAAATTAGAGCTGCGGCTTAACTATGGTTGGTATCACTGAAAAATGTATTGAATGTTTCAAGATGTAAGCTGGCGCTCGATCAATTGAAACCGTTTTTTGGCGGATTTGAGACGCAGCTCCAATTCATTAAATTCAGACTCTGGATATTACGCCTAAAGTTACTTGAAAGAGTTTGTAATTTTACTAAAATAGAGGTGATCAAGGGTACTTTTGACATAAGATTAGAAAATTTGTGCAACCGACAATATAATTAACATCCTGAAAGTTTTGTTAATTTTAACTTTAATATTTGTGCAGCTCAGTAAAACTCTATGGGACAGCATCAAGAGGAGAAAAGATAGATCAAGCCTCATATGATTTTGAAGGAAAACCAAATATATGAAATAGATTTTTTCATTTTTGCAGACATATGATTGATTCCTCGAAAAGGATGAGAGAATTATTTTTAGGTGAATTATTCAACTCTTTGTCGTTAAACACTTTCAATTCTAATATTTTCCAGTTTCCATTTTTATATTCACTATTGTTAACAGCTTACTGTTTGCTTGCAATTTTTAGTTTCTAATGGTGGTTAATTGTTAACTTATTGAATTTACAATTGTTGAAAAAGCTATCAATTTCAATAAATCTCTAAAAAATCTTTGATTCTATAAGATATTTGGTTTGGGTATTCAGGAGCACTGATTAAGCTGTTTACCACGCGGGAAGGAATGCCACGTCACATGACCAGTTATGTAAACGTTCAGAGACAGTTCTTTGAAAGTTTTGTAGGACAGACATTCAAGGAATAGGATTAAGAAAACTTTTACCATGAATTCAACAATTATTTTGAAATGAAATCAGACACAAGAAATTTCATTGTTTAAAACTATTCAGTTTTAAAAGAATGTTAAAGGAATACAAAAGCGAAATTGTTTAATTGAATTGAATATTCAATTTTACAAAGGAATAATGTTTAAATAATGTATTCTAAGTTTATGCAAGAGTGGTATTCTATACTACAGTCGGGGTGCAGGGGAATGCGGGCTACACCGCTCTGAAAAACAGAACATTACCCCCCCCCCCCTTATCAACGGAATTGGAGGCACAGCCAGGGAGGTGGGAGATACTTATATTAATTTCTTAGAGGGCAATATGAAGAATTTACGTGGTTTTGACTTAAAATTGCCAATATTTTTGGATAGGAGAGATTAATATATTTGGCACTCTTTGTGCCCAATGTTGCAACTTTCATCTTTCTGTCCTGTCTACTGGGTAAGCCTTTACTCAAAGTTTAAAAAAAAATTAAGTCTTTGCCACAAACTCGAATTTCATTAGCCCTATATTTTTGAAACCTGATTTTATAAACCTTTGATATTTTAAAGATTATTTAATCTCGTAGAATTCACGGTTTGAATTATCTAAGGTTCACAACATTGGGCTGCAAGGATATAGTGATTAGAAAATCAGTGTTTGTGACAAAATATAGCCAACTCATTTGTTGGCTTTATTTTATGAAAAATGTCCACAGAAAGCATACAATTCTACGATATTTGAAAAATCGAATTGTTATAATTTTGGTGAAAAAAGTCTTAATCCATTGCATGAAAAGGATGCTGATAAACTTGTTCTTGGCTATGTTCTTGTCTTCATCTATGTTAATCTTATGCTTAGTAAATTCAACTGTGTGGAACAGGTAAAATATTAGTTTAGAGGTCAAATAGGATTGAACAGGTAAAATATTAGTTTAGAGGTCAAATAGGGTTGAACAGGTAAAATATTAGTTTAGAGGTCAAATAGGGTTGAACAGGTAAAATATTAGTTTAGAGGTCAAATAGGGTTGGGCAACGTTCGATTAAGAATTAAGTTTTTGAAAATTCTAGTAACAGATGCTGTTAATTTTAAAATTGTTGAAAGAACAAGAACTATAGTTCAGAAAAAAACGTTAATAATTAATAATTTTTTGAAATATTTTCTGTTACCGGCTTTTTATAAGATTGAGATTTCTAGCAAAAAAAAAGCAGAGAATATACGAAAAGTTAATTTTAACTAAATTACTGTTTCAGAGAATAGGTTTATCTGTGGTTGGAATCTTGAGTGTTGCAATGGGTATGATACTCGCCTATGGGGTTTGCTCTCTCTTTGGACTATTTTATTCAGCAGCTCATACTGTTATTCCATTCCTCCTCTTGGGCATAGGAATTGATAACATCTTTGTGATAACACAGGTATTACATTAAAATTTTCTTCTTATGCAGATATTGAAATATAAAACTTTTTGTTATAAAAAATGAACTGAAATTTATTATTTTTTTTCCTTTAACATAAGACAAAATATGACAAATAATACATCATTGGAAAGCTCTTATGCTCTACTCTGAGAATCTTCAAAAAAATGCAAAACACAAATTTTGTTTGCAAAACCCAGTTACAAAGTTAAAATGTTTGCAAAAAATAGATGTCTGGAAAATGATAAAACTATACATTTTAAAAAGCCCAAAACCATGCCATTTCGAATAGGAAAAAATTGTTGCAAAATTTTAAACAACTTGATGTAATTAAGAAAATGTGCAAATTCCTTTTGACAGGTTGAATTCAAATAAATTGCAAATTACAAATTGACAGATCTGTAGTAATCATGTTAAACACAAGGCAAAAGAACCAATTTTATTATTTTATGATGTTTATATTTTTAGGCGTTTAACACCCTGGAAGCAAGCTCAGTACCTCTTAGTCTTGTGAAAAGAATAGGACAAACCATGGGTCATGCTGGGGTAGCTGTCTCAGGTAAATTTAGGATTTAAACAATCAAAATTATCCCATTGGTGGCACTCTAAAGCTTACCCATTTAGAGCTGGGAACTAAAATTTCCAGTTAAAAATGTTTAAATGTTTTAGTAACAACGTTCACAGATGTAATTGCATTCTTTGTTGGGTCCAACACAGTTCTCCCTGGTTTAGCTAGTTTCTGTGTATATTCAGCTGTATCCATCTTTGCTATTTATGCACTACAGGTTAGTTTAGCTAGTTTCTGTGTATATTCAGCTGTATCCATCTTTGCTATTTATGCACTACAGGCTAGTTTAGCTAGTTTCTGTGTATATTCAGCTGTATCCATCTTTGCTATTTATGCACTACAGGTTAGTTTAGCTAGTTTCTGTGTATATTCAGCTGTATCCATCTTTGCTATTTATGCACTACAGGTTAGTTTAGCTAGTTTCTGTGTATATTCAGCTGTATCCATCTTTGCTATTTATGCACTACAGGTTAGTTTACCTACTTCTAGGTATATTTAAGTATTTTTTTTTTCACAGCAATTAGTTTTAATTTTTCTTTTAACATGGATTGATTTGTTTATGTTTGTTCATATCATTGATTTCTTTTTTTTTGTTCACAGCATTGATTAAAATTTTTTAATCACAGCATTGATTTTAGTTTTTGATCATTGCATTTACTTACATTTTTTTTATCATACTACCATTCATTTTTTAATAATAACTTTGACTAGAATTCTTTTTTATCACGATTTTTTTAGGTCACTCATTTTGTTGCTTGGATGAGCCTTGATGAGAAGAGAATGCGCGCACATCGAGATGGATGCTTATGCTGTGTTACACACAAGAACTTTCAGTCCTTCGAGTTCAGCAGGAAGAGTATATTGAACAAAGCGTTTAGGATGCTTGGACTACTCATTACAAACACTGTGTTCAAGATATTTATCATTTTGTTAACAATAACATTTATTGTTTTCGGAATTTGGGGTGCCTTGTCGCTTACACAGGAAATTCTTTATTTTCAAACTTTAAGCTTTTCTCATTATTTTTCTTAATTTTTAAACCCTTCAAAATAAAAAATTCGTCTATAACTAAAAAAATTCGTCTATAACTATCAATCATATTTAAAATATAAATTAAAAGGGTGCACATATCAGTTTGAATCTCTTTTTTATTTTATTTTTAAAATTGTATGATACCTAGGTAACGAAAGTGAGAATTTCTTTGGAATATTTTTCTGGCAATTCCTGAGAAATTCCTTAAAACTTCAGGGAAATATTTTTACGGAAACTCCAATTTTACGGATTTTTTAGGGAACTGAATAAGATAAGTCTTAAGAAATTCTTAGGATTTGGTGAATAATTTTACGGATTTTTCGGGCAACTAAATAAGAGACATAGTCTCAAGTCTTCGGAATATTTCTTGAATTTTCCGAAGAAATTTTAAGGAATTGGTCACCAATTTTACGGATTTTTTGGGGAACTGAAAAAGAGACATAGTTTCAAGGAATTCCAGAGTAATATCTTGTGATTTTCACAGAAAATCTCAAGAATATTTATCCGGAAAGTTTTGAGAAATTCTCAGGACTTGGTCAAAAATGTTACGGATTTTTTGGGGAACTGAATAAGAGACAAAGGCCCGAGAGGTTTCCGAGAATTTCTCAGGAATTTTTCCACAAGAAATTCTTGAGAATTTCTTAGGATTATTACTCCGGAAATTCCTGAGAAATTCTAAGGACTTCATCACCAATGTTATCTAAAATATCTAAAATATGAGAATATAAAGAATCAACCTGAATCCAGGAATATCTAAAATATCTAAAATATCTAAATATGAGAATATAAAGAATTAAACTGAATCCAGGAATATCTAAAATATCTAAAATATCTAAATATGAGAATATAAAGAATCAACCTGAATCCAGGAATATCAACCTGAATGGCTGCTTCCTCCAGAATCAGAAATTGCTCAATGGTTTGGAATAAAGGTAAACTTTCATATTATTTAACATACAGGGTCTGTAGACGCAAATTCAAATAACCCTCATGGCCTCTATTTAAATAGCTGTTTAAATTTGAGGCCATTATTCTTTACCTGTGTTTTAACAAGGAAGATAAACTCGGTTTTCTATTCTATTCTATTCTATTTAATATTCTAAAAAAGAGTTAGGATTTTAACTTCGTGCAGTTTCCTTTTTTATCTCTTCAACATAAATCTGCAAGTCACTTTAACAGATCACTCTCAACTAAGCTTTTGGTGCAATTGTATGAGAGTGAGGCAAACCCTCTATTTATCCTTGATCAGATAGAGGTTTAAAGGGTACTTTTGTGAATTGAGCATGTCATTCTGAAAAGGTAGGAATTAGGATCACTGAAAACAAAAACAATTCATACATGTATATCTCATACATGTATGAATACATATATATTTATACAATATTACAATATACAAATATACAAAACAATTCATACATATATATGTATACAAGTATATCTCTTTCATCTTTTTTTTTTAAAAAAATGATTATTATTCTTGCTGAAGAAGAACAACCCCTTTGGCACCATAGCAAAAAAATATTTATTTTAGTCCTAAATTTGCTGATTGGCAATTAAGGTTTTCAGCGAACGAAATGTTTCGCGAAAAATGCGAACATTTTCGGTTGCTTTCACAAACTTTTTTGCGAAATTTCACATTTTTTCGCGAAAATAAATGAAGCGAAATTTTGTGAAAAAACGTTGTGCCCGTTTTCTACTAAAACTTCTTGCCTTTAAATGTTGCTTTAAAGGATGCCATTTCTGTATCATACTTTAATAAAATAAATTGTTCACGATTTGTCTATTTAAATAAGTAGACTTTCCTTATTTAGGCTATTTATTATCCGAGTCATGGCGAGCCTGGGTTTGTAATGATTCCTAAAATTGATATGTCAACAGAATTCTTTAAAGTGGAACAACTTGTACAAACATTGAGGTAGGAAAAATTAAATCAAATACACTTTTTTTCCGAAAGAGTTTAGTTTTATGGTCTTTTTAGAATGTCATTGTTTTATAGATAGATTTTGATATATTTATTTAAAGTTTGAACACGAAAATAATTAACCAAAAAAGAGGCTGATGAATTTATATTTTACCTAATTTTAGAGGAAATCTTATTGGTATTTAACAAAATTTAATATAGATAAAAGAACTGCTAACTTGGTGTAAAATAAATTTTTGCAACCTAATGTTGATACCATTGATATCTCTAACTTTCAATTCTTCTAAATCAAATTATCAAAGATTACACCAATTGTTTGCAAATTTTAAACAAATAATGTGTTTGTAGAAATTTTTATCAAATATTTGAACATGCCCTTTAGTAAGTTTTTTTTACTGGTTTACTGTCTGGCTGCCTAGGGGTGGGGAGATCAAATTGTCCCCCCCTCAATTTTCTTATTGTGATATAAATCTATAATATTTGAAACGTTTTTTTGGAAAGCCTTTGGGCTATTTTAGATTTTATTTACACAGACTGGACATCTCACCGCCCTGTACCCTATGCATAAAAAAATGTAAAACAATCCTTTAAACTATTTATTAAAAGTCAAAAACTTTCACGGTGATAGTGTTTAGGGTTAATTGAATCGTGAACTTTTCTATTTTTATATTATTTTGACTATATGATATATATATATATATATATATATAACTCTCTGAATCTAAAGAAAGTTGATAAAAGGAAATAAAGTATAAGTTATGCCGGCACATCAAACATTCAGAAAAGATATTTCCAATTTTGTATTTTGTTTCAACTTTGTTCAATGTCAGCACAATATATGTTTCTCATTCTGATAGGAATTCGAAACTGTAAAATTCATTTTAGAGAATATAACGTGAATTCTGTAGGTTTCGCAGATATTTTTACAAAAGCTGTAGATGAAAATGGATAATGATTTAATAACTTCGCGAAAATTGATGCGTTTTCGACCATTTTCAAACATATCTTTTATGTACCAATATTTTTCTTTTTTCTGTAATTTCGTGAAATATACATTACTAGATACTATTTCTAGATACTATTTTTCGATTCTATTTCCCAAAAATGGAAATTTTAGGTACTTACACAGGAAACCTTTTTTTAACGATTATAGACTAGATTTTAAATCAAATGTTTCCTAACTGAAATTATATCACTGAGTAATTCTTTTTAATTCTATAACAGACATTAGTTAATAAATAAATAAAAAGAAAGGAAGAAGTTATATAATGATAAATATATTGCTAATGCTTTTATTTTTTATTATTAATTTCTGTTTAATTAAGGAGTCGAGACAAGAACATAGAATGGGTTAATACATGGACTGCTGATTTTAGGAAACATAGAAAAATAATTTCACAGATTTGTCGACAACTATATACAGTGAGAACCAGAAGACTCTATGTATACTAGTTGTTGTTACAATCAGCAAATAATTTTAATATAATTCTTAAAAGTCACTGCTAGGTCTCATCTGCATTGGAATATTTTAAATCATAACTTGAGTCTAAAAGTTGTCTTCCTATTTCATAGTTTTCTGGTTCTCACTGTATGTAATTCAACAATAATAGAGGGCGACTACAAAATAAGTATTCTTTGCTAAAACAAAGCCTAAAATTGGCAAACATTGTGCAAGGTGTCAAAAATTGGGCAAAAATTAGACTAAAATTGATACATTTTTATGATGACTCTTTATATTTATTAATCTATGTTAGAAACTATGTAAATACCTTTACTTTTTCCTCATTGTCCTTCGAGGAACTGATGCAGGATGAAGACTTTTTCAGGAGAATATCATAGTCATATTAATCAATCAAAACCCCTTTAAATGGTCTATTTAGAATGAAAAAAGTTAAATATTTTATTTTACAAAAAAAATCTTGATTTTTTTTTATCTTATGCTATGCATTATTTGGAACATCCAGCTGTATAAGTAAAAATATTTTTAATTATTTGAATTGTTGTTACAACTACAAGAAAATTTGATAATAAGGTTGTTTTAGATATCCATTTGTGCATGATCAGTTTTAAAATACTGAATCAAATTGTTAAAATTCTTCAAATTTCAATTAATCAATATTGTTTTTTGTTTGCGATACGTTTCTATGAATGACAAAGTTAATTTAAAATTAAAATTTGGAATTAACTCTTTTGAGTAGATAACTACAGATTTTATCCATTTCATGGGTTTATAAAGTTAAATACAGTCAAAATAAAATGTTCATTGAGTCCAATCTTGACAAATTTTATACAATTTTATGCGAAACCAACCATATTTGAGCTGTGGGTAAATTTAAGCCGAGGCTCAAATTCTTTGAATTCGGCCTCTGGAATGTTTTACAACATTTTTACTAACTTTTGAATTTAACTTTTTACATCAGAAAATATGAGAAATTGAAACATGTCTCGCCAGGCTCAGAACTACTTTAGTAATTCAAACATGAATCAAATGCTCAACTATGTTAATGGATTTAATGTATTTTTAACAGAATTTATAAATTAAATCTTCAGTCATCAGATGTAAATTGTCATCACAAAAAAACATGTTTAAAGTAAATGTTTGCGAAAAACTAAATTATGAAAAGGATAAATCATAATTAAATAAAATGATTTGTTGGGCAATAGTTTAAATCGACTATACATATTTTATCCCTTTTTCATCATTTAACATTATTTGCAGAAATAGATAGAAAATTTGTATCTTTGAGAACCATATAAATCTAGCATGACTGTTTTCAATTTCTATGACTCTCCCTTAGAGTTACCCATTTAGAATAATCCCCCCCCCATTTCTCTTTCACATCCACAGTTCCTGTTTGCAAATAATCTGAATTATCTGAATAATATTCCCATTAAAAGTTAAATTTCTTGGAAAGCTTATAATCGTGCTAAAATTTGCCTCTTTTGATTTAGAATTTTAATCTTTAAAGTTTGAAGATTATGTTGGGGAGGGTGTAGGGGTGGGGGAGGGGTGTGAGATGGAGAGGGGGAGAGGAGAGTTTTAGTATTTAAAGTTTAAACGTTTTTACATCAAATGTAGTATTAAAAAGAATGTATTATAATTATGTCTCAAAGTTGTAAAACAAAAAAAAAATAAACCAATATCTGCTACAATTCTCACCTTGTGATCTCTATATCTAAACCCTGCAGTCAGCCAATATCTGCTCCAATTCTAACCTTGTGATCTCTATATCTAAACCCTGCAGTCGGCCAATATCTGCTCCAATTCTCACCTTGTGATCTCCATATCTAAACCCTGCAGTCGGCCAATATCTGCTCCAATTCTAACCTTGTGATCTCTATATCTAATTCCTGCAGTCGGCCAATATCTACTCCAATTCTCACCTTGTGGTCTCCATATCTAACCCCTGCAGTCGGCCAATATCTGCTCCAATTCTCACCTTGTGATCTCCATATCTAAACCCTGCAGTCGGCCAATATCTGCTCCAATTCTAACCTTGTGATCTCTATATCTAAACGCCTATTGACAGTATGATCATTTTAACACTCTCATATCAAATTAAAGATATTTAAAATATGAAAGACTAACATTAGTTCTCCTTTGGACAAAACATTTTCTAACAACATTAAAAAAGCTTTATTAGGTTTAAGAATTTTTTTTAAAGTAACAGCTAGAAAGACTTCATATTTCAATCTTCTCTATTGAATTCTTGTCTGAATGTGTATCTGAGTATATGATATTGTAACAGAGATAAATTCACACAGTTCCTGTATAGTCCCAAGGGAGCTGCCTACCAACCTTATTTTGAGTTCGGAGAGGAGCTAGAGTGCGGCAAACCAGCACCAGATCTTCTACTTCAGGTTTATCTTAGAACTAGCTTGGAAATCCTGCGTTAGCCAGGGTACCCATAGCTACTCTTGCCGTTAACCCTTACATGGTCTTAAATTAAAATTTTAGCTATTTTTCCTTTAAAAGTTGACCCAGTCACCGTGGTTCTATAATTCTAAAATTGAGGCATATTGGTCTAGGGGTTAAGGAGTTATGATCAAACATCCAAACATACAAACATCCTAACACAGATTACTACTTTATATATATATATAGATACTGATAATATTACTTAGCAATATTTAGCTTGGAATATGTTTAACTCAAGAGGTTCATAACTTCATACAGTGATAATCAGAATTCAATGGAATAGAAAGACAACAGGAAGAAAAGTGTATTTGATGTTGTTACAAAGCAAAATTTTTTACTTGACACTTATTAAATAAAAAAGTATGCAAAATGAGTCTAATAAATAAAAAAATTATGCAAAATGAGTCTAATAAATAAAAAATTATGCAAAATGAGTCTAATAAATAAAAAAATATGCAAAATGAGTATAATAAATAAAAACTTATGCAAAATGAGTATAATAAATAAAAACTTATGCAAAATGAGAATAATAAATAAAAAATTATGCAAAATGAGTATAATAAATAAAAAATTATGCAAAATGAGTATAATAAATAAAAAATTAGGCAAAATAGGTCTAATAAATAAAAAATTAGGCAAAATAGGTCTAATAAATAGAAAATTAGGCAAAATAGGTCTAGCAAATAGAAAATTAGGCAAAATAGGTCTAGCAAATAGAAATTTAGGCAAAATAGGTCTAGCAAATAGAAAATTAGGCAAAATAGATCTAGCAAATAGAAAATTAGGCAAAATAGGTCTAGCAAATAGAAAATTAGGCAAAATAGGTCTAATAAATAGAAAATTAGGCAAAATAAGTCTAGCAAATAGAAAATTAGGCAAAAAGACCTATTGTTTTCTATTGTAAATAAAGAGATCATTTTAAAAAACCAATTAATTCAAGAACTGCCTTTAGATATTAAGGGGTAAATATTTTCTTGATAAATCATCACCCCTTAAAAATGAACAAGAGTACTATTTAAGCCTTTGTAGAGAAATCCATAATTAATAATATGTAATTAAAGTCATTTCCATGTAGTTCACATTATGTATTATTTGCAAGAAATTATGGATTTCTCTACAAAGGCTAAAATAGTACTCTTGTTATAAATTTCATTCTTTGAATAGATGGTCATTTGAATTTACTGGACCAGCACATTTTGGACCGCTTTAAACCGTTGTGTGTTAAATTAATGTTTTCTTCAACTCATGATCAACTATCCGAAGCTAAATTACTTTTTCTAATTACTTTTTTAGTTTTATTTTAAATTAAATATAATAATATAAACTAGATTTGTTGAGTTTCTGTTGAACACAGAATACCCAAGGGAACAAACCTAAACAAACTAGAAATTACATTACATGTATTTGATGTATTTCAAGTACAACGAGATTTACTTGAAGAACAACTAAAGTTCTTCAAGTACTTTCAATGTGCTTTAAGTACAACAAGTTTGAATTCAGTACTTGTAGATTTACTTCAACATAACTTTTATTACAGCTGGGGTGTACTAATAAAGTATGTTTACAATTAAATGTACTTCAGAACAACTTCAACAACAATACACTTCAGTAACTTACTAAAATGTTTAAATTTACTTAACCCTGAATAGACTGGGGGGGGGGGGGCGTTTGATTTTTTTTTACTAAGCTACAGATCTAAAAACTATATTTTTGAAAAGCCCTTGAAAAATGGATGTAGAAACATGCGTCACATCTTGATATTTGTTATAAAATTTTTTTTTCCAAACTATGAAAGTAATCGGTCCATTTTTTTCAATGAGCTGGCCTTGAAAAATTGGACTATAAACATGCATTTCAACCCTATACATATAATCTAAGGCCTTTTTCTAGGGGGGGGGGGGCGTGAGACGCCCTCCCCGAGGCCATACATAGATTCAGACCCCCCAGCCTTTATAGGGTTAAAGTTACAAATATATTTAATTCCGTTAGTATTTAGCCTTAACAATTGTAATATTTTGCCTACTTTTTGTATTTTATTTTTGAACAACAATTTTTTTGTGTTCTACCGTTTTACTAGACTTAAACAGTAGTATTTTAGAAAAACCATGTATATCCTAAAATATAATCCTAAAATATAATGTTTATATGTTTTATTTATATAAAGTGTTAAAATGTTAAGGCTATACCGTTTGGGCATCTTCGATTTGAAAGATCAAGTGAATGGATTCCAGCGATGCAGGTTAATATTATTCTTTTCAAAGAAAAGTTTTAAAAAAGTTTTGTGATTAACTTAAAGTTTTCCAGGAGGTGGAACAAATTGTTCAAGATGCTGGGTTCAGGCAATAATCATTTATCATATCAGACCCCATAGTTAGAACTGGTTTCGGGGAAGACATGTTGTTTTAGAAAAAAAATCTTGCTTTATTCTTTATACAATTGCTGATTTCAAAGTCTGATTTTAAATCTCAAAGGTTTTTGACATTACAGAGACTGTTATAGGATCTGAGATGTTTCACACATAGCAACATTTAATTTTCTAAAAGTTTGTTTTTATTACATTATTCAAACAAAAGATATTAACCAAACCGATTTTTCAAATCGATATGGCCAACATTTTATGGACATGTAATGAATATTTTTTTTTGTAAAAAAAAACCTTTTTATTTTGATTTCTTTTTATAGAATATTTTTCATTGTAATGATTGCCTAGTAAAATTGTTAATGTAAAATGCAAAAAAAAATTACTTAGAAACTTTAATGACATGGTTTCATCATCTTTTTCAATATTATTTCTGAAACTCATAATTCATTTATTTTTATTTTTCATATCATTTTTTAGTCTTAATCAGAAATTATTACATATTTTTGTAAAACCCCTATAAGAAGAAATATATCTCTGTATTGCTGTGTTTTCTAATGATTGTTGTGCGGTTCAGTAATTACTCATTTCCGATGGCACTAACTTACATAAACTGGAAAACAGATGCTATCGTAGGGATAGAACTGTTTAGGTAAGCTTTCAAATTATTTAAACCTTAGTGGACAACATTTTGAATGACGCTCTAACGCTGATTTAACTGACCTTATCTCTGCTTTACTTTCGAACCAAATTTGACAGAGAAAACAGGATTTTTTCTTTTTTTTTCTTGTCGGTGGATGTATTTTAAAAATATGATTAGAAAAACAATTCATAAAGTTTAAAAATTCTTGAATTATAGACAACATTATATTAATATTGAAGAAACCGACCAAAGTTAGACATGGTTAATCCAGGGGGCTCATTTTATAGAGAGGGGGCCTGATTTTCTTAGCTATATATCTTTGCAACCTAATGTCGCAGAACCTTATATAATTCAAACTATAAATTTTGCTAGATCAGATAATCTAAGCTTAAAAAATCAAAGGTTTACATCATTAGATTGCGTAGATATTTGGATTAGAAAACTTGAGTTTGTGACAAAGACTCAATTCCTTTTAAATATAATTTTTTAATTCCTTTGTATAATTTGCATTATTGGTTAAACAAAGCTTTTAAATTGAAATTTTTGTTTAGGAATATAGGAATATAGGAATATATATATATATATGTTTAGGAATATAGGAATAGCTTTGATCTGTATATTCACAGCTACCTTGTGCACCCTGGGATCCTGGAGGGGTAGTATGTTTGTCATGATGTGCGTCCTTCTTACATGCGTAGATGTTTCAGGTACGTCCTCCTTACATGCGTAGATTTTTCAGGTGCGTCCTCCTTACATGCGTAGATGTTTCAGGTGTGTCCTTCTTACATGCGTAGATGTTTCAGGTGCGTCCTCCTTACATGCGTAGATGTTTCAGGTGCATTCTCCTTACATGCGTAGATATCTAGGTATGGCATATCTTCATGAGGTCCGTTTTCACACAGTCGGGGTTTTTTTAGGTTTAGAAGTACCCTTGAAAGCAACAGAGAATTTTATAGAATTTTAGCAAAATCTGATTTTCTAATTAAACATTAAGATGTTATTATTTTAATCACAAAAATAATTTTGTTTAATTTCTTTGGTCAGAGTAATGTTTTTGCGTAATGAAACAAAGCAAACTTATTATGCATGCAGTTTTGAAATTGACTATTAATATCAGATTCTTGTTAAGCATTTTAAAAGTCAAATAACTTTAAAATTTTAAAATCGGACCATCATTAGTCAGGTATAGTAAAACAATTTATAGCAATACAGTTTTGTGTTTTTTAAAGATGAAGAAAAATTTGATTTTACATCTGAAAATTTATTTACAGTTTATTTGGCAAATTTAAACATATTTTGTCTTCAGATTACATATATATAGAGATGGACATAGTTTTTGTGAACGAACTAGATATTTTGTGAACGAAATACATAATTGTGAACGATGATGTAATTTAGAACATATAACGAACAAGGGACAACAACTTGGATTGTTTAGAAAAATGAAAAAACGAATAAAAACAAAACACGCGAACAACGATCATAATATTACTGAACAAAATTTTTTTTTATAAAATTTTGACGAAAAACTATCGCTTTTTTATGAACGAACAATTTTATTGAACGAACATATTTACAAAGTGATTGTTCATTGAGAAAACAAACAAAATAGAAGAAAAATGAAAAAATATTTTTAGAACGTTAAAAAATAAATTTTTTAAACAGCATAAAAATTTCACCATTAATTGATATCGTCTTCCATTTCCAAAGTTTTATTCGTCCCCTGTGTATTCCTAGACAATACTTATTAATACGTAAAAGCTAATGCCTAGATGTCTATCATTGCAAATTTAAATCAAAACTATTACAGAAAGTTATTTTTAATTGAATCAAGGTTGATTTCGGACAATTCAGTTGTTTAATTAAAACTGTTTCCATACTAAAAAGTTTAAGTAAATACCAAAAAAAGTTATGTTTTTACAATTTTCCATTGATTTATGAGTGATAAAGTTAATTTTTTCTTTTTAAGATTTAAAGTAGCAAGTCCAATTTATTATAATGAGTTCTCTTATCCAGAAGTTTAAATCCTTTACTTTAGTTTAAAGTTAGAAACTCCATGTTAAACTGTAATTTATATAATTTTAGGATTTATGCACTGGTGGGGACTAACCATAGACATCACTTCTATGAATATTCTAATTATCAGTGTTGGGCTCTGCGTAGACTTCTGTGCGCACATTGTTCACGGATTTCTTATTGGTAAAGGAACGCGGCATGAGCGGGTCGTCTTTGTTATGGAGAATATTGCCCCGGCTGTTCTCAATGGAGGGTTCTCTTCCCTACTAGCCCTCTCACTTCTTGTCACATCACGCTCACACATTTTCATATCATTCTTCAAAATATTCTTCATGATTTGCACATTTGGGCTGTTTCATGGACTAGTTACTTTGCCCGTTGTTCTAACATTAATCGGCCCTGAGGACCCTGACGTAAAAAGGGAGAAAAAGGAAAAGAAAGCAGCGCAGAAAGAGAATAAAGAAAACCTTAAAGCAGAATCATTCGATATGGAAAACAAAAGCTGGTTGACAAGAACACGCGTCGACGATAAATACCTCAGGTAAAGAAATTGAGTATTTGTCACAAACTCAAATTTATGCAGCCTGGTGGTGTAAATCTTTGATATTTACAACTCAAATTAATTGATCTAACATAATTCATAGTTTGACAAATCTAAGGTCTACCGCATAGGGAAATATAGATCTAGGGTTAAGACAATCAGTTTTAATTAATGCTGAAGAATATGAAAAATGTGGTTTAGAACAAATACACCATGCCATGGCATATTATAAAACAGTCTCAAGTGCCCAAAGGAGAACATCTAGAGATAAATATCGTCCATTTATTTTCTCAAATACTCTGCTAACAAAGATTAAATAGTAGATACTCCAACTTTCTAAAATTAGCCATTTTAACAATTTATTTACTTTTATTTTCAGATCCATCAAATCAGACACAAACATTGTTTTGAAACAGCACAGAAAGCAGGGGGAGCATGAACTTCGAGCTCACTTTGAAGAAAAGAAGAAAGGTTTTGAGGAGCAGAAAGTTTTGGATCCGTTACTCCAGGATAAAATAGAACTAGATAGTTTACATACAGCTAAAGAATCTGTTCTTTAAGAATTTATGATTCTTGATTCTTAGAATAAATTTTTCTATTGTTAGTTATGTAAAAATGATTTTAAATTTTTTGATAATTTATTAGTTTTCATTTATTGCTTTTGTTATACAGGGTTACCCACAAAGAATGGGACTTCAGAGATGACTGTACGGAATGTATACTGTCGTTGTCGTTATTTTGTTCCATTCTTTGTCAAATCAATAAATAAACCATACAGCGACTATATTTAACCTTGATATAATCATTAATATTTAAGGATTTTCAGGTCGTCTTTACAGTCTCATCCGTTGTGGGTAACCCTGTACACGTGGATTTAATGGTTCTGTCAATATTCCAGAAAGCTATGACTTTCGATCCCAATTTCTCTTATTAAACATAATTTTTTAATCTTCTTTCTTAAATACTTTTTTGCCGGCATAAACGTTTTAAATAAAAAGTATTAATCAAACAAATCCGTAAGTTTAAAGATTGTTAAAATATAAACCAAAAATGATTTCAAATAGAAGAAACCGAATGCCTCTAACTCTGGTTAGCCTGGAGTGTGTATATTTTCGGCATTGTGTCTAAGTTATAAATAAAGATGAAAACAATAATAATCCTTGTTTATTACTCTGCTTCCACATTGTAATACAACAATGGAGCTGTCAGGGACATATATTGTATATTTGTTTCAGACAATTCAGGGAAGGTCAGGTTTAAAAGTGTTTTTTGTTTACACTCAACACTTGATATATTAGACAGTTGAACAGAATTTTTTCAATCAACAAACAGAATTTTCTGTAAATTTAGGAAATTTAACAAACCAACCTTTAAAAAAACGTTATTGACTTGTGAATTTAAATAATCAATAAAAAACATAGACAATAGATAATGAGGAAAGGAATAGTTTGAGCATGGAACAATTTGGAAAATAACTCAGAAAGAATTAGGAAGCAGAGAGCCCTCTGAAAGAAATAGGAATCAGATTTAATGTTTAGCAATAAGTAGTTGAACCATGTATCACCAGTTCAATCAAACAAACAAGCCACATTTATATATTATAGTAGACAATTCATTGAAGCAAAAAACCTTTGTTTCCTTAAAGGACTTAAAGGAAAAATGCTTTTCTTCGAATTTTACAGAGACATTTGTGTTAAACATGCCATTGCAAACTCAAAAAAGGAAAACATTTCAAAATAATTAGTTAGAACCATTTTAAAAATGGTAAATATATGCCAATGTCACTGGAGGAATATCATGAAATGGAAAAACGAGTAATCTAAATGAGATCTCCCTGATCTATAAAAATGTCACTGAATGGTAAACTAGAAGAACTGAATATTCTCCCCCTGAACTGGAGAAAGCATTAAGAAATCATCCAACCATTGAAGGAATAATCAGATCATGACATTAGACATCTATCCATCTATCTGCGTCAGGCCATCTATCCTCATCTTTACATACATACAATTCTATCCATCCAGTCCATCCATCTACATGTCCACCTAGATACAGTTCTATTTATTTCTAACATCACAACATGGTCTGTCCATATCATAAATCCATATGTTCAGTTTACATGTATCCAATCAACTATACATCAAATTATGCATTTTCTTTTTTTAATATAAAAGCAAAATCAATTAGCTGCAGTTTTTAAAGAGCATGCACTTTATAATATATAGTATCAAACTGTATCCATTATATATTGTATCAAACTGAATCCATTATATATAGTATCAAACTGTATCCATTATATATTGTATCAAACTGTATCCATTATATATAGTATTTAACTGTATCCATTATATATAGTATCAAACTGTATCCATTATATATAGTATCAAACTGTATCCATTATATATTGTATCAAACTGTATCCATTATATATAGTATCAAACTGTATCCATCATATATAGTATTTAACTGTATCCATTCTTCACCATATTTTTCCGATTTGGCCAATATACTGACAACAAGAAACAAAATCAGTTTAGAATTGAATTAAAATATCCTGCCTCAACTTACTAGATATATAGATCTAATAATGATAAGAGTTAGGATTGTATAAAGAATCTCAATTTAGTAAAGCTTCCTTGTAAACTTATTCCTACATCCGTCCGTATATTTTCCCATTCAGGCAATATAGCGGCCACGAGAAATTTGCTAAATCTCAATTTAATAAAGCTTCCTTGTAAGCTTATTCCTACATCAGTCCGTATATTTTCCAATTCAGGCAATATAGCGGCGAAGAGAAAATTTTTCTAAATCTTAATTAATTAACCTGTACCCTACAAGGTTGCGATTGAATGTTTTGCTACTTAGCGATTTCCCTAAAGACCTAATGTATATACCGTGTGGTATTTCTCGAGATTGGATTGTAAGCCTTCCTCCTTTCAACGCTCTCCATAACAAAGGATAATAATAAGGTTCCGAACGTTTATTTCTCAAAGGCTTCAATCTAAATAAGTTTAATAAGCCCACAGAAAAAGCTTTGAGTGATAAATCATATGAATAAAGAAAATAATCCACTCAGGCATTAAAAAACTGTGGCAAGGAACCAACGAACATATTTACAAATATCAATCATAATATAATCAAACGATAGCATACATATATATATAAGAAATAATTACCGCAGTGATCCTAGAAAATATGCACGGTTACACTCGTAAAACAAATAAACATATACTAAGACAAAACTGTTCACTCTCACGCGAGAAATCTTGCGCCTGCGTAGTCAGTCTGTAAACAGTTCCTAAAACTAGTTCTTTCACAATACGTTCTGTACAGATCTTCAGGGAGAACTCAGAAATACACAGGGGTGACAAGTAGACTTTATACACGGAGCATGGCTCGCGTAACAATAGTATCAAACTGTATCCATTATACATAGTATTTAACTGTATCCATTATATATAGTATCAAACTGTATTCATTATATATAGTATCAAACTGTATCCATTATATATAGTATCAAACTGTATTTATTATATATAGTATCAAACTGTATCCATTATATATTGTATCAAACTGTATCCATTATATATAGTATCAAACTGTATCCATTTTATATAGTATTTAACTGTATCCATTATATATAGTATCAAACTGTATTCATTATATATAGTATCAAACTGTATCCATTATATATGGTATTTAACTGTATCCATTATATATAGTATCAAACTGTATCCATTAAATATAGTATATCTACAGTATAAAAGCCCTGCCGATGGTTTGTATTAATGGATCTTTGTATAAACATAAATATATTTATACATGAAACATATATCTGTCAAACCCCCCATTCTTCCCGTTGTATACCTTTCATCCCCCCTTGATCTCCCCTCACTCCTTAACCTCATCTCTTCCTCCCTCCTATATGCCTCCTCCTTCGCCCCTACTCCTTTTCATCACATTCCTCATCCCCTTTCTTTCCAATAAGACCCACCCTCTCGAATACCAGATGATCAAAACCTACTTGATCAAAATTCAAGAGTTGATAAAAAAAACTGTGAACATGTACATCTTCAGTCTCAGACACTTGCTCAAAATAAGCAAATATGCACCAAGGTTATTATGCAAAGAAAGGTAATTGCAGTTGTGTATACCAATGGCGTATAAATGGGGGGGGGGGGCAAGGGGGAAGTGCCCCCCTAGAACTCAGAGCTTTCACACTTTTCAAATCTTAAACTCAAGAGTGAAGAACATACAAAAAATGGTTTGCTGTTCATTCAGTGCACTAAGAATATTGTATGAGTGGACTAGAGCCACCATGATAGAAGTCAGAATGAAAAATCTATTTAAAATTCACATTCATCCCAATCGGATGGGCGCCATTAGGGATAGTAAAGTAAAACAATTATTTTTTAATGCCAAGTCACGAAGGCTTGAGTTTGGAGGTTGTAAATGACCACTTTTTTTAAAATTTGGATTTAATTTACTTTATTCATTGCACCACCGTCTTGTAATCTTTATTTTTATTAAAAACTAGCTGAAGTGCCAGGCTTTGCCCTTGTAATTTAAAAATTGAACTAAAACAAAAAACTTATAATTTTTTTAGCTTATCTCATCCCTAAGGGTATCCATGAGTTTCCTCACTAAAATTCAGCCGTTTGGCCAGCCATAGCAAACATATAAAGGAACGAAAAGCTTTATAATATAGATTGCAATTGTACTCTTACATTTTTTAAAACAGAAACTTTCACAAGTCATACTTATTTTCTGGACCTTTGTCCTTTTTTCATCTCATAAAATTTAAGTTTAAGTTGAGTTTTTCAGTTTCAAAAATGTTTTTTTATTATTACTAACATATAGTACAATAAATTATAAAATGTCAATTTTTTTAAACTATGCTTTTTTACTGAGAGTATATTAAATGCAAGGTAATTATTTCTGTATATGCCGTTTGCGTACATATTGAAACCAGTTCTCTCTGGGCGGAATTTGTAAATAAGAATAGATGCATCAGTGTTCTTTTAGTATCCCATTTCCAGGAGGTTAAAAGCATTAAATTTTGATAATTTTGAGAATTTACATAATAGTTTCCTATGACCAGAATATTTCATTGATTTTTTTATGTGAAAGATGGATGCCATGTTAGACTTCGACATCTTTCTTTTGTTTACATTACCGCCCTGAGACAGTACAATGCAGTACATAAGATGCGTATACCTCTATTGTACTATTGTAGCGTACTGCAATGATTGTTTAAACATTGGTAAACATAAAAGTGATTTCTGTTAAGAAAATTAACAATCTTAATTTGTTTGAGTAGTTTACATTCCTTCTCCAAACTGTAATACACGATCATTCTATCAAAGGTATGGGAGTTTCAGGTGTATCTTCCTTGATTCTGTCAGAAAAGAATACACGAAAAGAAAAAATTATAAAACAAAAAAAAACAAAGGTAAGTATGTAAATATAGGGAAATTTGATGAAAAAGATATGTAAGAGGGAAAAGAGTAAATTTAGGAATAGAAGAAAAAAGAAGATGAAAGAAGAAAAAAAAGAAGAAGAAAGAAGAATAAAGAAAAAGAAAGAAGTAGAAATAAGGAAAAAGAAGCAAAAAGAAGAAATAAGATGAAGAAGAAAGAAGAAAGAGACCAAAAAACAAGATTTAAGGAAGAATTAAAAAGAGAACATGAAAATAAGGCAGGGTAAGGAGCCTGGAGGGGTAGTGTGGGGTTAGGGTAGGGTTAGGGTAGAATAGAATGTAACGTGTGGAATAGGGTGGGGGAGGATAGAGGGTATAGGATAGGGTGGGGTAGGGTAGAGGGTATAGAATAGGGTGGGGTAGGGTTGAGTACCGCAGTATGAGGGTTAGAAGAGGAGGATAGAGGATTGTATAGTGGGGGGATAGTTTAGTAGATTTAGAACCATACTTGAGGATACTCCAGGATACACAGGATATACGGGATACACAAGATACACAGGATACACAGGATACACAGGATACACGGGATACACGGGATACACAGGATACACGGGATATACATGGATACACAGAGTACACAGAGTACACAGGATACACAGGATACATAGGATATTCAAGACAAAATGATACAAATGGCACACAGGATACACAGGATACATAGGATATTCAAGATACAAATGATACACGGGATACACAGGATACACAGTATACATTGGATATTCAAGATACAAATGATACACAGGATACACAGGATACACAGGATACACAGGATACATAGGATATTTAAGATACAAATGATACACGGGATACATTGGATATTCAAGATACAAATGATACACAGGATACACAGGATAGAGGTTGCTGTGTTTTGTTCTACAAATTGTAAAGTAACTAATTGCTTGCCAAAAACTATCTACTTATCAAATATGTGAAAACTAAGGTCATAAAATTTAAAAAAGAAATTTCGACATCAAGAGCAAAATTGTTTTTTTTTGCAAGAATTTAACTGAAATGTTGTTGTAATTTCAGCGGTGGCATTTAGTCCTTTACAATAAAATGAAATGTTTCCTCTTCTTCCTTTTTCATTACTTCAAGTTATTTTATTCTAACAATATTCTACAGATTGGTTTAAGAGAACAAATACTCTAGTTACTTGAAACTTGGTTTATTCTAACAATATTCTACAGATTGGTTTAAAAGAACAAATGCTCTAGTTACTTGAAAATTGGTTTATTCTAATAATTTCCATTATATTAGTTTAAGAGAGCAAATGCTTAAGTTACTTGAAAATTGGTTTACTTAAAATTACGCTTACAGTCCCTTTAATTTGTATTATATTCTTGAAGAAATTTTAATTTAAGTAAAAGGTTTTTATGAAATTTTTACTCTGTAATCATGCCAAAGAGTCATTACTTTACATTGAGCCGCCTGCTATTTGTTTTACATATATTAAAGCAACCTTAAGAAAAAATTCCGCCCATCAAAAAGTGCCGTAATTTCTGAACTGTCTACGTAATTTCTGAACTGTCTACGTAATTTCTGAACTGTCTACGTAATTTCTGAACTGTCTACGTAATTTCTGAACTGTCTACGCAATTTCTGAACTGGTAATTTCTGAACTGTCTACGTAATTTCTGAACTGTCTACGTAATTTCTGAACTGTCTACGCAATTTCAAATGACCCTCCATTTATCATTTATAGATTGATGTTTCGATACAAAACTGTTCCTCATTAAACCTTTCTTTGATATTCATTCAATCATTGAAGCAATTCATAAAATTCCATAGATTGAGAGGATTTTATGGATTAAAAAGTTTAAGGTTTGTTTCGACTATACTAGGAAGACTATAAGAGGTTGATTGTGAAAAAGGTTTCTCAAGGTTTAGAAGGTTTAGAAGGAACAAATTAAGAATAAGGTTTTGGGACATATTATGAATATAGGTTTTGGCACATATTTAAATTACAAGACTTTATGCAAAATATTGTCAATCATGTTAATTAACAATATTTCCTTTTTGCAATGATTCGGTAGTCTCTTTACATTGAAGTTTTATTATTCTTGAAAGGGCAATGATTAAAGTTTCAATTAGCTTTTTATATCACATGAGTATCAAAATTCAAACAAAATAGAAAACAGATGTGTATTCATTTTGTCTTTGCAAATTCAAAAATATTATTAATTTTGTTCGAAAATAACTAAATTAAAAATAAACAGAAACATAATCAAAACAATGATTTTACCGTTAAAGTTCAATTCGTTTTTATTTACTTTACAAAATTTCAGACGGGTGAAAATGATAAGAAAATAGATAGGAATCAAGAAAAAGGTAAATTAAATAGTTAAATTCAACATTTAAGTAAATTTTGTACTGATACAATTGAAATTGTTTTATTTCGGAAAATTTATTTTGTATTCTTACGTATATTATATTATTACGTGTATTTTTGATTTTTGTCATTGAATTAAAACTGCATATTTTGTAAGTATGACACAAATATTTTATTATTTAAAAAAGCTTTTCACTTTTTAGTATGGATATATAACGCTTAGACACATCAATGTTCTGAACCCATTATCTTTATAATTATATGGGAAACTAGCTGAAGGGCCCGGTGTTGCCCGTAAACAAAAAAGTTAAAAACACATTTTAAAAAAAGAAATTTTGAAGAAAAAAAATTGAAAATTTTTTTTTGAATTTGTTTAGCCTATAACACCCCATGGCCACCATGAGTGTCCACAAAAAATGACCCCTCCCCTAGACTTCGTTTTCCAAGTTATTCTCCTAAATATTATGGATTTCCTCTTTCAAAATTACCCTCTCTCCAGCCCCTTCTCCCTTCTCTTTATTCACACAACAATTTCTGACAAAATTGGGGTACACCTGTTAAACTGAATCTTATTATTTTTAATAGTTTTTGCAGTGTGCACTTTGTAGCCCACATTTTACTATTACCCTTTTTCCAAAACATAATACTGCAGGTATATTTGTATATTATTCTAAGGTCAAATCAAGATATGTAATTAAGTTCTAAAATATTCAGTTTAATTTATATTACTTTGCTCAACCTGACAACTTTGCTCCAGTAAATGTAGGAGTTAAAAGCTAAATATTCATAGTATTCTCTAGTCCAGTAATACATACAAAGTTCCACCATGATTTTTTGTTCTTGATAACTTTGAATAACTTTCAAGAAAAATAACGTTTATACTGCATTAAAAAAATTATTTTTTCTTTGGAATTTTTTATTTGAAATAAATATTTCCAAGATTACATAACGGAAAAAAGTCAAATATATGCGAAACAACTGTTACGGTTAAAGCAATTTCAGATAGATGATTGTATATTAGAAATTTAAGATTTTCTACTACCATACTAGCTGAAGAACCCGGCGTTGCCCGTGAAAAATAAAAAATTTGAATTCAAGAAAAGTTTAACTTTTGAAAAAAATTTTGATTTTTGAAGAAAAAAATGTCGAAATTTTTAGTCTTTGTTACTCCAAGGGCGCCCATTGGTTTCCTTATAAAAATGCAGCCCATTCGGTTCAGCCGTTTGGCCAACTATAGCTAACATATAAATATATATGAGCGAAGAGGTTTATTATAAGATTCTGTTTTGAAATATTAAAAGACCATTTAACTGTGTAAAACATATTTGTAAATTTTTCGATCCTAAATCTTAAAATCAATTTAATAAATATCAAGGCCCCTTAGCTAGATATTGTAAAAGCGAACATATACAGGTGTAAACATGGACAAAATGGAAAATATTTTATTTCAATTATCAATCCCTTCCTTACTCTAGCTGGGCCTGAAACTTGTTGGGTTGGTAAGAAACCTGTCAAAAATCTCTTTTCCTTAACGATCTTTTGTGAGAATATAATGCTGAAAGGGAAATAGCTTAAGAAACATGAGCATTGAGCAAGTAGATATATATATATATATTCTATATAACTATTACTATATATATACAATATATGTATGGATATATATTTATAGGAATTTTTCAGAGCAGTCTTAGTTATATAATATATATGTGTGTATATATGTGTATATTTCGTCTATATTATTTTAAGTTCCCTTAAAGCACTGACTTGGAAGAGAAAAATATTTTGAGACAAACTATAGATTTAAAATCCTATTTGTTTTGGGAACATTTTTTTGGCCGAAATCTATTATTAATCATTACAATAATGGTAATTCCATGATATCCTGGTAAAAAGTGCTAGGTAAACCAAACTTCGGGAAACCATCAAAATATGGTTTAACAAATACATGTTTTCCCTTTCACCCTGTTAAAACTTGAATTTTTAGATTACACTGTACATAGGTAAATATATTTGTCATGTAATAAAAGAATAAATCTATGGCTATTATTCAGTGTGTTTACAGTTCTGCTTAAATAAGTAACTAAATATTCCAATAAATATATAAATACATAAATAAATAAGAATAAAAATATATCTATATGGATCTATAGTTACTTAATATATATAATACATATATGTTTATTATAAATATTGATAAATAGGTATTCTATTTTACTAAGATTGTAACTTAGAACTATTCAAATTGAACAAAATTAGGTTTGAAAAAGTACGTAAAGGAATTGAACACTTTCCTCATGCTTACATTTTCTAGGCCATATATCTTTGAAAACTAATGGTGAAAACAAAATATTAATCAAGGATATTTTTTTCCATTCTTAAAAATAAGAATTACATGACCAGAAGGTGCCTGCTCTCTAAGTTGCGACCTATTTTTTCTTAGGGGGGACGAGGGGGATGTCTCCCCAATTTTTCAGGGGGAAGACGTCCCCCCTCACGCCTCTGTGTTATATAACAAAAGTTCCCTTTGGAAATATCAATGGTATAACAAAAAATAAGTTCCGTAAAAATATTATATTTTTAAAAATCCTACCTCAATAAGAATAAAAGCTTAATAGTGAATATCGACACTAGACCTGTAAATATATATTATACAATAAATACATTATACAATATCTAAAAAATAAACATTATACAATTTGGATTATACAATCTACAATATCTAGAAACTGAAGGAATTGTGAATAACCCAACCCAAAACGTATTCTCTTTCTAAAACTATTTATGTCTCTCTATATTACGAAACTATTTAAAAGCTATAAAACCAAATTCCCTTACTTTAGGAAATTTGAAATAAATCGAATGTTTTAAATTTGTAACAAAGCCTTCTGTTGGAGTATTCTAGTATAGTATATGAATAAAAATCAATAAAGCAATGCACTTAAAATCCTTGAATTGCTGATCGTAAAAGATCAACAAAACTCGCCCACTGTTACACTAGAGTCTTAATGTCACAAATTCAAAGTTTCTTATCACTATATCTTTGCAACCTGATAGTGTAAACCTGTGATATTTCAAACTCATATTATTTGATCTAGCAGATATGATAGTTTGAAATGTATAAGGTCTCTACGACATTGGAAATAGGGATTAGAAATTCAGAGTTTGTTGCAAAGACTCAGTTTCTTTGGCATGATTTTCGATATTATTTAACAAATACAGATATAAAGCACAATTTCAGCTGTTTCCAGAATTTTTTAAAAGTAGTAAAATAATATGCTTCAGCGAAAAAAAATGAACCGCTTGGGCACAATTATTTTTCTTGGGGGGGGGGGGGGGGTGTAATCGTTTCCATAATTCCAGGGGCTTAAACTTACCTGTGAACCATTGTTTTCACTAATCCAGAGGGTTCAGTGCCTGCCTAGCCTCACCCCCGGTCAACATTTATACATTTTACATTGCTACAATCATAACATGCATCTCTACGTCAGTAAAATATTAATTCCAATATATAATACGATTCATACATTTGTATAATATCCAAAAAAAAAATACATTAAATGCAACATTATATATAAAGGAATTGAGTTTTTGCCGTAAACACAAATTATCTAATCCCTATATATCTTTGCAACTACATGCTTTAATACTTTGATATTTCAAACTTAAATTATTTCGAAATATCTAAGGTCTACGTCATTGGGTTGTACATATAAGGGGACTATAGGGACTTGAAATAAAAACTAATTTTAATCCAAATCTTATTTTAGATGAATATATCAATGCCGAGCTATAACAAGGTAAACTTTTTAATATTTCTTTGATCTTTAAAAATTTGTATTAACCAAAAATAAAATGCAATAATTCGCGCAATTTCATTTATGTATGTATAAACTACAGTAACAGTCTCTTCAGTGTTCGCATCATTTAATGTACATTAGTTCTTGTCCCCCCTTTTCCCCTTTATCTCACCTCCCTCCCCCCGTTTCTTCATTCTTCCCCTTTTTATACTCCCCCCCCCTTCCGGCAAACCAGTCCTCTTTTGTATTCTGGTATAGAGGAGCACTGTGAAGCAAGCTAAAACTCATCTTGTCTCAGCTTTATTGAGCTAAACATGATTTTAAACATTGAGCAAAACATTGAGCTAAACATTGAGATAAACATTGTGATAAGCCTTGAGCTAAACAATGAGCTAAACATAGAGCTAAACATAGATCTAACCATTGAAATAAACATTGAGCTAAACATTGAGCTAAACATTGAGTAAACATTTAGCTAAACATTGAGTTAAAATTAAGATAAACATTAAGCTAAACATTGAGCTAAACATTGAGCTAAACATTAAGCTAAGCATTGAGCTAAACATTGAGCTAAACATTGAGAAAAGCATTGAGCTAAACACTGAGCTAAACATTGAGCTAAACATTGAGCTTAAACATTAAGCTAAACATTGAGCTAAACATTAAGCTAAACATAGATCTAAACATTGAGCTAAACATTGAGTAGAGTAAACATTTAGCTAAACATTGAGCTAAAATTAAGATAAACATTAAGCTAAACATTGAGCTAAACATTGAGCTAAACATTAAGCTAAACATTGAGCTAAACATTGAGCTAAACATTTATCTAAGCATTGAGCTAATCATTGAGCAAAATATTGAGCCAAATATTAATCTAAACATTGAGCTAAACATTAAGCTAAACATTGAGCTAGATATTGAGCCAAATATTAAGCTAAATATCTAACTAAACATTTACATTTTGAAACTTTTACTTAAGATTGAAACTGTTAAAGTTATAAACTGACTATAGCAGCTTATTTTAATGAATATTGTATTGTGTTTTCTAGCATATAGTATTATCTAAAGAGCTAAACTTGGATATATCTTTTTTACAACGGCATCAAAAAGAAAAATTATATATTGTCTACAGTCAAATGTATGTTTGTTGGTTTTTCCGTAACCAAAAACTGACGTCAAGAGTTTAAAACCAACAGACCCAATTTTTTGTGTTTATATCTTACATCAACCTGGAGGATTGGCAAGGGTTTAATGACGTTCAGAATTTAAATATATATTTTTTTCCAAAATATTTATTTTTCTTTATTTTGAAAATCCGCCAAAAGATTACAAAAATATCAACAAAATCTTGGGCATTAGTAAGGAGTAAGGACTTATATAAGCTCATTTTTTTCTTTAACAAATTTGGTTGTTATGTATGTTTTAAATGAGTAGTCACCCCTACACTGCAAACTAGAAAGAAGTAGAAGGTAATGACTGGTGTCACCTGGTAGATCCTCTAGTTTTCTATTTTACGCACAAGTATGATAAAATCAAATTTTTTCGTTTCTTCTTAATATCTCTTTATTAAGTTACAATTGAAACCTCAAAAGATTTCAATTGTACCTGAGCTAAAAAATTTTGAATAGTGGATATGGAGATAATATTTGATCTCCTCTTTTTCTTAATCTCCAGATTAAATAATGCTTGTCCTCCTCTTGTTATCAATCTTCAGACTAATTAATCGTTTGGAATTAAGGATATCCCATTCTAAAGTTTTCAGCTCTGAGAAAAATATTTTTCAAAAAGAAGAACGTGCCCATCCTTTCACTCAAGTATCTAAATAATCTCCTTAAAATATTTGAAGTGGAAACAGGGGGATCTTTATAAACTGGGTTTATACTACCAAGAGACATAAAGTTACTTTAATACAATGTATAAATGTCAACTGTACACTCCATTGGGGAAATTAAATTCTTGGACTATTATACACAGTACAAACATTCAGAAGAATTCTTAATTTGATTTGTTTATTTACAATATTTAATCTTGATTGCCAGTTAATTTTTAAAGGTTTAGATACGATTCTGTAAGGCCTTGACGGGTCCAAATTTTTCCGGAAAAATGGAGACCCTGGCTAGGGTTGTTAATCGTTTTTGAAAACGATCCTTAAACGAGAGGTTTTTGTTTCATTTTTCAATCGTTTTCAAAAACGATCGTTTCGTTTTTGGAAAAAAATTGTTTAAAACGACCCACTCGTTTTGAACTTTTTGAAAACATATAACAATCGTTTTAAAAAATGATCGTTATTTGAAAAACGATTTGTGACCGTTTTTTATATGATTGTTTTTTAGAAACGATCGCTTTTAAATAAACCATCGTTTTTGAAAAATAAAATTTTATTGACAATTATGTTAACAATCGTTAACAAAGAGTCGTCGTTGTTGAAAAAAAAACGATCGTTTCGTTTTCGATTTGTCGTCGTCGAAACTATCCTTTTTTAAAAAAATGAAAACGTTAACATCCCTACAGAAATAACCACGTCAAGGCACTTTTTGAAAAATAATGCCCAAATTAATCCACCTTAAATTTGGTTTACTAAAGTGCATATAAAATGCTAAAATTAAAAATTGTTTTTAACAAATTTAAAACTTTTTCAAGTATGTGCTCTAGTGTACTTGAATCAACTTATTAATGAAAGTAAGAGAAAAAAATCGATAAAAATCGTCTTGAAATAATGAATGTAAAAACATTAAAACCTCAAAAGCAAAAAAAGTCACTTTTATTCAACATTTTAGCATTTAATGTTATGCTTCTTATTTGCTATTGAAAGTTTTTGTTGCAGATTTAAAAAAGATTAGTCATTTTCAATGTAGTAGTTTCACTTTTAATACTTTTTATAGGTGCCAACTGCACCTCCTCCGATGGCTTCCGCGGAAACTCTTTTCTCCCTCCGATCCCATCTCAGGTAATAACAAATAGTTGATCTTAATTAAAAGTAAAAACACAAAAAATGCACTTTTTAATCAAAAACATATTTTTAATCAAAACAAGCCTAAAAGTGTCTCCATTATGTTCTCTTTAAAAATATAATATTTTTAATTTCATCTTTCTTCATTTCTTTATCAGAAATAACGGAAGAAATTTTCAAAAATTTTAAGGCGAGAAAAACTAAAGTACGAATAGAAAATCAGGAAATCCTATTTTTAATTGAAATTACGGTTAAAATTTAATCAAAATCTAGTGCGATTTATCATGCTTTTCTTATTATATAGGAATGATCCAAATTCTTCAGTACTTCCAACTAGTCCGCCTAGTAATGGGTTAAACCAGGTAATTATTAAATAATGGGTTAAACCAGGTAATTGTTAAATAATGGTTTAAACCAGGTAATTATTAAATAATGGTTTAAACCAGGTAATTATTAAATAATGGGTTAAATCAGGTGATTATTAAATAGTGTTTTAAACCAGGTAGTTATTAAATTATGGGTTAAAGCAGGTAATTATCAAATAATGGTTTAAACCAGGTAATTAGCAAATAATGGTTTAAACCAGGTAATTATTAAATAATGGTTTAAACCAGGTAATTATCAAATATTGGTTTAAACAAGGTAAATATTAAATAAGCGATTTTATTGTTTTTTACTCAATTTAACATCAATGTGTGGCCTACACACACATAATAACATTGAATCAGATAGCAGTTTATGTTTTCCAGACAAAATTACAGCCAAGAACCATATCTTTTCTACATAAAAGTAAACAAATAAATTTTACATGTTGGAGAATTGATTTAATGACTATGTAGGCATCACAGAGTAGTTCCCTACTAGAGTAGTTCCCTACTCTTTTATAAGCCTTCAAATCACTATTTTTCAGTGAATCAAGTCGGATTTGAAATAAATTCTTGTGAAAGATATATTTAGAATTCCAGATAAATATCTGAATTTTGCTTGAGATTTATGGAGAACATTTAGATGTGTTCTAAAGTCTAAACTGCCACTTTACTTGTAAGGATTTATAAAAGCATCCGTTTCACATTTTAAGTAAGCAAAATATGTTTATACTCTTGATCCATATTTCATTTTTAAAAAGATTGTTCAGGATTTTGACAAGGATCTTAGGTAGCACTTTTTGGATAAAATTAATTATTAATAATATTCTTGCGTCTTTTATTTTTTTAAAGATTTAATTTTAAAAAATATTAAAAATTAACAAAAACAAATCAAGTTTATGAGATATTAAACATTGAAAATAATAGTAGAATCAGGATGTATCAACTCACTCACCATAGACAAAAAAACATCACTTAATAGAAATCTTTTTGAATTTACCATTTGTGGTCGGCCCTGGATAAACCTTTAACATTGCCGAAAGTATCGAGGCATTTTTCCAGATTTAGATTTTAAATTGAAAATAGCATGTTCACTGTTTAAGATACAAGAACGCCTATGACCGTTAAATCTTGTTTTTAAAATAACTTTGTCAGTTAAAGGAATTGATTCCTTGCCACAAAATAAAAATTGTATATCCCTATATCTTTGCAACCTGATGGTGGACAACTTTGATATTTCAAAGTATGTTATTTGATATAGCCGAATTTATAGTTTAAAACCTCTATATATATATGACTCGTGACATAAGGATTAGAAGACTAAATATCTTACTATAATAAAAAATCGAAGTAGATCTTCAAGTCGTCTATCAATTCTCATATTAATTATTGGAACTGTCTTAATCAATTTTATGCTAGATGTCGGATCGGAATGGTAACAGTGAAGGATTAACCTCTGGTCTTACAAATATCATGAGTTTCGAACAGTTTAAAAGGTAAAAACATTATTTACGGGATTGTTAACAAAAAACGTCTTGAACAAAAGGTTGATCGCACACCTCTGCCCCTTTAGTAAAAGTAAATTCAACCTATATGAAGCATAAAGTCTTACCGAGCGTCAACCTTGGTGTACCGGCTAGTCCTGTCCATAGAGCTAGGTACAGTACAAACTGGGCCCAGGAAGGTTGACCCGGCCCGGAAATTCAAATAAACTACGGCTGCCTGTGTAGGTTAGTGCCAGTCTTAATTCTACCCAATTTTCCATAAATAGAAATTATAAAAAAAGAGAACGTGAGACGTCTAGAAAGAGACGTTAAAAGCATCCCCCCTCCTCCCCCCACCTCCCCCTTCGGATTTAGGAACAATAGGAATGGTCATTGTCGGCGTAATGTCAAGTGACTCTTGATGACATATATAAAAGTGAAAAGATTAAACAATTAAACGCTCAAGTTAATTATGTTCATTCTATCCTATTAGGTTGGACTCTGATGCCAAAAATGCTGAAATACTGCGACTTTTACCTCTGATGAATCCACTTGCTTCAGAGTTTACTGGATTGAAGAAAACTCTCGAGCAAGCTTTCTCTAAGATAGAAGAGGTTCGTAAACTTAAATTGAAACTCTACATTAAAAAATCAAGATTTGTAATGAGTCAAAAAATGTAAAATTACAATATCAAATTTTTGTTTATATCGACCTGACCTTCATTTAACAATTCACCAAATTATTTTTTTGTTATGCTTCCATTTTTTAAACAAGCAATGGCTGCTTCTGTCCTTTATCTCCTCTCTTTAAATTTTAACTTCATTCCCTTTAATATTTGAATCTAAAACCCAATGTTTCTCTTTATTAAAGGTGGAACAGAGAAGAGAACAGCAGGACATTAATAATACAGTTTGCCTTGGATCCCCTGTATCCACCTTCTCATTTCCAGGTATATTCTTCTTCTTCTTCTTCTTCTTCTTCTTCTTCTTCTTCTTCTTCTTCTTCTTCTTCTTCTTCTTCTTCTTCTTCTTCTTCTTCTTCTTCTTCATAATTATATTAAATTTTAAGTCAAATGCCTTTAATAAGTCAAAATAAGAAAATCCAACAAATGCCATTAAACGTCTTTATTTCATTTTTTCTATCTACAAATAAACATCATACTGTCACTATAAATATGCTTTAGCTGTGTTGAAATCTTTTATGTTCAGTTTAACAAATTCTTTGTTTTTAGGATATCTCTCTGAACAACAGGCACCAGATCCTTTTATCATTGCTAAATCTAAATTACTGAACAGAAGGGTCACTCTTAATGTTGGAGGAATAAGGTAATATCAATGGAAGACGGAGAGGGGGGGGGGGTTCAGGTAACATATTTAGGGATACTAACAACAGATGAGCCTTCAGAGATGACATTACGGAATTCATAATGTCTGTTTCCTTATATTAATGAACTATTTTATAATAAAGAGCTAAAACTGTATTGAGTAATAACACGATTTGCTCAAGAAACTATATTTACATTAGACATAATATATAATAATAGAGACGTAACACTTCAGAGTTTTCTCCGCCGTGGCCGGCGGACATATTCTTCCCTGACCAGTCTGTTTAACCCCTTTGACATTACAAACTCAATCAGGGGTTTGAACATGGCGGATCATAAAACATGGCGGATCAATATCAGGGGTTTGAACATGGCGGATCAATATCAGGGGTTTGAACATGGCGGATCAATATCAGGGGTTTGAACATGGCGGATCAATATCAGGGGTTTGAACATGGCGGATCAATATCAGGGGTTTGAACATGGCGGAACATGGCGGATCAATATCAGGGGTTTGATCATAGCGGATCAATATCAGGGGTTTGAACATGGCGGATCAATATCAGGGGTTTGAACTTGGCGGATCAGGGGTTTGAACATGGCGGATCAATATCAGGGGTTTGAACTTGGCGGATCATTAAACATGGCGGATCAATATCAGGGGTTTGAACATGGCGGATCATTAAACATGGCGGAACAATATCAGGTGTTTGAGCATGGCGGATCATTAAACATGGCGGATCAATATCAGGGGTTTGAACATGGCGGATCATTAAACATGGCGGATCAATGGCGGGACAACTAAACTCCGGCTTGGGTTTATCATTAACTTTATATAACGGACAACTAAACTCTGGCTTGGGTTTATAATAACTTTCTAACAGACAACTAAACTCCGGTTTGGATTTAAAGTCTGTTTATTATAAACTAAATACTGAATATGTACAAATGAACATTTTTTATCTTTACATTTTGTTTGCATCAATTTCATTAAACTGTTAAAATAAATTGTAGATTTTACTTTGTTTTTGCTTCGGAAGATTTTTACTAGAGTGGAGGAATTCATTTCACAGCTTTGATTGTTTTGTTTACAATGTATTCTTCTTTTTCTTTTGGTTTTCGTATTTTTAGTTTATTTATAATGATATATATCATTTAGCCCACGCCACAAACTATAGGGGTAGGTGGGGAGATTTAAGTTTAAAATAAATATTTATATTTTTAATATTCGCATCTCTAAAGATTCAAATTCTAGCTATATTATGTTCCCATTTAGTGCTTTTTTTGTTGATAAACTTCATGAATAAAAATAATTAAATCTAATAAGTTTTAGTTAAAAGCTATTTAAGAAAAACTCGAATTACTTAACTTACTGAACACACAAAACATAAATTTTTTAGCATAAATCTTTTAACTCATAAATTTATATTTTTTGTACTTTTTTATTTGGAACCAATGTGAAAAAATATTAAAGAATTTTTATTTTCTGGGCAGGAAGTAATGTGGAAAATAATCATGAAATATTTGTATGAACTAGACATAAAGTAATGTTGAAAATAACAACAGATTTTTTATTTACTAAACGTTAAGTTATGTGGAAAAGCCCACAAAATTTATATTTACTAGACATGAAGTAATGTAGAAAATAACCACCGAATTAATACTGTTGAGACATGAAGTAATGTTAGAAATAACCACAGTATGTTTATTTACTAGACATGAAGTAATGTTAGAAAAAACAACAGTATGTTTATTTACTAGACTTGAAGTTATGTGGAAAATAACCACATTATGTTTATTTACTAGACATGAAGTAATGTTAGAAATAACCACAGTATGTTTATTACTAGACATGAAGTTATGTGCAAAATAACCCCAGTATGTTTATTTAATAGACAGGAAGTAATGTTAGAAATAACCACAGTATGTTTATTACTAGACATGAAGTTATGTGGAAAATAACCACAGTATGTTTATTTACTAGACATGACGTTATGTGGAAAATAACCACAGCATGTTTATTTACTAGACATGAAGTTATGTGGAAAATAACCACAGTATGTTTATTTACTAAACATGACGTTTATTTACTTGACATGAAGTAATGTGGAAAATAACCACAGTATGTTTATTTACTAGACATAAAGTAATGTTTGAAATAACCACAGTATGTTTATTTACTAGACATGAAGTTTTGTGGAAAATAACCACAGTATGTTTATTTACTAGACATAAAGTAATGTTAGAAATAACCACAGTATGTTTATTTACTAGACATGAAGTTATGTGGAAAATAACCACAGTATGTTTATTTACTAGACATGAAGTTATGTGGAAAATGCTGCGGCAGATTCCTATGTCAAGATTGGGACTCCTTGCAAAGGTATGAAATTTTTTTCTAATGATAATTTGCCACAATAATCCCAATATTTTTATAACCTGAAGGTGTAAACTTTTGATAGAGATTTAAATTCAAGTATATGATCTCGCAGAATTCATTTCTAACGTCTACAACTTTAAGTTACAAAGATGAAATGCATAGCAAATCCATATTTGTGAAAATAATTCCTTTCCACACTAAGTATGCAATTTCCAAAAAAAGTATGCAATTTCCACGATAAGTATGCAATTTCCACGCTAAGTATGTAATTTCCACGATAAGTATGCAATTTCCACGTTAAGAATGCAATTTCCATGATAATTTGGTGTATTATGAGGCTTTATCTGCATCACATTTTCTTGGCATAGTTTCCTGAAAAGGTAAAAACTGTTTTAATAATTTTTATATTGTGAATAGGCACCGACCCATGATGCAATTTTGGAGCTCTGTGCTGACTATTCCCTTGTGGAAAACGAATATTTTTTTGACAGGTTAGAAATATATGTTTGGAGAAATTCTACATTCTCTAGTGTGTATTCTGTATTCTGTAGACTGTATTTTGTATTCTGCGTCCTGTATCCTGAATTAAGTGCTCTGTTATCTGTATTCGTATCCTGTATTCCGTGTCCTGTGTCCTGTATCCGGTGTCCTGTGTCCTGTGTCCTGTTTCATGTGTCCTGTGTCATGTGTCCTGTATCCTGTGTCCTTTGTCCTGTGTCCTGAGTCCTGTGTCCTGTGTCAAGTGTCATGTGTCCTGTGTCCTGTATCATGTTTCCCTGTATCTTGTTTCCTGTATCTTGTATCCTGTATCCTGTATGAGAGCAGGAAGGCCAACCACAACAATTTCTAGTCCGAGCCACACTCTCCTCATTTACTCGTGCGAGCCAAATTGCAAACCTCGTCCTTCTAATATTATTTTTCAAATGTCCAATCCTTGCAAAATGAAAATATTTGTTAAAAATCTGGCGAAGTTAGTTGGATATGACATGGTCAAACTAAAGTATTGCAAGGATGTTATCATGTTGAAACCTTCAAATCCATGAAAATGATGCAAAACTTTATTTAGAGTAAAACCTAAATATCTTCTGCTTGTGTAATACTTATATTTTATACTTATAATTTAAAAATAACATCAAAGGATTTCCTTGAACATGGTCTGAAATCTTTTTATTTCCATGCATTTAAAAAAAATCATGGAATTGTAATGCAAATAAAGACAAATTTGATAACCTCGTACCAAACCTATTTTTAAAAAGAAATTATCGGAAGGACCAGGATTTTGAGGTGGCTCAGAGGGACTAATGAGGAGGAAGTGGCTCGGACTAGATATTTTTGTTGCTGACCTTCCTTCCCTACCTCCCTGTATCCTAGAGACTAAGTTTATCAACTATTGCATCTATTCTACTCATGCGGTTGCGGACAAAACTTTTAATTTTGAACAAATTCCTAATTTTGTGCATTCTACCCTCCTCCTATCTTTCTAAATCATTTAAACATTATATAATCTGATAAGGGAATGTTTTTAAATGTTTGCCATAAATTAAATACTTTTATTTTCATTTCTATATCATAGCGTTTGTCCGCTATATCGTGTTAAGCAGTATTTTTGTTTAAGTCAGAAAACGTTTTTTCGTAATTGTATAAATAAGTAAGTTCTTACATAGATAAGGCAGCTGTAAGTATAGTGTTAAATAATCCTCCATGGAAAGATGACAATGCCCGATTTATAACAATACCCTTGAAAGCTTTTTCTGACCATGTATGTATTGGATATCAATGTTTTTGTTTCTTTAAACTGTTTGTTTTTATTTGCGGCTTCTCTGTAAAAGTGACTTGCGCATTTCTTGATTATGAGAAGGGTTGGAGAAACTCACAGAAAAATAAACAATTTTTGAGTCAGAAGAACTGCGGTACTTTCCTCATTTTATTCAAACCAATGTTTCCAGGGTCCCCTTGCATATCGGAAATTGTTATGTTTGCATGACGGGAAACATTAGGTGTGATAAATTCTTTCAAAATTGAAAAAAACCAATTTTATATTTCAGGCATCCACGATCCTTCAACACTATTTTGAACTTCTACAGAACTGGAAAACTACATATATCTGACGAAATGTGCATTCTTGCTTTCCGGTTAGTGAAACCAACTGGAACATTCGTGTCTTCATTGATCTTGAACTCTTAATCTCGATATCCAATGTAGACACTTTAAAGCTTGAGCATCATTAAATTGAATTAATTTGTGGGTCATGCTAAAGATGGAGATCAATTTTTGATCCCAAGATTTTCACTTCAGTACTTATTTTTAATTTTTATTATTTTTCAACCTTATATGGTATAGCTTTTGATATGTTAAACTATGAATTCTGCTGGATCTAACAGTTAAGTTTTAAAATTAACAGTTGATCTTTGGAAAAAGAATATTTTTTACTTACTCTACACGACCTTCATAATATTGTACAACAACAGAAGCCGTCTTTAACTTTCTAACTAAATTCTACTCCCCTCCTTCTTGACAACGTGTGAGTTAATCATGAATTTAATTTTAGAGATGATCTTGAATACTGGCTCATAAACGAGGAATATATGGAGTCATGCTGTAGGTATAGATAGATAGATAAATAGTTTATTTAATTTTTATTTGTTTATTTATCCTTTTTTCATTGAATAATTCATTGATTTGTTGACATTTATTTTATTCGCTTAATTAGTTGATTAACTTATTGATTGATTGCAATTAATGGATTAATTAATTGATTGATTAATTGATTGATTGATTGGTTGATTAATTGATTGATTGGTTGATTAATTGATTGATTGGTTGATTAATTGATTGATTGGTTGATTAATTGATTGATTAAATGATTGATTGGTTGATTAATTGATTTATCCAATTTAGGGACAAGTTCCTGAGTAAGAAAGAGATAATAGTTGAAGAGATGGAAGTAATCTCGACTAAACTGAAAAAGGTTTGAGACTATTTACATATCTAACCAGATGCATTTTCTTCCCTTGCATACAAGTGTAGAAATGCATTCCGCGACCAAAGTTTTGTTGAAAAGGAGGGAGTCTTGCTAACTATAGAAAACCAATTTTAAACTTTTGCGGCAATTTACTTAATGAAAATGAATGTTCGCTGAAAACAGTTAAACCGGTGTAAGATATAAATAGAGCACCAAAACCAGAGCTCAAACTTAGGCTCTGACTGCGAACATGTTCAGTATAAAAGTCTGGGCTTTATAATCATTGGACACCACAAACTTAGAACTTACATAAATAACAATGTTAAGCAGTATATCGTGCACTGTATGTACGTAAATATAAGCTGAAATTCCTTGAAGAAAAATAAATAATCCAACAATTTTTAAAGCAGAAATATTTATGAGAAAATTCGGTTTCGGCTGGTGGAAATACACGCAGCTTGTGAAGTTTTACACTACAAGATCTTTGAACAAATGCCCTATTCTGTATATGAATTTATTGCTACATAAATAGTAATTGCAATGTCCGGCAAAACCTGCAATGTCGTAAAATTGGTGTAGTGACAGTGAAGTTAACATCTCAGTGCCAACACATGGTTTAGTATTTCAGAATAAAGGTCTGCAGAGCTTAACAGAGATGACCACGTTTGGGGTTTTTAATTTGTTCGGTCATATTTCGCTAACTATAAGTTTGTTCAGTAAAACTGATTGATCGTTGAAATCGTTTGTTCAGCAAAATCGTTATTTCATTAAAGGTGTAGTTTTTTTTTTTTGAGAAAAACGATAGTTTTAATTTCTTTAAATTCCATTTTTTAATATTTACGTAAATTTTTCTGAACGATACCATCATTCACAAAAATTTTCGTTTGTTTTGAAATATTTAGTTTTCTAACTAAAAAGATGCCCATCTCTACCTATAATATAGTTTCAGTAAAGTAAGAATAATTTTCATTTTGTTCAGGACGAAGAAGAAGATTTTGGAACTGGAAAGTTTGCAAAATATCAGAAAATGATTTGGGATCTCATTGAACACCCAGATACGAGTGTAGCTGCTCAGGTACAAAAATACAGTGACACCCACAAAACTGTGGAAGTGAAAGACAACTGAAAGAAATGTTTTGTGTTTTTGATGTTCTTATAAAACAATAATTAAAACTTAACTTATTAAGCAAATTAGTCTGTACTCTGTTACTGCACATTTATTGTGTATTTGAAGTTCTTATAAAACAATAATTAAAACTTTACTTATTAAGTAATGTACTCTGTGCTGTACAATTATTGTGTTGTTTTTGTTTACTGAACTATCTAAAATCACAACTTCAGTTTTTCAGTCGTCTTCCAATTCTACGGTTTTATGGGTCCTAGTACTTTGCAAGTTCAGTTTAAATTTAGCCTTAAATGTTCATTTGTTTGAGACTGATTTGCATAGATGAATTGATAAACACTCAAGTCAATCTCAATTTGACTCTCTCTTTTTTCAACCTGATGTCGTTGACCTTTAATTTTCCAACCTGATGTCGTTGACCTTTATTTCCAACCTGATGCCGTTGACCTTTAATTTTTCAATCTGATGTCGTTGACCTTTAATTTTGCAACCTGATGTCGTTGACCTTTAATTTTCTAACCGGATGTCTTCAAAAGTATTTACCTTCCGGTTGCAAAGATATAAAAATTGTAAAATTTTGAGGCGAATAATCAGTTGGTTTGTATAGGTAATATCAGTTCTATCTATGGTGTTTGTTGGAATCTCTATTATTGGTATGACTATTAATACACTGCCCAGCCTGCAATATAAGGTGAACAAATTCTCCAAACTAGAATTGTACATTAGAAATATTATTCGTTTCAAAAAATAATTTTAACAAAAATTTTGATAATAATGAGGTAAATAATAAATTAAGAACACTAAAAGTTTAAATCATATAATTCAAATTATCTTATCTTACAACTTCTTTGTTTCATCTTAAACCATTATTTTTTATCTACAATAATAAAATAAAGTTTAAACAGCAAAAGTTGGATTAAATATAAGTTTAGGGAATCATAAAAAAACTTTACTCGAAAATAATTTTAAAAGTTTTAAAAACAAAGAAGGGAAAGTAGACGTAAAGTGGCATGTCTATTGCAACCACTGCAATCTCAGGTTCATTTCATGTACAGGGCCGACTCTTTACCAGCTAGCGCAATCTGTACAGTAGAAATACAGACTATTTAGGGGAAAATGGGACAGTATGCAAAATGAATTATCCCCTTCTAGTGGAATTTATTTACTCTTAAAAGCTTTGTTTCATCACGAATGAAAAGATATCCATTATTTTTTCTATTGTTATTTTCAATTGTGGATTTTCTATTAAAGTGAATTGCGGAATTCTTGTTGCAGAAACAATTAAACATTTTTTAAAATGGAAAATTGGGCATGGACTCTTTAAATGAAATTGAAATTTCAACGACAGTATATCAAAGTTTCAAAATGAAAGTATCTTTTATCAAAAATGAGTTCCATGGTCTACCATTAGCCACAGGATATATTTTGAATCTAAAGTATAGTTTTGTTTTGTTCTGGCAATTGGAGCATTTAAGTTTCATGGGGCTTAAAATAATTTCTCCATAAAAGAGAATACAATTCAGTTTTGCCTATTTCTTGAATATTTATAATTTGCCACTGAAACTAAACTTTTTAAAATAGTTTTATTTTTACTTCCGTTTTCTAAACAGCAGTGCAATATATAAATGCGGTAGTAAAATATAAACCCCTCATTTTTAGATTTCCAGAGTACTGCAGTAAAAAAACAATTTGATCAAAATCTAAAAGACTTTTTACAATATTATCAGTGTACAATATGGCCTATGGGTGAGCAAAATAGTGAGAACTAATTTGACTAGTATTTAAAAGTAACTGAATTTTATTGTCAAGTGAAAAGGAATTGAGTACTTGCAACAAACTCTGATTTTTCTTGCAACCCAATGTTGTAGACCCAGATATTTTAAGCTATGAATTCTGACAGATAAAATAATATAGTTTGAAATATCAAAAGTTTCCAGCATCAGGTTGCAAAGATACAACGATTATAAAAATTGAGTTGGTGACTCAAAACTTAATTCCTTTGTTTAGAAAATGAAGTGAAAATTTTAATCATCAAAACAAAATAAAAAAGTTTAAGTCTGATTTGTTTCAAAAAAACTTTGATTTTTATATTTAAAAGTTAATTGAAAAAAATATATATTAAGATTTGAAATCAAAATTCGCAGAAGTTTTTATGTTGCATAAAATACGTAAAAAACTTTCCTTATTTCCCCTGCTTTAATAAATGAAGTGTTTATTTACTAATCAAGTTCTAATTCAAGTTTCTATAAAGTTGTATTTATTATATTGTATAAAGAAGAGGGAATAAAGATTCAGGGTGATGTAAGCATGCAAGATTGTTTTTAGCTGAACTAATAAAGTTATTAGTAATAAAAATTTCAAGTTTGAGTCTGAAACTTTTGAATGAGATAACCGCACTAATCAAAATATGTGCGCGGCGGGGTACTGTCCAGTCTTGCGCGTCTATAGTCTGTACGTAATGGTAATATACTGTACAACTTGCTCTAGTTGTCTATAAATTCGGTCCTGTAATTTAAATGCAAATTTTTTGGCTTCCTATTGATCGAAACATAATTACCTTTATGTTTTAGTTAAAAAAAGATGTAAATTAGTGATTTTTCTTCTTTTTGTGAAGACAAATTAAAGAAAATAATGGAGTCTTTGCCACAAACTAAAATATTCAAATCTTTGCAACATGGTAAACCTTTGATATTTTAAACTTAGATTAATTGATCCAATTGGTTGAACATACTTTAAAGTTTAAAATATCGAAGGTCTAAAACATTGTGTGTTAACGATAAAGGAATCAGAGTTGGTGGCAAAGTCTCAAGTGGTCTCCATAATCAATATTTCGTTCTAATGTTTCATGAAAGTCTGTGTTTCTATAAATGCACCGATAAAAGATAAATTGCTGTCTTTCTGAAGATACACTCTACCCTCTACATTTATAAATATTTGTTTAATAAATCTAAATCTAGGACGTACACGGCAAACCTATAGACAACCCTACACTGGCAATCATTGAAACTATTTGTATATCTTGGTTCACTTTAGAATATTTTATCAGGTATTAAAGGGAGTGTTCGCGAAAAATTAAAGGGGGTATAGGCTTAATGCGATAAAAAAGCGCTTTTGATCGCTACTAATCTTACTTCTATCTGTTGCGTCTATAATGAGAAAATTGTTAAAGACGTCTCATACCAAATAACAAATGTGGCAAAAGATAATCAATGACTATAGGTTGTAATATCTGAATCATTTGTTTGATATTAATTTGATTTTTTTACGATCCAAGTCGTATGTTCCAACTTCCTTAATTTGTATGGGCGCTACGCTCTTCGGTATGAGACGTCTTTGTCAATTTTCTCCTTATAGACGCAACAGATAGAAGTAAGATTAGTAGCGATCAAAAGCGCTTTTTTATCGCATTAAGCCTATACCCCATTTCAGTTTTCGCGAACACTCCCTTTAAAGGGAAATATTTGTATTTCTTGGTTTACTTTAGAATACTTTATCAGGTATTAAAGGGGAATAAAGTTCAAAGGTATGATTTAGCCAAAACCTGACTCCAACTGTCAGGTATGGAATATAGACATAGTTTGGAACTTTTCTCCCCTGTTTTTTATTAATATTTTTAAGACATGAATTATTCTTCCAGTTTTAGTTTATTTATTTATCTATATATCTATTTATCTATTTATCTCTATATCTATTTATCTATTTATCTTTTTATCTATTTATCTTTTTATCTGTGTATTTATTTTATTATTTATTTATCTATTTATCTGTTTCTCTAGTTATACATTTATCAAATTATCTTTTTATCTAAGTATCTATTTATTTATTTTTTTATTTATACATCTATTTATCTATTTATTTATTTTTTTATTTTTATCTATTAATCTTTTTTCTATTTTGCTCTTTATCTATCTAATATCTATGCCATTATATTAAGTTCTTAATAAATATTTTGTTATAATCTCAAGACATTGTACTCTAGAGTTTCTGTATAGATATGACATCTTGTCATTGTTCATACATTACTATAAACGTTATTACTCCAACCACTATAGTTTTGGGCGCCTGTTTTCTTTAAAAAATAAAATTTGATCGCGCAAGAAGAGTTTGTCGGGATAAAACCGGATAATGATATCTAACAGGAAGTAAATTAATCCGTTGATCTGCACTTAGTACAGATCAGTACAATGAAGACGAATTTTGACTTAAATTAAACAGCATGGATACACATAAACATGTAAATTATAAAATCTTTTTTTTTTGATTTCTTGTAAACTTGCAATTTGGATAAAGCTAGTTAACAATCCAAAGTAAATAAAAAGTCGTCTTCTTTGTATTGACATAATAGTCGACCACTGTATACACGCATTGAATACTTCAGGTTAGCTGGCGCCCCTGGGAAATGGAACTTCTTAAAGGACGGGATGAATATTGTTGATGTTCTTGCAATAATGCCATACTTCCTATCCCTATTCTTCCTAGATCAGGACCCCACCACACTGTAAGTACTTCCTCTCCCTATTCTTCCTAGATCAGGACCCCACAACACTGTAAGTACTACCTCTCCTTATTCTTCCTAGATCAGGACCCCACCACACTGTAAGTACTACCTCTCCCTATTCTTCCTAGATCAGGACCCCACAACACTGTAAGTACTACCTCTCCTTATTCTTCCTAGATCAGGACCCCACCACACTGTAAGTACTACCTCTCCTTATTCTTCCTAGATCAGGACCCCACCACACTGTAAGTCTAGAGAAAATGTTTTTAGAAAATAAAAGGTGGCCCACAAAGGATGAGAACTCAGAAACGCCAATTTTGGATTTTAATTTTTACATTAAAGGCTCCTTTTAGCATACTGCTTGTAATTGCTTTTTGTTACATCGTTTATAAACTATAATTTGCAGAAATTAAGATTATTAAATTTAAAGAGGTTCATGTCGTCTTTAAATTGTCATCCTTTGGAGGTAACACTGAAAACTGTGGATTCAAAAGTTCAATTTTTTTCAAAAATGACTCATTATTTCCAGACCCACTTCTGAAGGAGGACCTCCATTCATTGAGGTTACTGAGGCTCCTGTGAAGGAGGAGACAGGCTCTATGGAGGACATCCTTCAGGTGTTCAGGATATTCAAGCTGGCCAGGGTACTCAAGCTAGCCAGGCACTCTCCAGGACTGCAGGTAGATAATCAATCATATTTACTGGTAAATATAGTTATCGCCGATTAACAATGACCTTTAATAGTGTTGTCCGATTAAGAATGAGTTAGATATCCATGTTTTTTTAACTTATTAGTGACGAGAAGATTAATTTTGACCAGGTGAGCTTTTTTTAAGTGCCTTTATTCTTAAACTAAATGTCGTCCTGTCTTTTCCTGCGCTTTCCTTAGGATTCCCTGTTTTTAAAACATATTTTATATTTGACGTAACATCAAAACTAGTTTTTTTTAAATTATCAATTTAAAAAAAACCCAAAAAAAAACAAGATTTTGAATTTGGAAGAAAACCAAAAGAACACCCTGTAACTTAGTTTTAAATCCATAAAATTGTCATTTTTTTGCTAGAAAAAATTTAAAGACATTTTTGGAAACTTCTTTTAAAGATCTAAATAATTAAAAAATGAAATGTAAAGTTTTGATAATAATTAGATAATTATGAATTACCAAAATTTTTAGATTTTCATTTTTCTTCATGAGTACAATCAAGTTTTGTTATGACAAGATCCTTCTAAAACAACTTCATTAATAGTTAATGGTCTCGTCACTAATGGGACTGATTTTTTAAAAATTGAATTGCTTATGTCTTGGTTTAGAAAAAATGGAGAAATTTTCAGAATTAAACGTTTTTAAAACTAGTGAAAAACGCCGTTTCCTTCACATTAATGATCAGATTTAGACTCACACGCCCAAACTTCGCAGAGTTTATAAAATTTAATTGTGTTTATTTGGATATTACCTTGTCCACCCAACGGCTAACACTAAGTAGCTGATTTCTTGCCACGAATTGATTTGTTAATCCTTTATAATCTTTTAACCCTTTAGCCTAGATTCATAGTTTGAAATATCTAAGGTTTGCCATCGTGGGTTGCAAGGATATATGCAGGGATTAGAAAACCAAAGGTTGTTGCAAAGACCCAATTTCTTTGAGTTTGTGAAATAAACGTATTTCCTTTAAACATTTTAATAATAAAACTGTTATTTAGGCCATAGCTTACACTTTGAAGAACAGTTACAAAGAGCTAGGTCTGCTTATCTTTCTGATTTGTATCAGTGGTCTTATTTTTAGTAGTCTCTGCTATTTTATTGAGAAGGTAAATACTAAAGTCAAAGTGAGTTTGATAAACATTAATTCTTTCAAATTCATTCTACGCTTCTGATTGTTCATAATTAGTGCTTCGAGAGAAAATCAAGAGTTTCGATCTGCCTAGTAAAAGCCAAACTTCATATTTATAGTCATATTTTTGTTCAACTACAAAGCACGAGATAATACAAATAACACATTGCAATTTACTATGTAGTTTGGACTCGCCTAACCAGATTTGGTTGTTTTGATTGGTTGGCCCATTATAAGCGAATACGAATTGTAAATAAATAGATTGATGTACACTGTGCAGTGTAAGTTTTAAACAAAACAATGATGATAAATCATGAATAAGGTAAGGAGGGGGTGAAAAAGTATAAGGGAAAGGGTGGGTACTCAGCGGAAGGGTTGTAACATAGGGTAACATACAATATTAGAATCATGTTTTTGAATTACAGGGTGAAGAAGAAAGCAAAGACTAAGTTTATCCACATGAGAAACAGTTATTTTTTTACAGATATAACTTGCATAACTATCTAAATAGTTTTTGAAGATTTTTTTTAAACAGTTTTGCAGATATAGTTTTGGAAATAAAGCGGAAGGAAAATATTCTAGCGTTTTAAAAAAGAACCCGTTCAAGTTTATATGATTTTGTTCTATTTGGTTCAGCTAAAGAATTAAACATATCATGGAAGGAAGCTGGAAGATTTTCATAAAAGTATTTATGCAAAAAGATAGAACACCTAGTTTATATGTATCATCAAGATTTAGTTAGCTAAGGAGCTAGATATCCTTATTAAACAGTTGATTTACAAATTAGTTTTAAAAACTCCAGCTAAAAGCAACTTTAAATTTACTTCTGAGGTTTATAAAAATCTTTAAGTAAAGCTTTTAAGTAAGGTGAAATCACATGCCAAGGCGTTGCAACACTTCTTAATCAATCCAGTCTTGAAAATTCATTATTTTAGGATTAAAATTCATTATTTTAGGAAGAAAATTCATTATTTTAGGATGAGGAATCTGGATTTACGTCAATACCTACAGCATTCTACTGGGTAGTTGTTACAATGACTACAGTAGGATATGGAGATATATTTCCTACAACAGGTATTAGGTTATTATATATGCAGGCGCGGTTCACTTAGCCCCCTAATGGATGATAGTTGCAAATCCACCTAATCCCGGCCAGATTCAAATAAATCTGAAAAAGAACTACTGAATGTTTATTTTTAAAGCAATGATAGTTTTTTAAAGATAATAATAATAATAATAATAATAATAATATACTTGTTTTAAGCCATAATAGTGGTATTTTCAAAGCCATTATAACATTTGTTAAGGTGTCCTAGTACTGTTTATTGTTTAATGTTTGAGTAAACTGGTAGGCACGTTCTGTGCTATATCTGGTGTCCTAGTACTATTTGTTGTTTAAGGTTTCGGCAAACTGGTAGGCACGTTATGTGCTATATCTGGTGTCCTAGTATCGTTTATTGTTTAAGGGTTGGGTAAACTGATAGGCACGTTCTGTGCTATATCTGGTGTCCTAGTACTATTAATTGTTTAAGGTTTGGGTAAACTGATAGGCACGTTCTGTGCTATATCTGGTGTCCTAGTACTGTTTATTGTTTAAGGTTTGGGTAAACTGGTAGGCACATTCTATGCTATATCTGGTGTCCTAGTATCGTTTATTGTTTAAGGGTTGGGTAAACTGGTAGGCACGTTCTGTGCTATATCTGGTGTCCTAGTACTGTTTATTGTTTAAGGTTTGGGTAAACTGGTAGGCATGTTCTGTGCTATATCTGGTGTCCTAGTATCGTTTATTGTTTGTTTGGGTAAACTGGTAGGCACGCTCTGTGCTATATCTGGTGTCCTAGTACTGTTTTTTGTTTAAGGTTTGGGTAAACTGGTAGGCACGTTCGGTGCTATATCTGGTGTCCCAGTACTGTTCATTGTTTAAAGGTTGGGTAAACTGGTAGCCACGTTCTGTGCTTTCTCTGGTGTCCTAGTACTGTTTATTGTTTAAGGTTTGGGTAAACTGGTAGGCACGTTCTGTGCTATATCTGGTGTCTTAGTACTGTCTCTACCTATTCCAATCATTGCTGGAAACTTTGAGAGATTTCACAAAGACCAAGGACTCAGGTAATATATAAAAATTGTTATTTTAGATCCAAATTCAAAAATAAAAAAATAAAAAATACATTTATTGAAAAATTATAGTTTTTTTTTTCATAAATCTCAAGTCTTTCATAGTAAAATCCAAATACTTGACAACCGTTAAAGGATTGCCTATAATATATTTTCACAACCCCTACAGAGTATCTTAAAATGTTTAAAGAGGCTGGAGACGTAATTTTAAATTACCCTTCATTTGTAGAGTAGCAGGTTTGATTCACAATCGGGCCATTTAATCCTTTGTCTAATCAAGAATGAATGAGATATCCTTATTTTTCAAGTGAAAGTTGATTATTTTTGATTCATGGGTTATCTTTAAAAGTGACTCAATGGTAAATAAATGTTATATAATTTTGCTTGTTTATATAAGAGGCTTTATAGCATATCAATTATTTATAACGAGAAATTTTGAAAGAAACTGAGTTTTTGTCACAAACTCTACTTTTATATCCTCTATATCTTTGCAGGCTGCCCAATGTCGTAGACCTTTGATATTTCAAACTATCAATTCTGTTAGACCAAATAATCTAAGTTTGAGATATCTAAGGTTTACATCATCAGATTGTAAAGATATAGGGATTAGACAATTTGAATGTGTGACAAAAACTCAATTCCTTTGTAAAAAGCAGTGAAATTAGTCAATTGTGGTCGAAATTTTTTCATAAACTAGCTTGGAAACCCAGCTTTGCCTGGAAGCTAATTATTTATACAATAGTCAACACATTCAACTTAGAATTTTTAAACCCAGCTGAAAGCATTCCCGTGCCCCGTGGTTCTACCGGTCCCTAATCAAAATTTCAGACAAATCGGTTGAGGGGTTCCTGAGTTATGATTAAGCATATAAACAAACAAATTGAGATTTCTACTTAGATATATAAACCTTTTATATGTATAGTAGATTAACATGAAGACCCGGAGGCGCTATAAGAGCGCAATGTAACCCGAATACCCCTGGTTGGTAATATATCTGTGTTCAGGGATAAAGCCGAGAAAAGGAAGAAGCAGTTGAAAGCTGCGAAGATTGCTGAGGAGGAGGAGAGAAGACAGTTCTGTGAGAGAAGGTTTAATTTACATTTATATACATGCACAGTACACAATAGCTTAGAAACTCAGCGTTGCCCAGGTTACTTATAGTTACTCCCGCCGTTTACCTGCACTTGGTCGATTTTACCGGGAAACTCAATTTTTGCTATAAATCGATCCACTCAACTTGGGTTCTCACAGCTTTAGATATTCAGGTGGTTCTCCCGAGTTCCCCAGTCTAAATTTAAGGCAAATCGGTCCAGGGGTTCATGGTTTATGATCGGGCATATATACAAACAAACAAACACCAAAACAAAGAATACAAGTTTATATAGAATTATTCACGCTAAGAAACGCCAAATGTAAAATTTGCGTCTGATAAAATGTGTCTGAGCAACCGGAGCCAAGTTCGAGTAGCTCGATGCTTCAAATATTGAAGTATGATAAATTTCATTGAACAAAATATGACAAATAATGATACTAATTGTCGCACGTGCTCCAACACAATTTGTTAGATAAAATTTGACTATTCTTAGTGCATGGACAATTTCACAATTTCGTATTTAACCCGAAATAAACTTAAGAATAAGCATTTGTCTTTGAATGACCAAAAAAATTATCAAAAAATTATCATTCGAGTTTTCAATAAAAATAATAATTTCAAATAATTTATAATAAAAAAAAAAAATTATAATTTTTAGGGAGGCTATTCATGGATCTTGCCAGACCCTTCCAAATTCTCCCACTTTCCTTCATATACCGGTAATAAACTAGTTTTTAGTTATAATTAAAGATTAAAATTATTCTTTCTATTTATGCCCTATATTTCCTGTCTATATCATCTATGTCCTATTTATATTTCCTCTTTGTCCTGTCTATGTTTAAAACAAATTTATATGTCCTTAATATGTCCTCTTTTTCATATATACGTCCTAATTATGTCAAATTTGTCCTATATATGTACTCTATGTCCTATCCATGTCCTTATGTCCTATGTGTGTCCTCTATATGTCTTATAGATGTCTTCAATGCCAATTGTCTATGTCCTATGTATGTCCTAGGATGGTGCTGTGATGGGTAGAACCAAGTCCTGGCATGGAAAATCCACCAAACTCAAGAAATCTCCTGTTCCCCTGGAGTAAAACACAATTAAATCTACCTCATTAAATGTAAAAGGGTCTGTTCAGGAATTTGAAACTATGATATCAGTTGACTTTTTTGATCAGTTGATTAGAGGCCGCAGTTACAGAATTTAAACCGTGTCGCTGAACCGCCGGTTCCAATTGAGTGTCGGCTCAAATATCGAAACACGTTGTATACAATTTCAAGCGGAACTAACCAATGTTTGAGCCGCGTCTCAAATTTGATATGCTGCTAAAATTCTTTAAACTTGGCCTCAGAAGTTGTTTTAGAAGGGGTACTGGATAAACGTCTATATATGGATCTCAAAAGATTTTGTATTATTCAAATTAGTTTTGTACATAGTACAATGTGTACTTTACACTGTACTCTGTACACTGTATACTGTACACTGCAAATTATAACCTCTCATTTAGCAATTCCAAATACATTCCGCTCATTGTATAAATACAAAGAGAATAGAATATATATTTGAGGGGAAATTAGAGAATCTCTCGGTATGAATTTTTTCAGTCCCTTTCTGCCTGAAAGGGAGTTCAAAGTGTACAAATCATGTAAATGTTCACAAATTATATGCAGTAGAGTACATTAATACAGTATGTTCCCTAGACTATCCATTTCAATTTCGAATTTTTAAAAGCTGTTAAATAAACTTTATAACGAATTAGATAAATAAAAAACATCATTTGATTTATAGTTATAACGGAAAATCATCGTTTGTAAAGTGAAAGGCATAGAGTCTATGTGAAATGATCATTTGTCAATTATGAAACCATTGGTTCTTATTAATTTTAGATTTTCTATAAAATGATATTCCAGGGCCCAAAAGGTTATATAGCATAAATATGTGAAGTACACCTGCAGTATGGAAACAGTACAACAAATTGGCCGTTTCACAGTGCACTTTTTTCTAGTAAATTCCCCTCTAGTATATATTCTATTCTCTTTGTATAAATAAGTTGATAATTATTCTTTTTTTATAAGATGTAATCTCAATGGGGAAAATAGCTTTTTCTACTACATTTTTCAACTACATTTTTCAACTACATTTTTCAACTACATTTTTCAACTACACTTTTTTTGTTTAAAAACTTGAAAAACAAAAAAATTAAACTTTGACACTTCTTGTTAGTAGACAAATTAGTAATTTTTAATAAGAATGTATTTGAAATATTTAAAGATTTTAAAAGTTAGAATAAGTAGTTTTTATTGCACAATAAAATGTAATTTAACCATATATTTTTAAGACAACAGCCTAGTAAAAAAACATGTTTAAGATGCATAATTTATAATCAAATATGCTTATAAGTTGTATCCCCAATTTCAACTACATTTTTAAAGATGTAAATTTTACTGCTCAAAATTGTATTTTTTAATGAAAATTTTAATCCAATTATATTAGATAAGGTAATTTTGTGATAAAAAAATGTAAAAAAGTTTTCTGCTTGCTAGTTAATAAGTGCGAAAAGTTCCAGTTCAAATTTTACCTAAAATTATTTCCTGTGAACTGTGAGCTGTCCCATAAATTATTGCTTTTTACACTTCAAACAAATATAAAATTTGTTTTTACAAATATAAAAAATGTCCGTTATATATAAACAATATTCCACACTGTAAATATTTCCAATTTTCTCTTTCAAACTAGATAAGGCAAAGTATATCAAGAGCATTCCAGTTTTCCTAATTCAGGGGAGAGCAGTTTAAATTCTTAAACATAAAAAAATGAAAATGTTGATTGTCATTTTTTTGTTTGTTCTTAGAGTCTGAATTTATTTCCCCTGCTTACAAACTTATTCGATTATTTGAAAAATAATTCAGGACTTATTGATAATAATTCGGGACTTTTTGATAATAATTCATGACTTATTGATAATAATTCAGGACTTATTGATAATAATTAAGTTACAGGAATGGTTGAGATATAAGGCATCTGAACGTATTTGCTCAATTAAGGATAATTTCAAGTATTTTTCAAGACTTTCTGAATTCAGATCTTGTAGCGCTCACAAAACATTAAGTAAATAAGAGTAATTTGAAGATTTGTTATAGTATTATTAAAAACTAATTTAAAAAATAACTTAATATAATCTTTTACATACATTTATAGTATTCATTCAGACATTGTTATAATTTAAATATTGCAAATAAATCTATTCTATACCTCTACATCAATTTTATAATCTTGAAACCATTTAAAAAAAACATTTATCAGAGTGAAGAGCTTTCAAAAAAAGAAACAATTTTACAACTGTAGAAAAATCATGAATTTTAGAAATAATAAATTCATTAGAGAGAGTCTGAGTAGCCCTGTAAGTCATCATCTAACTATCTATCTATCCATCTATCCGGATTGTTTTGCTTGAAAGCTCATATTGAAGCAAAAGCTATTTAGAAAATAGGTTCCATTATCAGGGCTATTGAGCTTCCAAACATACAGGATTACCCGCATAGAGTAAGACTTCAAAGACGACTGTTAAAATTCCGCTTTATTATTTTGACCCCCTGTACTTGTATGTTGTTCCTTAGACAAATCATGAAAACAATATTAAAACCAAAAAAACAGCCCTACGCAGAAATTTTTTTAAAGAATTTTTTGTCGTCATTTTTGTCACATTAATTATTACTTTAGAGCCTGTAAAATTCACTGGATAACAAAATGTACAGTGGGGACCAGAAAACTCTGGAATTGGAAGACAACTTTAAGACTCAATTAATGGCAGCAATTTTGCAGTGTGAACAGACCTATTTCGATTGATAAGTTACTATAGTAAAACTATTTGTTTTGTAGCAAAATCTAGTACACATAATTGTTCCTGCAATGTCGTCTTCCTATTCCTCAGTTTTCTGGTTCTCTCTTGTCATTGTATAGTCTTGGTTAAAAAAAACGTCCAATATCGGAAGCAAAGGAATTCTACTAGAAAATTGGCTGTTCTGTAAACTGTAGACTATATCCCGATTATACAATAAACATAAAAACAGACATTTGTGATATGATTGGATTCTTCAATAACTACACCCACCCCCCTATCTCGTACTCCCCCCACCCCCTCCACTTCTTGTCCCCTTTCAACACAAGAATTGCAGAGCAGGAAAAGTGAGAGGGGAAAGGGGGGAACAAAATAGAAAGAAGAAAAGAAAAGGGAAAATGTGGAAGAAAATTAAGGGATTGGAAAGAGTAAAAAAAAAAAGAAAAAAGAGATATAAAACCATCCAAAGGGAAGGATGATGGGTAAAAAGAAAGTGATGGAAAAACTCTAAAGGTTGGAATGGAGAGAGAAGGAAAGGAAATAGCACTAGACAAAAGTGAACACAACTAAGAATGTGAAGCACAAACGAGGGCTAAGGCTCCAGGGGGGGGAGAAGTAAAGAAAACTGAACTGAAAAAATAAGGAAAGAGAAGGGAGGGGGATGAACAAAGGGATAATAGTTGGGAGTAATAAGATACGATGGGAAGAAAGAGAATACCACTAGATGGAAAACCACTTGATCTGAAATCAGAAGTTGATCGAAGAAGTGTACGCCAGCAGTTAAAGCTACAAGTTAGTTTAGCATGTTTAAATTACGAAGAAACTCTTATTTTCATCTTCCCTTTTCAATTCTTCCTTTCATTTTTTTTTTGCTCTCTTCCTTCTTTCTCCTTATTTTTTCTTTTTTCTTCTTCTTTCTTCTTCTTCCTTCTTCTTTCTTCTTCTTTCTTCTTCTTTCTTCTTCTTTCTTCTTCTTTCTTCTTCTTTCTTCTTCTTTCTTCTTCTTTCTTCTTCTTTCTTCTTCTTTCTTATTCTTTCTTCTTCTTTCTTCTTCTTTCTTCTTCTTTCTTCTTTTTTCTACGCTACAATAGTACATATTTGCCTATTTTGAACAAGTGTCTGAGACTACAGATGTACACAATGTTCCCAGTTTTTTTTATCAACTCATGAATTTCGCTTAAGTGGGTTATGAACATCTGGTATTTTTCCGTATACCCCGTACCCCACCCTAACTTATTTGTATAACAAAACAAAGATTATGAAAAGAATTAGAATGAAAAATCTGAAGCTACCTAACATTTTTTTCTTTCGCATGAAAAGGGAAACATTATACTATTCGTATAGAAAGAACGAGATGTGCAATAATGTGATTTATTGAATCAATTTGAACCTGATAAAATCAAATTCCAACCAATTTAATTCAATATAAATTAGATCCTCAATATCGTTCTATATTTAAACAGACTGAAAACAAGATAGTGACCAATTCTGAAATTTTATAATTTTCTACATCTATTCGAAATCTTTATACTTATATTCATATGGATGAACGTAGATTGTAGATTTAAACCTACATTTCCCCTTTATATCTTTTCCTACGGAGAGCCTAGATTCTAAGTCCATTTTCACTTTTCATTCCTGCTTAATATTCTTTACATTTCCTTCACATTTCCTTTTCCCAATCTTAAACTAGGGGCTAGGGGAGGGAGATAAAGTAGGGGGGGTAAGAAAGAGGGGAGGGAGGGTATGGAGATGGGAGAGAGAGGGAAGGATGGCAGGTGTAGTTAGAAAAAAGAAGAAAATAGGGTGATAAACTACACTATACCTTCAAGGAATTATATTTTCATTTATTTAAATATAATTTTTATTAATAAATGAAAATTTAACATTAAATTCTTTAGTTTTAGAATAAGTCCACATTTTAAATATTAGCAAAAAAATATGAAAGTTTACAAGACGAAAAAGACCAATTAAAAAAATAATAATAAGTTAGAATTAGGAATAAAAAACGCAAAGTCTCCTGGAAGTAAAATTAAAAATAATATGGAAAAAAAACATTTATCAAAAACATCTAAAGTTTTGCATGCCATTTTTTTTATCTAACTCAATAAACAAAAACTGTTTATGACAATTTTTTTTTATTGCAGAGTACGATGAAAAACGGCAACTTGAAAAGGAGAAGTTGAAAGCTTAAATTGCTGCTAAAAGCGCCCTTAAATCCTAGTAATGTTCAAGGAGAGTAAGATTGCAGTTGAAGTACACTATTAAAAAGTGTAAATTATTACAAGAGATAGAGCATTGAAAGCCATGTTTCTTAAAGAGACACTCTGAGTTTCAATTAACCCATGAAAGGGCCCTTTCAAATTTTGTTTTTGAAATTGATAATCTACATTCGCTTTCTTTGTTAAAGTCATTTTCAGGGACAAAGAAAGAATTTGTCAGAATTTCTATTTCGAAATGAAAAAATAAAAGAGGATAAGTAAAGAAATCCATAGTCTTTGCAGCTGATTTACATATGGATTGGATTATACGATTTGAATATTACGATATATAGATCTTCCCGCCTTTAGAATTAGATTGGTCATGAGTACTCACTAAGCATGTGATTGATCAGATTAGAGGTTACTGGATGTTTGAAATTACTGTGATAGTGATATGCACATTCGCTTTTTTTCAATTCCTTTATATATCTTCATTAACGACTCTTTTTGTTTTGTTTTTGTCAGTCGTTTGTACTTTTTTCAGTCCTTCAGTAAATTGTTTGGTTAAAATAAATTGTTTCTGCATTTTTTTAAAGTTTGTTAAAAAAAGAACAAAAAAATTAAAATTGTTTGTTTATTTTTTTATGGTTTGTTTTCAAAAAATTTTTTTTTTAAGTTTCTTAGCTAAATCCAAATTGTTCTTCAATTTTTCTGAACTACGCAATTACTAACGAAAAATTTTTTCGTTTAAAAATTCAGAAATACGACGCTCATCTGTATGTGCAGTCTCTTTAAATTGCGTGTTTGGTTGAATCTTTTAATGACAATGATTCAATTGCCATTATATCTAAGTGCACTGAATTTCTTTTATCAGGACTTAGGATATTATGTTTTATTACTTTTATTTCTTTAAATGTGAAGGGGTCCACTTTCAGAACATTATAAAGCAGAGATACCATATTTATTAAAATAGTTTTAGATCAAAGCAAAAAATATGATGTGAGTGATAGTTCAAAGTGTTTTAACACTTTATAAGTTGTAAGATTGTTGTTAATCTATATAGTTACAACGTTACAGTTGAGGTTACATGTGTTTTCTAAAACGGGAAACTCTTTTTGTTGCAATCTTTTTGACTTCAGCTAAATCATGCCCTACACCAGGTAAAATATCCATTTTGTGCTTCTAAAGTAAACAATGTACATAGAGTTGGATAATATTAATACCATCAACAAATAAAAGTATTAATGCATATTCAGAAAAAAACTTAACCCTAAACAGACTTTTCGCCCAACCCTCTTGTTTTTTGCCCTAGCACTCTCATTTTTAACACTGTCACAGTAAAATATTTGAAATTTTCATGAATAGAAATTTAAATTTTTTAATGCATAGGGTAAGGTACAGGGCGGAAAAAGTCCAGTTTGTGTAAAAATAAAAATCTAAAATAGCCGATAACTTTTTTTATGACTAAAGCTTAAGATCTAAAAACTTTGTTTTTAAAAAGAACTCAAAAAATGGATGTAATAAATATTTGTCACAAATTGATATTTGTTTTAAAAAAAGAAAAAATTTCATTTTTCCCACCCTTTTTTGTTGGTATTTTTTTCAACCCTCCCTATTAGAGTTATCAGTCAATTGGGCATTTAAATGCAAATAGAACAATAGTAAATGGATTTGAAAAGTGATAATAATGCTGCTTTACATTCTTACAATGCTTGCTTTAGATGCGGTGTATACTCCTCCTCCACCACCTTCTGATGGTTACAGGGGGGGAAGTTGTAAGTAAGTTATACATAGGTTGATTTATATCCTGAGCTAAGAGTGTACTTTTAAAGGAGAAAAAAATAAGAAATCCTTTAATTTCATTTACAGGTACAGGTATAATATTTAAATATGAGTGAAAGAGTGAAAGAGAAGGAATGCATATATGAACTGCTGTTTAAAAAAATTATGAATAATTATCAAAAGTAAAAAAAAGAAGTATCATTTGCCCCATTATAAAAAACCAACATATGCATGATAATGTATATCCTCATAAAATATGAAGATTTTATAGAAAAAAATTATTGAAAGCAATTGTAAGAAGATGTATAATTTATCATTATCTAAATTTTATTTTTATTTTCGCTTTATGTCTTCTGGACATCCCAGCCGTGTATTTATTTATATACCTATAATACTGACTGCTCATTTAAGCATTGTCCTGATATACTTTCTAGAATTCCAAATGAGTGTGGTGCGCAGCAGATCTGCACCAAGATTGGTATTTGTCAAACTCCTGACTGTTCAACAGATGCAGATTGTGAGGCTAAAACAGATCATCCTGTAAAGTATGTTTTATAGCAATTTGTTTTGTCTTCAATAAACTGATAAAACTATTAAGATGTGAATGTGATGGGATTAAATCTGTTTGTGTTCCTCAACTCTGCAATAGTAATGATAATTGCACAAGGCTCGGTGAAGGGTATAAATGCTATATGAATCAATGTAAACCTACCTATGGGAATTGTAGTAGCACCTGTCAGTGTGTTGGTATGTACGGACTACAACAAGGAGAAGGTATATGTGAGGAAAACAACTGTTTCTGCAGGTAAGAAACAGTTTTGGGTACTTTGCTATCATATTTCCATTAACTATGAATATTGTAAACTCAACATTTTCAGAACTCCTCACTTATCAGAATGCATGTCAATTGGAACATTCAGTAGTCCACACAGTACAGAAGCTACTAGTCCACCAGAAACAGAAGCTACTAGTCCACCAAGAACAGAAGCTACTAGCCCACCAGGAACAGAAGTTACTAGTCCAACAGGAACTGAAGCCACTATTCCACCAGGAACACAAGCTACTAGTCCACCAGGAACAGAAACCACTAATCCACCAGGAACAGAAGCTACTAGCCCACCAGGAACAGAAGTAACTAGTCCACCAGGAACACAAACTACTAGTTTTTCAGGAACAGAAGCTACTAGTCCACCAGGAACAGAAGTAACTAGTCCACCAGGAACACAAACCTCTAGTTCACCAGGAACACAAACCTCTAGTCCACCAAGAACATATGCTACAAGTCCAGCAGGAACAGAAGCTACTAATCCATCAGGAACAAAATCCACTAGTCCATTGGGAACAGAAGCTACAATTCTGCAAGGAACAGAAGTCACGAGTCCACCAGGAACAGAAATTACTAGTACACTTGGAACAAAAGCTACTAGTCCACCAGGAACAGAAGCTACTAGTCCACCAGGAACAGAATCCACTAGTCCACTGGGAACAGAGGCTTCAATTCCACCAGGAACAGAAACTACTAGTCCATTAGAAACAGAGACTAGTACACCAGAATCACAATATACTAGTTCACCAGAAACAGAAGCTACTAGCCCACTAGGATCACAATATACTAGTCCACCAGGAACAGAAGCTGCTAGCTCAGCAGGAACTGAAGCCACTAGCCCGCCAGTCACAGAAGCTGCAAGTCCTCAAGCAACACAATATACTAGTTCACTAGGAACACAATATACTAGTCCACCAGGAACACAATATACTATTCCACCAGGAACACAATATACTAGTCCACCAGAAACAGAAGCTACAAGTCCACCAGGAACACAATATACTAGTCCACCAGTATCACAATATACTAGTCCACCAGGAACACAATATACTAGTCCACCAGAAACAGAAGCTACTAGTCCACCAGGAACAGAAGCCTCTACCTCACCAGGAACACAATATATTAGTTCACCAGGAACACAATATATTAGTTCACCAGGAACACAATATATTATTCCTCCAGAAGCACAATATACTAGTCAACCCGGATCACAGTTTACAATTTATGGACCTGATACTTGTATAATTCCTCCTTTTCAAGGTTATGGAACTCTAAATGATACTTGTAGGTAATTATTTGCAAACTTTTCTTGCTTATTGAGTGTGTGACCTTTGTTTGGAATTGAACTAAGTCTTTGATCTTGGCCAGGCACATTTGAGCTTTTTTTAAGGCATTTGATAACGATTAATTTATTTAACAGAATTGACTCTAAATGATACTTGTAGGTGAGTATCTCCAAACTTTCTTTGATTTCTTAGTGTGTGATCTTTGTTTGGAATTATCTAAGGCTTTCCCCTAGGGCATGGATATTTGAACTTTTTTCAAAGCATTTGATAAAAATTAATTTTATAAACAGAAAGGACAGTCTAAATCAAGTTGCCATTTACTTTTAACTAAGAACGGAACTTAGTTACTGATCTCAGTTTTTTTAACAGCCTTATTATCGTCTGTTACTGGAAATTTGAGGCGCTTCACGCCCTTCTTTCTAGGCTTTTAGGGCGCTTCGCGTCCATCTTCTATTTAAATTGTGAACATGTTATTTCTGTTTACACTTTAAAACTAAGAAGAAAAATTTAACTTTAAAAAAAATTCGCAGATTTTCAAGAACTTAAATTTTTGATGTGGTCACAAAAAATTTGGGTCCCATTGGTCCAGCGGTTTTGACGTTTCTTGGATACAAACAAACAAACAGACAGACAAACAGACACCCAAGATAAATTCATATATAGAAGCTTTAAATAACCTTTATTTCCAAGATTTGTAAAAATGAAACAAAAATATATATTTCAGTGTTCAAAGTGCTTGTAATCAGTTTTCTGACTTTGTGTGCTCTATGGACAATGGAACTAATGTGGGTTTCTGCAAACAGGTAGACATTTTTTGTAGGGTTTTCACCTGCAATTCTACTGTGTAGAAATGTGAGGATTTGCATGGGTTCATGCAGAATTGCATGGAATTGTGCAAAATTGTTTAGAATTGTGCAGAATGGCATGGCATTATGTGGGATTAAAAGGCCTACAATTGTGTGCAAGTAAATTCCACTCGTGTTGTAAACCCTAAAATGTATGTGAAATTTTGAAACAGTTTCTGTATTCTTACAAAACTATTTAGAAAGTACAATGTAGCAAACATAGATAATTTTCTGTGTACTTCCTATTAGGTGACAACATTTATCAACCCTATCCCTGTTGGAGTGGGTTGGGACTTCTCCTCCATTTATATGGTCTTTAAACTTAGTATGCCTTTCACTTGTGAGCTCAAAAGGTAGGTCTGGTCTGTGTCACAAACCCCCCTCCCCCCCCAAAAAAAAACATGAAATCTTTTTCATAAATAATTTCCATTAAAGCATCTCAGCATGCAAACTAATTGGTTTTAGACTGCACATACTTTTGTTATATTGAGTGAATATATTTACAATTCAATTAAATGTGACCTCCATTTTAATTTCTTTGCTAGATACCTTGCACAACAGATGCAGATTGTTATCAAGGATCATCTTTTCCAATGGAATGTGGTGGAAGTTACTGTAGGTAATTTAAACTAGAATATAGATGACTTTATTACCTATGTTTAAAAGGTTAGATATGTCTAAACTTATCATGCTGTAATATCTAACATTGTAATACACTCATATTTTATGCAAAAAGCAAGATTCAAGTGTTATGTGTATGGAAAGGCTGTTGAGGATGATAAAAACACTTGAAAACCCGAACCAAATTCATCATGATTTTTTTTATTCTGGGCCTATCTTTCTACCATAAAACAAAACAAATATATGTTCCCTATAGCTGGGAAACTGCTAAAAAATTTTGTGAACACTTATATTTTTTTATTTTTATTCTTTTTATACTGGCAACACCAAGCCTTCTAGCTGGTTCCATATAAAATTATTAATTAACAAAATAAAATTGATTGGGAAAAAATTTTTAAACCATATTCAATTGATTACATAAATGATCATCAGAGGAGCCATTCTTTTCTAGGAAGAAAGATTGTTCCAACACAGATTGTCCAATGGGATATGGTTGCTACAGTGATGGACAATGTAAAAAGGTAAAGATCAAACTTTTCAAGAAATTATTGCTTTTAAATGTTTGCAGATTTGTCCTGTAGCATTGATGGATTTTTAAAATTTGATTAAATCATCATTTTCTTAAGGCTTATTTTTTCAATTTTGACATTCCATAAAAATGTTGGATATCACAAAAATGTTTGCCAATTGGTTTAGCATATTGAGATTTATTGTTTATAAACAAACAAACAGATTAAATGGATTTTAAAATTGAATTGTTGAATGAAAGAAAATTTCAAATCAACAATTTTTGCAGATTTTAGGAGAATGTAATTTTCTTTGTGATTGTGGGGAATGTCCAGATGTAAGTTAAATAAATTTTATTTTGAAAACTAAAAAAGCATACTTGTTTCCATTTTAGTTAGATTGTTATAAAAACCAATGCTTTTGCATTAATGATTATGATGACTGTGGAATACCTGCAGGATTACCAAAGTAGGTCAAAATAAAATATATAAATGAAAAATAATTAGTTTTATTTATAAATATTTTTATTTAGTCCTCCAGTTGAAGGTTTCATTGTTCCTAAAATAGTTCATGAACAATGTTTTGTTGGTAAGTGAAACATTATTACAGAAAAAAAACTTAATTAAAGACAAAAGCTAAAAATGAAATAAGAATATAACACAAACCCAATTATTTTCAGCTGAGTGTCCAGTTGGTTGGGTGAAAACAAATGTTGGCTGTTACAACCTAATTTCAGAGCCCTCCTCTTTTGAAGATGCTAAATCCCGCTGTGAATCACAGGTTTTTTGTTAATAGAGAGGCAGCTTAAATGTTTTGTTTTTAATATAAATAGTGTTTTATTTCTTCATCAATAAATAAAAAATATTTTTCAAACTTCCTCAAAACCATAAGTATCTTCAATTTGAATACAAAAGCTGTATATTTCATTGTCAAAGAAGAAAGAATATAGTTGTGAAAGGAAAATACATGAGTAAATAAAGTTCTAAATATTAGAATGGGTATCTTGCTAAAGTTGATTCCAAAAAGGAGATGGAAGAATTACTCAGTTATGTTCTTATGGGAGATATTGAGGTTAGTAGTTAGCAAAATTGGTTAGTGGTTAGATAAATAATAATTCTTGTTTTACAGTTGGTTATTAAAAAGAAAAAATTTATTTTTAAATAATCATAATTGCTTGCAGGGTGACTTAAAAATAATGCTTATAGCCTCTTGGAGTGATTTTTTTTAATAATAAAAAGTTGTGGGAAGTTAAAGTTGTTAGAAATTTGAGTTGCCAAGACAAACAAAACCATAAATTACATTAACTACACATTTAAATAATTCATGAAATTTGTAAAGGCTGTTTTTTAGGCATGGATTGGACTAACAAACATAGATGGTGTTGTTAGTTGGTTGGTTGACTCTACGCCTTGCTTCTACTCTCCCATTACTTACATAAGGTAATTTTTTAAAACATTCTTACAGTCCAAACCAATATATGTAATATTGATTTTTTATATAAAATAAACAACTAGAAATTGTTGTTTTGTTACCCTTCTAACAATCAATCTATTACTTTTGTAAAAAATATTGTTTCCATTTTTTTATGTATCAATTCAATTACATAACTGTTTTGAATATCTTCCTCAATAGTCAAAATGTATGTTTTTTAAATACTTATATGACAGTTCATAGAAATGGTTTTAGAACATCTTTTTAATGCAAAGTTAATCCAAATAATTGGCAAAATCTAGCCAATATTTCTTATATTAATGTTTAGGATTGAGCCTGACCCATTAAAGAGCTGTGTTCAAACAATCAGCACCAACTGGCAAAACTCTGTTTGTACAAGTTTGCTGCCTGGACTTTGTGAAATTAATCCAAGCAACAAATACAAAAAAACTAGTTCACTTGGAACAGAAGCTACTAGTCCATTGGTCACAGAAGCTACTAGTCCACCAGGAACAGAAGCTACCAGTACATTTACTAGTCCACCAGGAACAGAAATTACTAGTCCACCAGGAACACAATATACTAGCTCACCAGGAACACAATATTCTAGTCCTTCAGAAACACCATATACTAGTCCACCCGGATCACAGTTTACAATTTATGGACCTGATACTTGTATAATTCCTCCTTTTGAAGGTTATGGAAGTGTAAATGATACTTGTAGGTAAGTATTTGCAAACTTTTCTTGTTTGTTGAGTGTGTAACCTTTGTTTGGAAATGAACTAACTGGTAGATCTTGTGCAGGCACGTTTGAGCTTTTTTCAAGGCATTTGATAACAATTAATTTAATCAACAGAATTGACAGGCTTATCAAGTAACCATTAATTTTGAACAAAGAACTGAACTTGTTAATTTTCAAAAATAATCATTTGTAAACAAAACCTTATATTTCAGCTTTTAATAATCTTTAGTTGCAGCAGGAATTGAGTCTTGGCCACAACTTTGATTTTATTATCACTATGTCTTTGCACCCAAAATTGTTAGACCTTAGATATTTTAAACTAAGAACTATGCTGGGTCAAATAATCTAAGTTGGAAATATCAAATGTTTACACAATCAGGTTGTAACAATATAGGGTTTAGAAAATTTAGGTTTGTGGCAAAGACTCAATTCTTTTGAAATAATGAAACAAAAAACCATATTTCAGTGTTCAAAGTGCTTGTAATCAGTTTTATGACCTTGTATGCACTATGGACAATGGAACTAATGTGGGTTTCTGCAAGCAGGTGAATACTTATACCACAGTTTGGAACAGTTCTCTCACACAACTATTTAATTACAATGTTATGCAGATTTAACAGTTTCGTCTGGCTGTGACTTTCAATCACAATTTAACGAATTTTGTTTTTCTCTTTATTACTTTTTTGTCCACTCATTCAAAATAAATTGATAGCAAAGCAAGAATGCCCATAGGTGTACAAATTGTTGAAAAATACACCAAAAGGTGATTGAAATCAGATAAACGAAACCAAATACATCTCAACCCTGTTAGGCTGTAAGTCCTGAGTAAAATAGCTAAGCAAACAGAATTTTCTTTATATACATCCTATTAGAAGGGAAAATTTATCAACCCCAACTCATTTATATAAAAAAAACAGTAATTACAGAAGGAGGTTTTCAGAGAGTGAACTAATGCTATAAAGTTCTATCCATATGCAGCATGATTATTTATTGTATTTTAGACTGTACATACTTTTGTAGTTTTTTTGTGAATATATGTACAATGCAATTTAATATGACCTCCGATTTAATTTCTTTACTAGATACCCTGCACAACAGATGCAGATTGTTATCAAGGCTCGTCTTTTCCAATGGAATGTGGTGGAGGTTCCTGTAGGTAACTTAACACCAGAAGTTCTGGATAGATGACTTTATCATACTATGTTAGGTTAAATAGGTCAAACTTAAAAAAAATTTTCTGTAGTAATAACATTTTAATACAGCAATATTTTTTTAAAAATAAGATTCTAGTATTATGTCTTGCTGGAAAAGCTGTTGAGAATAATAAAAACAATTAGAAAACCCAGACTAAGAATGAATAAGATACAATTAGAACTAAAATATTAGTTTTTATTAGGTTACTTCTAAATAGAATAATTGATTTACAGAAACAAAATGATCGGGTAAATATTAATAGGTTACATAAATGATGATGAGAAGCTCAATTCTTTTCTAGGAAGAAAGATTGTTCCAATACAGATTGTCCAATGGGATATGGTTGCTACAGTGATGGACAATGTAAAAAGGTAAAGGTTTGAATTTTCAAGAAATTATTGCAAGGTTGCTTTTTAATTTTTGCAGATTATTCATTAGCATTCATGGATTTTTAAAATTTGTTTTTAATCAACATTTTTTAGTGACTTATTTTTTCAATTTTGACATCCCATAAACAGATTAAAGCTGAATTGTTGAAAAAAGAGAATTTACAACACTTTTTTACAGATTTTAGGAGAATGCAATTTTCTTTGTGATTGCGGGCAATGTCCAGATGTAAGTTAAATAAATTTTATTTCTGAAAACTAAAAAAGCATATTTGTTTCCATTTTAGTTAGATTGTTATAAAAACCAATGCTTTTGCACTAATGATTATGATGACTGTGGAATACCTTCAGAATTACCAAAGTAGGTCAAAATAAAATACATAAATGAAAAATGATTAGTTTTCTATAAATATTTTTACATAGTCCTTCAGTTGAAGGTTTTTTTGTTCCTAAAATAGTTCACGACCAATGCTTTGCTGGTAAGTGAAACATTATTACAGAAACAAATCTTAATTAAAGACAAAAAATTAAAATGAAAAGGGAATATAAAGCAAACCCAATTATTTGCAGCTGAGTGTCCGGTTGGTTGGGTGAAAACAAATGTTGGTTGTTATAAGCTAATCTCAGAGCCCTCCTCTTTTGAAGATGCTAAATCCCGCTGTGAAGCACAGGTGCTTTAATGTTTTCTTTTATTAGTAATAAACAAGGGTTTCTTAACAAGCACCAACTTTTATAAATAAACAGAATAGTTTGTTTTTTATGTTTTTAACTTATAGTAGACATTTCAGCAAAAGTCAAGCCTTTTAAATCATTATAAAATAATAAATATTGTGTTAAGCAAATCACCCGAAATGAAATAGATATTTGCATTTTATTTCTTTATCATTAAATAACAAATCTCTGTCAAGCTTTCAAAAAAGATAACAGCTTCATTTTGAATACAAAAGCTATTTTAAAATAAAATAGGAAGAAGTTATAATTGCGTGTGGAAAAAAGATGAGTACAAATATCCTTTGATTTTAGAAAGGATGTCTTGTTAAAGTTGATTCCAAAAAGGAAATGGAAGAATTACTTATGTATGTTCTAGACATGGGAAATATAGAGGTGAGTAGTTAACTTAATTAAACAACATGACCCTTAATCCTGAAGCAGTCAAAAACTAGTGTATACTTCATGATTGAAAAATGTGTTTTACATTATAATTCCTTTAATTTGTGTTAACCTGTTTTTAATTCAATAATAAAGTTAATGGCTTTTGAATGCTTTAGAAGAAAGGGCCATGTAAACTTCATTTAAAACTGAACAGGACAACTCACACCAGACTAACCAGAGTGAGCAGCATTCGGTTTCTTCTATTTAAAATCAAACGTGTTTTGGTCTTTAATTCAATAATCATTTACTTTACGGATTTGTTTATGTTATACATTTTCATTCAAATGCATATGCCAACAAAAAAGTATTTATGAAAAAAGGCTAACAAATTAGGTTTAATGGGTCCAATTGTGATCAAAAGTCACAGCTTTCTGAAATATTGACAGAACCGTTAAATCCACGTGAGCTAGTCGAACAGGTCTAAAAGTAAATATGTTAACCAAAACCTTAGAATGATATCAGGGAAAGGGGAGTGAGACACCAAAAAAAGTTTATTTACTACATACTACAGAGAATTTGAAATTTTAAATGACCCTCCTTCAGTTGTAGAGTGGAGTGTCTGATTCCCAACAGTACCCTTTAAACCTTTGACTGATCAGGGATGTCGGATATATTTATCTACAGAAACTAAGCTAGTGTACAGTCCAGTTTTACAGCATTTAAAAAGCAATTTTAAAGACAAACACACGGAGTTCTCTTTCCTCAATGATTAGTCAAAGGTTACAAGAGTGCCCTTTTTATGGAGGGTCACTTAATATTATGCTTAAAGCCCCCTAATTGGAGTGTTTATTTTTAATGATAAAAGGTTGTGTTGCTAGAAATTTGGGTTACTAAGACAAACCATTCAGAAAAAAATAATCCTCGAAATTGATAATGACTGTTTTTCAGGCCTGGATTGGACTGATAAACATTAATGGTGTTACAAGTTGGTTGGTTGACTCTTCACCTCTTGATTACAGTCCCAATTCTTACATTAGGTAATTATTGAAAATATTACCTTGCCAACCAATATATATAAGGTAGACGCGTTGAATAAAGTAAACATATCTATTTAAAGCTTTGTCTGATCATATAAAAATTAAGTATATAAATGATATTATAATTTTGAGAACTGATTATTTTCAATTGCGAGTTCTCAATAATAAAGTGACTTGAGTAATTCTACGGCAGGAAAACAAATAGGAATTTTCCGAATTAAACACTTTTGAAACTAGAAGAACAACAAAATTTTCTACACTATTGATCAGATTCGGCATGCACGCATTTGAAATTACGCTTACAGTCCCTTTAAGTGCTTGCATAGTAATCATTTAAAAGCAAAGAGTCATAGGAAGGGTTCCTGAAGAAGTTTCCTTTACACTATTTATCTAGACTAGGCTTTTAGGGCGCTTTGCATCCCATATCCTGCAAACAATTTTGGTTTTTAACTGTTGCTCTGAAAGTTGGTCATTTTAAATAATTTTCAAATTCTGGCTGATTTTTCATTTTGAAGACCTAACCAATATTTCTAAAAATCAATGTCTAGAATGGAGCCTGACCCTGTAAAGACCTGTGTTCAAACGATAAGCACCAACTGGCAAAACTCTGTGTGTACAAGTTTGCTACCTGCACTGTGTGAAATTAATCCACGCAACAAATACAAAAAATAGTTAACTAATGCAAACTTTGCTAATAAAACTAATACAAATCAGATGATAGAGAGTATTCAGATTTCATCTAGTGGACGCATTCTTTGTTTTTGCTTAATAAATTTGATATTTTACGCCATCTTTTGCAAAACATGGAAATTCCTTGAATATTTTGTTTATACCACCTTATTTTAAACTCAACCTAGTCCCATTTATTTTTATAATAACCTAACTTTTAGATATAATTAAAGGTTAATTGTTGACAAAACTTTATGGAATAGTTTGAAGCTATAGTGGCACCACAGTACACACCTTACTTTTAGAAAATATTTAGATAGTCAGATAGACAGATAAATATAAAGATAGATAGATAGATATATATTTAGACATTTTGAAATATAGATAGATAGAAAGAAAGAAAGAATGAAAGATAGATATACAGATAGATATATAGCTAGATAGATAGATATATAAATATATAGAGAGATATATAGTTAGATAACTAGATAGATAAATATAAAGATAGATTAATGGATAGATAGATAGATAGATATATTTTGCTTTTCTAAGTCTAAGGTGACCGGTGGCTTTCTGTTGAGTTTCATGCAGGGGCTTGTTTTCAGAAATCCCCGGGTAACAAGAGGGGGGGGGGGGGGGGGTTGAAAGTAGAAATATATGAACAAATTCTGAAATAAAATCTAGAAAAATATTTGAATTTAAAAAGTTTTTTCGTTGATATATAAAAATCTTGTCCCCTAATGATGTTTTAACAAGGTTCGTCAGTACCTTCGTTTCTTCCATAGTTGATACACTATTGTAATGTTCAAAACCCATTTTTTAAATTTTCCCGAACCTTTTGGAATATTTTGCTTTTACACTTTATCTATTTCTGCGTATACTGAGGTATGACTTTAGATCGTTTTTAAACAAATCCCAACCCTACTCTCTAGCACTAGAATTATATCATTTTCTTCTCAATATATTTCGCCAAAAACTTTGGCATCATCAGGAGTTTGTCCTTACTCTTTTGAAGAGTATTGAATGACTGAGGTATGCATTTCACTGTGGGTGGTATATATATCATTACATCAAAATTAATTGTGTAAAACTTTGAAGATTTATGAAAACCAATCAAAATATTCTTTTTTAACAAACTTTACATCTTGGAAAGTTGTTAAGCTATATTATTGTTATCTAAAAAAAGTTGAAAATCTGCAAAAAACATCTGGTATAGTTTTGTTTTTGCGAAATCCAGTTTTAAGTTTAAATATTTGCGATATGGCAAATAAAGCGTGACACATTATAGAATCTTTAGAAACCATGCAAATTTAATTATGCCAAACTATATTTTTGCGAAGACTTTGTGCATCATCCAAAATTAAATCTGCAATTCAGAAATTTCAAGTTCAAATTTAAGCATTTTTGTTTTTTGTCAATTGGCTTTTCGTCTTTTTATTAACTATTTTATCGTTATTTAAATATTATCTATTAAAATCTTATTTTTCTTTAAAAACTTAAGGATAACATCATCATGTTTCGGAGATAAAGGGTGTCCAACGAAACATGACAGTTGGTAAATAGTTTTGAATGTCGTCTTCCGTACACTATATTACATATTAACGGCTGTTTGCAGGTTTTTTCGTTTAAACAATCTTTTGCTCAAGTATATTTTACTTTGAAATTAATCTTACCATAATATGACTCCTATAGAATATTTTTATTGTTGTCTTTGGTATTAAACAATTAAACAAATTTTGGAAGAAGACATTCTAAACTATTTACCTACTGTCATGTTTTGTGGGACACCATGTAGTCTCTTTAACGCGAGGTTGAGTGAAGAGAAAAGTGACCCTCCATGCAAAAATCGCAGTGCCCGATTCACAAGGGTACCTTTGAAACTGATAACTGATTGTTAATTAATTAGTTCATTAATATTCTTAATTTCTATGTTTAAAAGTTTTAAATTCTGATAAATCCTATCCTGCGGTAGAGAAATGTATACAAGTCACTTTTGTAGAGAAACCACACTTGAAAATAATCAGTTAATTCATCATTATTAACATTAATTATCTGTTTCATTCTTGATCGGACAGCACTGTTAACCATAGAGAATTGAATATATAGAAAGGAATTAAAAGAATCTCTCGGTATGATTTTTTTCAGTCCCTTTCAGCCTGAAATGGAGTTCAAAGTGTACAAATCATGTAAATGTTCACAAATTATATGCAGTAGAGTACATTAATACAGTATGTTCCCTAGACTATCCATTTCAATTTCGAATTTTTTAAACTGTTAAATAAACTTTATAATGAATTAGGTGAATAAAAACATCATTTGATTTATAGTTATAACGGAAAATCATCGTTTGTAAAGTGGAAGGCATAGAGTCTATGTGAAATGATCATTGGTCAATTATGAAACCAGCCTATTTCATAATTTGGTTTTCTTTTAACAATAATTTTAGATTTTCTATATAATGATATTCCAGGGCCCAACAGGTTATATAGCATAAATATGTGAAGTACACCTGCAGTATGGAAACAGTACAACAAAATGGCCGTTTTACACTTTTTTCCATTAAATTCCTCTCTATATATTCTATTCTCTATGCTTTTAACCCTATAAAGGATGGGGGAGCTGAATCTATGTATAGCCTGGGGGAGATATAGCACTTAGAGAATTGGTATAGGGTTGAATTAAATGCATGTTCATAGCCTATTTTTTTGAACACATAAATTGAAAATAGTACCAACTGCTTTAATAGTTTTGGCCTGCTAGGTAGGGTTGAAAAAAATGCCCAAAGAAGGGTAAAAAATATGTAAAAATATTTGTGTTTTTGTTTTAAACAAATATCAAAGTTAGACACATATGTTTCTACATACATTTTTAAAAATATAATTTAAAGATCTGTAGCTTTAGTCACAAAAAAGTAATGGGCTATTTTAGATTTAGATATTTTTTACACAGACTGGACTTTTTACCACCCTGTACCTTACCTAACGCATTACATAAATAATAATACATGTAAAGGAGCAAAAAGAAAAGTTTTCAAAATAAAAATGTTTTATTTTGATTTTGGCATCTTGTATTTTTTGACACCCTGACGTTTTCATCACATGTTTAGTCTTGGCAACAAGCACCTTATATTCAAACAAATACACGACCTGGACAAAATAAAATGCGCAATACTTCATAACAATGTTTTCTTTTGTTTTGAGAGGCTGAGTAGGCTTTCCTGAAAATATTACAAACTAGCTTGAAAACCCAGCTTTGACTGTAGTTTACTATTAAATGTTAACCCACATAATATAGAATCGTAAAAATCTTAAAAAGGTAAATCGGTCCAGGGTTTCCTAAGTTATGATGAGAATGTAAACAGACAAACAGAGATTTCTGCTTTATCTAAAGACAGCTTTTCTTGGAAACTAAAGTTTCGCAATAAAAGTCAACCCCAAAGAGACATTCTTCTTTGTCAAACCACTATACTTAGAATTTTAAAACAAGCTAAGAACATGCCTGAGGTTCTTCCTAGTCAAAATTTTGAATCAAATCGGTCCTTATGCCTTATGCATAGGTTTAATTGTTATGCTTGAACATCCAAACCAACAAACAAAAGGAGATTGATTCTTTTTATGAATAAATATAAGATTTCTTATTTATTTAAAGCAATTATAAATTATAATATTGTATATAGGGATGGGAAATAACCAGATTCGTTTTACAAAAACTTTTAATGTTTTAAAAAATATTATGTAGAAGTTCGCTTTTATCAAACATGCAAATTTATTATCCAAGAAGATGATATAAATATCGTTTTTAAAACGATTGCATGTTTGATAAAAGCAAACTTCTACAAAATACAATTAATTAATCTATTGGGTCTTTCTAAGATTTTCGTAAAACCTTTTAAAAGTCTAAAAATATTAAAAGTTTCTGTAAATAGAATCTAGCTATCGCCTATAGCTTTCCTAAAAACCTAAAAATCATATTCAAATTACAATGAAAATGAGTTTTTGCCAAAAAAAAAACACTTTTTTTTTCTTTTTTCTTTTTAACCAGATATCTATAGAGACATTTGATATTTGAAACAAACAAACACCATCATATTGCAAAGATATAGGGATTAGAAATATGGGTTTGTTCTGTTCCTGCACTATACACATTAATTTATAAAATATTTCTTAGATTATAAAGATATATTCATGAAAATATATGTAAGCAATGAAATTTTATTTGAATTTTGTATAAAAAAGTTAAATCAAATCATCATTCCCCAATTACACTCATAAACAAATTCTATAAAATCTACATAATAAAACAAGACATTCGTAAATATGTTCCCTATAGCCGGCCAAACGGCTGGACCGAATGGGTTAACATTTTTTGTTGACGCTAATGGAAAGCCTGGGGATGACAAAGGCTAAAAAGAATTGAATTTTTGTTTCTCAATTTTTTTTATGTTATTCAAATTTTATTTTTTACCACGGGCCCTTCAGCTAGTAGTTAATATTTGGAAGGTTTCCAGCTTCCAGGAAACATGCATTGCCTCTCGTAGGAGATAGTTTAACCCTATCCCCGCTGGGGTACTTGAAAACCAGGATACGCTGGGGGGGGGTCAATTTGACCCCCCCCTCTAAATCCCATGTTTTATGTCCAAATATGACAAATGATACATCATTAGAAAGCTCTTGTGCTCTACTTTTAGAATCTGCAAAAAAATTTGCAAATTTGCGAAAATTTCTTTTTGAGTTATGTAAAAAAAACTACAGGGGGGGTCAAATTGACCCCCCCCCCCAGCGGGAATAGGGTTAAACAAAAGCATTTCACAAACCGGGTGGAAAAAAACATTTAACGAGAATAAAATAGATGATCTGACATCATTGGAACTTTGTGATCACCGTTGGCTTTCAGTGTCCAATTGTTCTTAGCAAATAATTTCTTTTAATTGTCACAAATGGCACAAATTTTGTGTCGCACAATTACGTGGCCCGGGGAATGATCAAAATTACAAAATTACTTTTTTGTAATTGATTAATATTGTAGAAAGAGAAAAAATGCTGACAGAAAGAGCCAAGAAGAGCACCCAAAAACCCAATAATTGATACAAATATATAACTACATTTAACACATTTTTAGAAAGTCCTCTACAGTAAAAATATGCAAACAAATTTTCACAAGTACATCCTTAAACAGGTCTTGACCCAGCAAATGAAAATAGGGAAAACTATGTGCACTATTTTTAAAAAAGAAAGTTTTTAGATAATGGCGACATTTGAACAGTTCAAATTAAGTCTGCAAAAATATATAGACAAAGAAATCAGGGGAGTTTTTGCTTTGCAAATTCATTTTAAATATAATAAGCTCCATAAAATATGACCTTGGGCAGATTAAGAACAAAATTTGGAATTGAAAGAGGGGGTAAATTTTATATTTTTGAAATTTTCTTAATTTAGTTTATCCTCTCTTATATGTCGTCTGTTCTGATAAATATGATTATCTTAAGACTAGTTCTGAATTAAATTAATAGTAAGTAATTAGTCTTTTTTTAAAACTAAATATTTTTTTATTTCCGTAAAGTTATTTCTGTTAACAAAATTTACATGTAAATATTAACATGGTTACTATATACGACAATGCCATTTTTTTACAATTATATATATTAGCTATAACTTATAGCTAGTGGTATAATAAAAATGTTCCAGAGATGCTAGGAAGATTTTACGAGGGATTTAGGGTTACGGGAAAAAGAGTTTTACATATAGTAGTGGGTTATGGTACTATATCATTTTTAATAGTTAATAAGGTTCAAGCATATAGCAATCTCAATAGTTAATAAGGAATCAGGTTCAAAACAAAACGATAGGTTCACAAGGTTTAAACTCGGAATAAAAATACTATTCATTTTTCCAGGTTTCGGAAAAAGTAGAAGCGGATTTCTTGTGCCTTGTATTTGCAGTAGTAATAAAAAGAAACTTTTGACAAGGTTTAACCTATGAGGTTTACAATTTTTATTTTTTCTTTCCCATACTAAGAACTTTACCGAGTTCATTTTATCATTAATTGGCGGGAGAGCACTTTTCAGAAAAGGAAACCATGTGCGCATGAGAAAAAATAACTCCTTTAATTAGAAGAAATTTGAAATTTATAAACTGTTTAAGAAATGGATCAGTTAAATCTGTTCTTGACTGTAAAATTTGCCGGTCTACGTGATCGAGATCAAACCTTTAAATGTGCATGAGTTAACATGGAAAGTTAAACATGCACAACGGTTTACATGGCCGACTTGAGATCGGAAGGGAATAGATGGTGTTGAAGATGGAAATCTTTCTGTCCCGTTCCGACGAGGAAGTTTTCATGGGTTAGATATCAGGGCTGTGTGTCATTCCGGTACTCAGCATTCTCCTGTACAAAGATAATAAAAGTAACGTTTTTCTTTAAAAAATGTACTATCAGCTTCTTAGGTTAAATGCAGATCCATCGATTCTTGACGACCATGTTGTTGTGAGTAATTAGTCTATTCGCTATTTTATCTGTTTTACTTTTTATGAAGAATTCAAAATGTTTTCTTTATTTGTACATTCTTAATTACTGAGAAAAAAGAACTCAAAGCAAAACATTTTGTTGAAAAACTCTTTTTAAAGGAAAACAAACCAAAATTATATTTAAAAATTTTAATTTTTCATTGTATTTATTTTTCATATTTTATAAAAAAAATCAATTCAATAAAAAGGCATAAAATTCATGTTCTCATTATAACAGTGGGCCAAGGTGAAAATCAAAAGCTTAATTGATAAATCCCGAGAAAATATTTCAGACGTTTTATTACAAGAATTCCTAAATTGGAAAAATGCAAATCTGTCAAATTCCAAGGTTTTCCAAATTAGGTTAAATGTGATTCAATTCAATTCCTATTCTTTTTGTACTTTTTTGCATAAGAAACATTGTTATAATAAGTATTTATTCAAGTATAACTAATGAGGGGGAGGGGGGGGGGAATAACTTTTATTGATAAAAAAAAAATCTCAACATAAGAAATACAGTAATTTTCATTTAACACCAAAATACAAACTTTGAACATGGTGCACGTGTACCCTACGATTGATTATTAGGTTTTAGAACTAAAATGTTGGGGTCTGAAACTACACATTTACCCTATGATTTATCAAGTTTTAGAACTAAATGTCGAGGTCAGAAACTACACATTTACCCTATTATTTATTAAGTTTTAGAACTCGGGGTCAAGGATTACACATATACCCTGCTATTGATAAACCCTATTTACCCTGGGGGGGGGGGGTATGTATGCTAAAAAGTATCCATCCATGTATGCTAAAAAGTATCCATCCATCTATGCTAAAAAGTATCCATCCTTGTATGCTAAAAAGTATCCATCTATGTATGCTAAAAAGTATCCATCCATGTATGCTAAAAAGTATCCATCCTTGTATGCTAAAAAGTATCCATCTATGTATGCTAAAAAGTATCCATCCATGTATGCTAAAAAGTATCCATCCATGTATGCTAAAAAACTGGCAAAAGGAGAAAAGAGTGCAATTTCTTGGTCAAAGTCAAACACAGTTTTTTTAATATTCTACAATTTTATCCATACATCAAGAACTAACATTTCTTTAACAATCGATCGTTTCAAAAACAATATCCAATCTTTAAGACAAGGTGTTTGATTGAACATGAAACATTTCTTGATCAGATTATCTAAAAGAGTTAGACCGAGAAAAGATGGACGACTTTGCTCTAACTGAAATTTTTATCTGTTGTCAAATTTTTGCAGATTTTTATGTTTAAATTTTTGCATTTTTTAAAATGGTGTTTTTTTCAGTTATTTTTTCAATTTTGATGGTTCAAAAATTAATGGTGGACACACAATGTTTGACTGATCGATTTTACCATGTTGAGGTTAATTGAAGATACAAACAGAGAAACAAATGAAATCAATCAAATTAATATAAATGTAATTTTTCAGAGTGATCAATTTCAATTTTCTCCCACCTCACCAAGAATGGGAGGTAAGATCATGATTCATACATCAAATATTTATTTTTCGAAATTTACCTTTTTTTGTTTGCTTTAATATTCCTAATCCTTCCCGATTGGGCTATTTTTTTCTTATATATAGATTTGGGTGGGGGATGTCCCCTCCCCATGATTTTGCCCTTAGTGTTCAGATAGGGGAGTTTGATACATGCCATTTAGGACCTGTTCATTAAAAAAAAATCAGACCTCTATCTTTAAAGTTCAAAACGTAAGTCGAACAAATGTTCAATTTTTACTTTTGACAAATATTAACGTGTGACACCTGTTATTACATTCATTTTTCAAGGGTTTCCAAACACATAAATTTTAGCCCTGAAAAAGTGAAAAAGTTTTAGCGGTCCTATGTTAGCAGTTTTTAAGTTGTTTAGAAAAAAAACCACAGGGGGGGTGCCCCCCCCCCCCCCTTCAATTGTGATAGGATAAAAAGTTAAAAGTAAAAGGTTTTTATGAAACGTGTGCTTTGAAATACAAAAATTATTTTTAAAAGTAATCCAACTGTTTAGGACGAGAGACCAATAAGTACAACCGGCTTAGTGTTTGCAGTAGCCATACCGTCAGCAGAGGAAGCAGCTTCAGAAATACGTGTGTTTTTCCAAGGTAAATATAATTATATACCTAAAGGTACTGTACGCCTCGGAGTCCTTTGTAATTAGTATTTCCAACGCAAGTGGATTTCACTTGCGCGCCATTTCCGGCCCTGTTCTTTCCGCACAATTCCGCCCATTTCTGCTCAATTTGAGAATATGTGCGCGAAATTTCACACAGTTGCGCGCAATTCCACACAGTTGCGCGCAATTCCACACAGTTGCGTGCAACTCCACGCAATTTCACGTAATTCCGCGCAACGGAATTACGATTGGAAACCCTAGGTGTAATATAGAGGAATTAAGAATGCATTAATTATTTTTTTAAACAAACTTTTAAAAATAATTATTTTTAGTCGGGGTTTCCTTATAAAAGTTACTTCTTATATTCTGTTGCCGAAAAAACAGGACGAATACACAATTAAATCAATTTTTAAGCTAGAAAAATGACGATATCTTCCAATAATTAATCAGATAAAAGTTTTAAATGGCACCACTCTGAATCTTTAAATTGTTAAATGTTTAATATCAAAAATTGCTCAGAAACTGAACAAGTAGACATGTTTTACAATCTTTATTATTGTTTTGAAAAACTAGCTTCAAAAGAACAACTTTCTACCATCGTATTAAACACATTGATTTTAAAATCTTAATTCAATAATAATAATTGTAAGAGATTCAGGATTACCATCAAATGATAAGATTTTAGGAAGTTTTTTTACGTTATGGTAACATGAAGCTGTAAACCCTTTTTACGTTATGGTAACATGAAGCTGTAAACCCTTTTTACGTTATGGTAACATGAAGCTGTAAACCCTTTTTTTATTTAGTATACCGTTGAACAACTCTAATGTTATATTTAAAAATGTTTAGGTCGTCATTAAATTATCATCTTTTTAGAAAATGAGAAAAAGAGATCATATTTTCTTATTTAAAGTCAAGCACAGTTTTTTTATGATCTACATTTTTTATAAATTTATATACAGTGAGACCCATAAAACTGTAGAATAGGAAGACGAGATACAAAAACGTTTTCTTATATGTCGTCTTCTTATTCCACAGTTTCTGCGTCTTACTGTATAAATTGATTGTGATTAAGCAGTAATTTGTTTGGTTTTTAAAAGGTTCCAAATAAATCTGGAAAGTTAAACCTATTTCAATATTGTTGATACAAAACTTTTCTTTTCTATACTTTTCACCAAGGCGGAAACTCTGTATACAGAAAAAAGTTCCAAAAATTATCGTTAAAGTACGATCATTTTTTTCCTTATATTTTCTCTTAGGATAAAAGTGTTGCATAGTTTAAAAGAAAACTTAAAAAAGAAAAATCAATTTGAAACCTTTATAAACTTTATGCCTTTTAAAGTCCAATGCCCTAAAGCTCTGAAACAACCATGGATGTATAAAGTGTATTTGTTCTTGGGTTTATGAAGTAATTTAAATCAATTTCATCTGAGAGAACATTTTAAGATGAGAGATAATAGAGCAGATACTGGGGAGTAGAGGAGGAGAAAATAGAATAAAATTAGCATATATTTATCCATCCTTATACACTATCTCAAAGCTCTCTTTATTTATGTGTCAGTAGACTTACATTTAGCTTAGAACTTAAACAAATGTAGTATGTTAGCAGGGTGTTTAAAAATATACTATAAACGTATTTTCAAAAATGCTATAGTCATTCGAATTCATTTTTTATTTTATCCTTTTTTTGGAGTCAAATATACATTTTAGGAATAAAAAATATTTTTTAGCAATAATTGGCAAAATGCTATTAATTTGTGTGTGGGCTTGCAACCTTTAGATCGGGGTGTACTAGGATTATCATTTTCGTATTTGACCAAAAAAAGTCATCTATTTTAGAAGTAATCTCTAGAATTTATTTTTTTTAGTTCAAAACTTATTAAATTATTCAAACATGTTCAAGTAAGTAGTTTGTATAACACTGTCATATACATGATACTAAAATTCTTTGTTAAGAATTTGTACAGAATATCGGATACTCCNCCCCCGGAGTTTCACATCTTATTCTAAACTTTAGTAAAGTTATATGAACAAAAAGTTGGTTGTATTCTCAAGTCTACAGAACTGTCATGATCATGTCATTTCTTTTGTTCAATATGATTCAATAGTTCAATCATATCTTAAACAATTGAAAATTCAGAAAACGTACTATTTGTCCAAATTACATTTAAATAAAGAATCCAGAAAAGATTGAAAGTTTTACACATGCTTTCAGCTAAACTAGGAGAAAATATGTAGAAAACGGCATAATAGTTTAAATACAGTGGTAGGCGATAATATCATTATAATGAAGACGACTTTCGAATTGAATTTTGATTCATATAAATCTTTTAAACAGCATGGATACACAAAAATGTGGAAACAAAGAGAAGCTGTCAATTTAAAAGCTTCTCTTTAATTACTTGAAATTACTTGTAATTCGTTAAAAGCTTGCTCACAATGAAAACTTAAATAAAAAAGTCTTTTTTATTATATTGATATTACCGCTTACCACCGTAGTAATAATATTTTAATAATATTTCTTTAATATTGTTAACTCCAAAAAATGTGGAAAACTAAAATTACAAAAAATTTGCATATTTGAAAATTTCTTAACCAAACAATATTTAAATATTTGCAAAGTTTTCCAAACTTTAGTTTGCAAAAACCAAAAATATGTAAATTTTCTAAAACTTGCAGCTTTTTTACAAAGAACTTTATTTTTCAAAGAACAAAGTTTTTTCTTTTCTATTTTTCATGTTTTCATTCACAATATGTGCAATAATAGCACAAAACTTGATCTGTAGCTGGATTCACGACATGCGCAATAATATCGCAAAACTTGATCTGTAGCCGCGGATAACTTATTTGTACAAAGACATAAAGAATTATATCTTAAGAAATGATATTGATTCAAGAAAAGTTATTTTCCAGTGATAGTAGAAAAATGTGTCACATCATTGTGCTAAATATAGCTTTGAATGTGCATTTTCTCAATGGCTAATTTCTCTGATAATTAACATCATGCATATTTTTTATTGAAACTAAACTTGACGATATTAGGCCAAACTTTCAAAACATTTAACAAACATTTTTTGCGAACGGAAACCCTAATTAGTTCCCCTTTAAAAATCTTAAGCATGTGACATTGGGTCCCATAGAGAATTCATATTGGAACTCAGGGAGAGTTTCTAATTTTAGGATTACAACTTTATGCACAATAAAATATATTTTAGAAGATCCAGCAGTATTCATACAGCCGTTGTCATATATATCAATACAATAAAGACGACTTTAGATTTCAATTTTAATTTCTAACAAGCTTTGAGACATCAGAGATACACATAAACATGGAAACAAAGAGAAGAGCTGTCAATTTTTTTACTTGTAAACTTGTAATTAAAAAAAAGCTGTTAGAAATAGCATCTGGAATAGAAAAGTTGTCTTCATTGTTTTAATATAAATACCAACCACTGTGTGAAACTGAAAATAAAAATCAAGTTTGTTTTATTTTTTATTAATTTTTTCTAGAATGGATGATCAAGTGGAAATCAAACTTCCGCCAGCCTATACAGATCTTTTCAATCCAGGTACTGGTTTCTACGAGGGCTGGACAAAATATTGTTTATCAATAGAAATTTATTGAAAATTAATAGAAAATTTATTTGTGAAACCCATTTTTTTGGAAAAAAACTAATTTAATTAACCACATGTTACAGAAGATTTATTAAAAGGAGTGACTGGCAATGTATAGTGGTTGAACTGAGAATGTAGAATTCTAGAGAAAATTTCTAGGATTCATTTTTTTAGACAGATAAAACGTTTTGATGTTCTATAATAACTGAGTTTGAACGCAAAGTTAATTTTCAAAATTATCCATTTGAGTGGTGACATTTTGAGAATCGATTTTTTCAATTATTAAATAACAACGACATAAATGTAAAAAAGTTTCTACAATAAAATAATTAGTTGTTAAGGAACAGGCTGTGAAATTAAAAATTAACTCTTATCATCGAAAATCAGTAATCTTATTCAGTTATTTGTTTCTGTAATCTCTCATTGCTCACAAACATTTTCTGTAGAATTTATGGAATTTTTATTTAAAAGACGACATTTTGAAGAATTTGCAATAATCTGTGAACAAATTCAATATTCAAAATAATGATGAAAAAGAAAAAAAAGATTTGAGCATTGATTTATTAACAAATTTCTATGGAGAAATATTTCCTTAACATCTAATTAGTTTAAACTAAGTAATTATACATCATTTAAACGTTTTCTATGTCTCAAAAATTCTAAAAACATTCACTCTCTTTAAAAACGCCTAACCCAATGTCCAAAACTGAAATATCTTTTAAATAGGACACCTAAACATATGTACTATATATACTGAAACAATGGGAGGTATTCAGCAGTTTAAGAAGTAACTTTTGATTTCTTTTGGGCAGATTTTTTTCAACAGACAACATTTTTAACTGCAGGATCTGCAGACGTTTCGAGCCTGGGAACCCCACCTGCCTACTACTCCCGATCCCAGAGCGAGACTGAGGAGGGTAGTGATCAGCTGACTGCTCAACCCAGTGAAGCACAGCTGACTACAAAACCAAACCAAACTACTGAAACAACCATCCAAGCAGCCATTGAAGTTGTTAAAGAAGCCCCACAGCCAGCAAAACCACGAAAAACCTACAAGAAAATGAAAAAGCCAAGTGATAATCAGTAATATTTGACACAAGTTTGCCACAAGCTTTAATATAAAAATCATATCAAAAACAGTAAAGGAAAGCTCCAATTATTTATATTTTTTATTTCCGTTTTTTGAGCCAAGCTAAACCAATTTTAAATAATATATCTGAAAATTTACTATGTAACAATTTAGCTCTTGTTTACCAACATATCTTCTAGTTAACTGTAAAGCTTAGTGAGAGGCATTCACAGAATGAGATGAGGGTTCTCTGAGAAGATGGAGTGGGAGGGGGAGGGGAGGGGTAGCTTTCTCTGCATGCTTTATGTGTAGTATGTAGATCCCTTTTTTTATTTGTTCTTAACACCATGCATGAAGAAATTGAATCTCATTTCACTTTTTATTTTCCCATTTAATGAAGCCTTCCTTACTTTGTATAAATTATTTCCATATTTATCCAAGATCCTATCTTATGTGAAACCTATTCATGTTTGTACCAAAATGGAGATATTTATGGCAAGCAGGCCCATAAATATGCTAATAGGACTCATAATTCATCCAGCGCCTACCTTGCTCATAATTCTTGAACCAAATTCAATAACATGTTCTTAAATTATATATAAATAAAAGTAAAAGTAAAATATATATTATATAACATTTAGAAGTTATAAAATATGGAAGGTGGCTCTAAAAAACATTGGCTGATGCAAGTGCCTCAATTATAAACGATTTTTTTTTATTCAAACATAAAAATTATTTAGGAATCAAATTTAGATCAAAAACTTGTTTCCTGTTTGAAGAAAGGTTAAAGTTTGGAAAACTATCATAAACCTAAAACATTACATTATGTGTTCAGAATAAATGATGCCAGAGTCTCAGTTTTCATCAAATTATCTTTTTTTTAAACAAAATAACTTTCAACTTAAACTTTTGAATCCAGTATGTTTGTTCTACATGGTAGCATTAAAAAATCCTCATTAGCTGAAATAATTTGCAACAAAATTGCTGAACGCTGAACACTTGCACCAAAAGCTTATTCCTTATTCCAGCTATTCCTGCCGGAGGGGGGCCCTAGGGGTGGTCAATTTGACTCCCCCCCCCTTTCCTCTAACTCTAAACGTATTGATTGGTCTAAGGCTGTTGAAATTTTCTGACTTTTCCTGAATACCCATAGCCCTCCCTTTAGGTCTAAAATCAAGCTTTTATACTGAATGTCTGAGTCCTCAGGCATACTTTCTGAATTAATACTTTTTTCCTTTAACAAACAAAATGTTTGTTTTGACCAACTTTCAGTTGTCAGATTTTACATTTTTTGAAAGCCTATGACATAAGGAAACGGATTGCACAAGTTTGTAACAACAAATTTTTTAAAATTTTTCTTAGTTACACATCAGGTTGTTAAATATTTTGCCTTTTTTGCATATTTTTAAATGGCATGTTTAAGGGCTTTTCAAAAAATGTATATTTTATCATTTTTGGACAATTTTTTGCAAACATTTTTTCTAACTTGATGAACATCCGACTTGGGATACAGAGGGGGGGGGGGTCAATTTGAGAAAACTCGAAAATTATTTGAACTAGGAAGCTTAAATTTTCTGACTCGTTTAACTAACACATGCCCATAAAAGCTGGGCTGTCATACCTACTTCCTGAGTCCTCAGATACATTGCCTAAATGCCTTATTTTACCTATACCAGACTAAATCTATATTTAGAACTAAAATGTCGGGGTCAGGGGCTGAATTGATGATGAGCGCTGCTGAAGCAACCTGGGGGATGCTCATACTTGCCACCATCATCATCATCGGTAACATCATTGAGAAAGAAAAAAACAAAGAGTTTAAAGGAAGTGTTCGCGAAAACTTATGTAACTCTGTAATTTGAAAGGGATTTTTTGAATCTCTAGGAAACTTCGCATTTGTGGCAAACACTCAGTTCCTTTATTATAAATTTCCAGAAGTATTAAAAATTTTCTTTGAAAATTCTTTTTTAAGACAAAATATTTTTTATTTTCGTAAACATAGTTAGTTTTACAACATTTTACATATATTGTCACTAGTTATAAACGAAAAATGCATTTATTTTACAATATAATTTGGCTATTTTTTCATAGCTAGAATTGCAGTTAATAATATTCGTGATATATAACAATATACTATATTATTATAGCATTTTTAAGAGTAAATAAAAGATCGGGAGAAACTTCAAAATATTACTATGAGCTATAATATTATAGCTTTTATCATAGTTACCGAAGAGAGTTGCTTATCTTGTTCATTTTGCAAATCAATTTCTAAAATAATTAAATTTCATGGATCAATCCATTATTCCATTAATATATGGTACTGTTTCAGTTGTTTGTTTCTTCTGCCTTCTGCCTGTATATAAAGCCCTGCAGGCTCGCTATACACACTGGGAGGACCCAGAGAACGATCCAAGATGGAATGTAAGTTTAAAATAAAAATTATAAATTATAGGGAGGTGTTTTTTTCAATGACTTCAGATTGTCATATATTAAAATGTTCAGGTCTGACATTAAACAGTATCCATCCATGTATGCTAAAAAGTATCCATCCATGTATGCTAAAAAGTATCCATCCATCTATGCTAAAAAGTATCCATCCTTGTATGCTAAAAAGTATCCATCTTTGCATTCTCACCCCCTCCTAAAGCAAGTGTATACTTTAACCCTGATTCAAGATAAAAGACTTGAAAACAAATGGATGTAAGATGTTCCGGGAAATCTGGAAAATAGGAGAAAAAAAAAGATCATCAAGGATCTAATGGATTTGATCTCAAATAAATTCTAAAATGACAATTTTTAAAAAACCATTTGTTTAGCTTTATTTTGTACTGCATAAAAAAAAACATAAAAATTATAAACAAACTTATATCCATTAAAGTTTACAAGCAAGTTTTAGAAATGTAAGATTTTAAAGCCAAAAAGTTTTTACTTCTAAATAGTTTAATTTTTGATAAAAAAAAATATTGTATTAGTTACTGCACTTTATTTAAAAGTTATATTGAATTTCAAATACTGATAGGAAATGTAAACTTCTATTCTAGTATTTGTGAAAAATGTATTTAACTGCCTTTTGACCAACATTACCGACCTATGATTACCCCAATTAAGGGAAATTAAGTTACTTAACGTTCCTTGGGAGAGTTAAGTAAAATAAACACCCACTCTGCAAAGTGCACTCCTGTTTGCTGAGTTAATTAGCGCCTCATCCAACCAGTTCAATCGTGTGTTTGTTGTCTATTCTGAACCAATAAAAATAGTATGGCAGTAACATCTATCTTTCTGTAATTCTCATTATCCAATTAGAGACATGAATCCTTTATTTAACACTATTAGTAAATGGAAATATTTACCTCTACTGAAACTATAGTGGTGATTAACCCATGTATTTTTATAAATCTATATTGGGATCAAGAATAAAGAGAGAAGACCAAAGTTTTGATTCAAGGGGAAGGGAGAAAAATGTCAAGGTTGAAAGACTAAGATACAGAGAGAATTTATGAGTCTTTGAATAGCTCAAATCCACCTTAAATATATTGCTAGGTCCAAGGGAGGTATTATAACACTTTGTAGGTAACCTTGTTTTTTTATTATTTAAGACTTAAAAAAACGTTGTCTTGAGTACACTTCTGCTATATAAAATTAGTTATTAACTATACCAAGAGGAATAAGAGAAAAATATGGAATTATTTAATACTATTTAATGATTTCAATTTAAAATTTAAAACTGCAACTTCAGGACATAGAAGTAAGTGCAGCCTTTAAACCAATATAATATAGCTTAGCTTACTTTCCAGCTTGCATTAGAGACAATAGAAGCTGTGAATCAAAAGAGGAAAGCTTTTTGTTTTAAAGATATAATTGTTTTATGACACAAAATATAAGTTATCTTATAAAGTTTATTTATTAGTTTGTATTTTTTGGGATATTTAACCCTGATATGACACAGCTGGATAAAATAAGCACTTTGATAACATGTGTATAACTGCATGTGTACATCATATTGATCGTGTTTAAATTCACAACACAATTTATTTAAGAAAATAAAAAGTTTTTTTTTATGTTTCAGTACATATAAAACCAATCAAGTTTGTGAAACAAGAAAATGTTACTTTTATAGCAAAGATTGATTAAACTTCAGGCTCACAGCTTCCCTTTCTTTACATGACAGATGGATAGAAAGCAAAGCTGCACTTTAATGTTGTCTATATTATATTGGTAAATTGGCTTACCACTGTAGTAAAAAGTAGTATTTTAATTTTTCATTTTATACAGAAGCATCAGCTTAAACAGAAAATGTGATCATTCATTACTGAATTATTTCAATTTGGGGTACCCTCTTTTATTTTCCAAGAATTATTATTTGATGGAATATCATAATTTAAAAACATATTTAATTTGTATGAATTCTAAAAAATGCAGTTTTAGATAAAATTCACAACCCTCTGCTTAATGATGATTTACAATTTTTAAAAATAATGTTGAAAGTTTATTAATTCAAGAAAATATTATTTTTCAAGGTACACACATGTTTTTTTACATTTATCAATATTCATATCAAAGATTTAGAAGCTTTTTCTAAATATAATTCTTACTTTTTCTGCAAAATATTGAGCAAGAATTTATCAAAATTTGATTTTAAGTTCTTCCCTTTTAATCCCTATTTATTTATTTTTTGTTGCTTGGATTGATTTCACACAGTGCAGGCAGCATACTTGAGCATAGAGAGTTTTGCCAGTAGGTGCTGAATGTTTGGACACAGGCTTTTTCAGGGTCAGTTTCAATCCTAGTCAAGTAAATTTCTATTTTATTTAGGTGTAAATAAGGATGGGACATTTTTACTTTTCTAAATAACGAACTGCTTGTTTTGTTAGTGTTATAGAAAATCAAAATATTCATTTAAACAAACCACTTTTAAAAAAAGGATTCTTTTTTTTTAAAAATATCCAGAAAGTTTTTCTTATTTGTTGTTTTGTTAATGTAGGTAGGTTGTTTTTAATTTTTGACAATAATTAATGACTTTATCTTAATTAAAGGTGGTTAACAATGACCCATTGTTAATGATGACCCTTCAAATGATAAACAATCAAGTAGAGGAAATCAACCTTAGGGGTTTTCAAAATACTAAAGTAGTGTTTAGGAAAACATTTAGTGATTTTAACTCTTTAACTTTAAATGGTGATGTTCAATTACATTAATATTGAAATATTAACATGATGACATAAAAAATGTGTCTGTTAATTACAGATTTAAATTTTGGTGAAGAAAAATGAGCTTTCACAAGTATTTTTCTTTGGTTATATGCAACAAATATAAATCAACATTAAAGACTATGAATTCCTGGCAGAATTAGCAGATTCTGATTTGAACTTTTAATAATTTAAAGTAGACAATAAGTAAATGTGTGCCGACCATTTGAATAATAAAACGGAATTCTGTAATGTGGAAATACACAGAATTGTGCTGAATTTTGCTAATTTGTCTGGAAATGCATGGAATTGCTTGGAATTGTGCAGAATTATCAGGAATTGCTTGGAATAAAAAGGCTCCAAATTGCGCACAAGTAAATTTCACTTGCATTTATAGATTTTTATACTTTACCTGACATAAGCACTGGGAGAGTATTCAATAGGGGTTAAGTCAACCACCCACTTTGCAACACCATCAGTCTTTTTCAGGCCAATCCAGGTCTTAATCACAATGCTATTTTAGTTTTTTTATTAAATCAGTCAATAAAGAAGATAACAAGTTACACAAGGAATTCCTTATTACCACAAGTATTCCATTTTCTAAAACAGAACCAAGCAATTCTTCCATTTCCTTCTTTGAGTCAACTTTCGCAAGAAAACCTTTCTAAAATATAATAAATCACATCTTTAAAATCACATTAATACTATATTTTTGTTTTGGTTTCAATTTATGATTTTTCATTCATAAGACACAACTATTAAAAAAATAGAGCTCATTAAATTGACAAGTCCCCTTTGCTTATGGCTGGGCGACGTTTGATTAAATAAATTTCTTTTATTAATCAAAGAGTATGTTAATGAACAGCAAAAACAGTTAATACAATGGAGATCTTTAGTAAAACAATAATTTAAAGAAAATAAATGAAATAGAGGTAACTTTTGTATGGTTCAGTTTTTATCTAGGTACGAAAGGCTACCTGGAAAGTTTGTAAGGGTAACCATTAACAAATGGCTTGAGAAAAAGTCTGCATGTGCCCAGCCCTACCTGTGCTTTACATTTAGATACAGCATCATCAAAGGAGGAGAGTTCTGAGATTAGCTTGTAACAGCCAACACTTGTTTTCACCCAGTCACTTGGACACTCAGCTACATTAAAAAAAATAATTTAAGTTAATTTATTTTGTTGCTTCTTGATCTGAAGTTTTACTCAGTTTCAGATGTTTATTTAATTTCAGGATTAAATATAATTAGATGCTTACCAACAGAACAGTTTTCATGGGACACTTTAGGAACAGAAATACCTCCAATTGGTGGGCTGAACACAATTATAATTACAAAAATAAATTGTTGAAAAAAAAATATAGATTCTTTTATGAAATTGTCTTACTTTGGTAATCCAGAAGGTGTTCCACATGCATCTAAATCATTGGTGCAATAGCATTGATTTTTGAAACAATCTAACTAAAATGGATTACATTTACTGGGCTTTAATTTTCAAACTTAGAGCAAATATATCTTTTCCTGTATAGTCTTTATTGCTTACCCTAAGTTGGAAAGAATTTTAAGTTAAATGAAGAATATTAATTCACCTCAGGACATTCTCCACAATCACAAACAAAATCACATTTTCCTAAAATCTGTAAAAGTTATTGATTTGAAAAATTGTTTTAACCCTTCTTAATTTCTTAGGGCTAGAAATCATATTCAAAATGATTATAACAGACAAAATTATATTCAAATAATTTGTTATTATTTTTTTTAACTACCACCCATAGCCTGTACACTGCAAATATTTGCTAATGATTAACAATAATTTATAGGAAAGTATTTTATACTAATATTGGCTTGCAATATGTTACAAGGGAGTTTCGATTAGCTAATATTTAAACACATTAAACTTTACCTTTTTACATTGTCCATCACTGTAACAACCATATCCATCTGGGCAAACTGTATTGGAACAATCTTTCTTCCTGTAAAGTAGTAATTTTCATAATCATTGAAGTAGCCCAAACACTAGATTTTAACATTTTTTTATAAATTTGGTTTTGTAAATGTCTGAAAGAACCTATTCTAAAATTGTTAAAGGTTAAAGCTTTCATTAGCACTCAAATTTTGGCAAAACCTGAAAACCAATTTATAACCATAATGTAAAGCACAAGCTGAAATGTACTGTACAGTAATACAAATCAATGAATGGATTGAACCCTAAACTTGACAGTAGTGTTGTTAAAAATTGTTAGGCTCAACACTTAGGCTCCTTTACACAAAGTAATTATCATGGAAAATTGAACAGTTCCAAATCCCAAAAGTGTCTAATTTTCTTTCTCAGTGGCAGTAAAGCATTCTAAACAGCTTTGGAAAAGTTACATAAGACATTAAAATTAAAATACTCTTGTTGATACAAAATCTTATAATTAATTTGACTTAAAGTTAATAACCATCATTAACAAATATCTAATGCCTATATAAAGATATTCCAATTCACCTACAAAATCCACCTCCACATTCCATTGGAAAAGATCCTTTGATACACTCTGCATTGGTTGTACATGATAACTAAATTACATATTTCATTCGAAGATAGTTTTCTTTAACAATTTATTTTTTAAAAAAAATTTTAAGACAAAATTTTAAAAGAGCAATGAATTTTTTTTGCCAACAGTTTGTTCTACTTTTTATCTGGACTTATATCTGTTTTCTGTTCATCTCTTTTATATCTACACATTCTAGTCTCTTGTAGACAAGGGAAAAATGCATTTTGACACATATTTCTGATTCATACTATTCTTTAATTTGATATCTTGACACCAGAAATATCAAATTAAGTATATATGTCATAAGCAAGGTTTGAAAATTCTGAGGATTTCAGAATTCCACCTCTATGTTAACAAATGGGATAAGAAAGGTTAGGCTAGGAGTAGATATTTTCAACAAAAGAATTCTTGATTCTTGTAATTTCATCTTGGACACAGTGATTAAAAATACAGCCTTGTCTACACCAAGCTTTACCTTGCAACTGGCAGAGTATAAACCGGTATCAAAGTGTATGGTGCATAACCTATCAGGATTCTACTATCAATGTTTCCATTATCATTGTTTCTAGCAAGAGGAAAGGGAAAGAGAGAGAGAAACCCCTTTTTCTCTGCACTTTTATATTATTTTTTTCCTAGTAGGGTGTACTGCCACATTATTCCACACAGGGTTCTGTTCAGTGACAAGAAACTGGAGCAAGTTGTATACGAACTTGACTGTTCTGAGCTTCCTTGATGCTTGAATACTTAACATTCAATCGAAAGAATTCATGTCTTTAAGATAGAGATGTCAACGTTTTGATTTTTCTAGATTTTAGCTTTCGTTACGATAGTGTTCATCAAAAGTATAAACGTTTAAAACGTTACGTTGCACATTATGAAATTTTATGGCATAGAGTAACGTTACGTTATGAGTTATCTGCACTTGAATACCTTATACAACGTTAAGCTTTAGTAAATGTTAGTGAAAAACAGTAAGCTCCGTTACGCTTTTGAATTTCCCGTTTTAAAAAACTTTTCCAACGTTGCGTTAAAGCTGATGTATTATAACTACAATTTTTTAACGTTACACTTTCATGCAAGGTAAATATTTTCAGAGACCTAACGTTACATGTTCACTTGGCTTAAGATCTAGAAGATAACAAACGTTTTGCTTTCATAAAACGTCAATTGGGGCATAGTTCTGTACGTTAAAATGCATTTCAGTGCAAAGAATATTTTTTGTTAACGTTACGCTTTATCTTAACTTTTCCAATATAAACTCTTTTAATTACGTTTAGAAATTTTTCTAAAATGCACCTTTTCTTACGTTACGATTTATCGAAACGTTATTGTGAAAACTTTTTTGTTACACTTTTTTACAACAGACAATCAAAACTGTTTATTGGTTTTGTTTTTAAGAATGATTTGAAAAAAAATTCTATACGTTGCATTGTATTAAAATGTTCCAGCCTTAATGTTTCTTACGTTACACTTTATTAAAATAAAATTGTTTTTAAATGAGAGCATTGCAAGATTTTTTTCGTGATAATTACATTTTTTTACTCACCCTGTATGTTGCTGTTGTATTTTTAACCTTTTTAGAGATTGTGTAGAAGAATATGCATTATGCAATATAAAGATGTTATAAAATTATTATTTTTAACGATTTTTAAAATTTGTGAATGAAAGTTTTTACCATTAGACTTTCAACTCAAAGTGTTTCTTAAAGGGACTAGAGACGTAATTTCAAGTGACCTTCCATTTAAAAAAAAATTAATAATCGTCCATAGGGTTGCGATTTGACGATTTAATATTGGAGAATTCATCGTAAGGCCACAAAAAATTTATTTTTTATTTTTATGTTATACATCATTTTCTTGGAAATTCAGTGCTGAATTCAAATCTAAAAAGAGTTTTAAAAAATTGAAAATTGAGTGAGTAAGAGCTAAAAAACTCATCAAAAACATTAAAAAATTACAAAACCGGAATTTAGTACCGTTATTGGGCCATAACTTCTTCAGATTTTAATATATTTAAAAATGGTTTTCGAATCTGAATTTAGCATGAAATTTTCAAGAAAATGATGTATCATATTTATTTTTGAAAATATTTTTTTTGTGCCTTACGGTGATTTCTCCTATATTAAATTGTCAATTCGCAACCCTATGGACGATTTTGAAATTTTTTTTATTACAATATTTTTTTTTATTTAAAACGCAGCAACCTCAGGTGGGCGGCTAGCTGATTTCTAAAAAAAGTCACAAATCAATTACCCTTAATGTCCAGCATACATTTACAAGATAGGAAAACACTCCTAATTTTCAAATCATCAAAATCAGATAAAGGAATACACGTTATCATGGCCCTCTTTAAATGGGACACTTCATAAAATGAGTTAAAATTCGGCAAAGCAAACCACTTTTGTATGTGGAACAGTAGTTCTAAATTATTTTAGATTAGTTTAGGGTTAATTTTTTCTTTTTTTACGCAATGCAGACTGACCCTTTTCTTCTATCTAATAGAATTCATAGTTTGAAATATCTAAGGTCTACAACATTAGGTAGCAAAGATATAGGGATTAGAAATATAAGTTTGTGAACAACTCAATTCCTTTAGACATTCTTATCTAACAGAAGTCATAGCTTGAAATATCAAAAGTCTACAACACCAGCTTGCAGAAATGTAGAGATTAGAAAATTATAATTTGTGGCAAATTTTTAGTTCTTTTTGTGCTTTTTTATGTTACTTACAAAGTAAGTAAAAAAGCGGCATTAGCTTTAGTTTACAAACCACAATGAAAATGTTTTCAGAGTTCATGTTTGGGGTTAAAAAATAAAAAAAAATATAGTAAGACAAGTGCTAAATATTTTTAACACAAACAACGCAAAATAAAACTATTTAATAATTTTTTCTTTAAAAAAATCGATTAAAAAATCAGTTTTTTTCCATTCTAAAGTTTTATAAATATCTATTAATGAATAAAACATAACACGCATTTTCCATTTGCTAAAATATTGTTGCATTTTAGTAAGTATCTACATTTCTAAATTTTTCAACTTAAAACATGAACCATGCCAACTGAATTTATGATTTCAAGTAGTCAAATAAACCTGAACTTATTATAAAAATAATAACATATTTCTGCAACGTTGAATTTTTCATTATATTATAAGGGAAAACGTTTTAAAACGTTTTCATAAACAGTAATGCATTTTTCAGTTACACAACGTTACACTTTTTATAAGTTAAACTTTGAAATAGAAATCCTTTCGTTACGATATTCAATCAAATCACAATTAATGTTTCAAACGTTAGACTTTCAAGTTCCCCTTGGAAACAAAAAATTTCTTTACGTTATGGTCAAAAAAGTTGTAGATATTAGAAAAATAACGTTACATTTCCACAAAACGCTAACGTTAGGGGTATGTTCCTCTAACGTTAACGTTTAACGTTAACATTAGGTATGAGCTTCTCTAACGTTAACGTTTAACGTTCACGTTATATAGAATATATACAAACGTTACACATTATTGTAACGTAACGTACAAAAACGTACATTTTACGTTACGTTACACTATCGTTGACATCTCTACTTTAAGATGAGTTTGGATACTTAAGAACAGCTATTAAGGAGTAAATTTAAAGCTGCCAGCAGCAAAATCTGGATCCAGCTAGGTAAAAAACTCCATTTTCCAGTATTAACAGATTAATGAAGGTCATTAATGTTTCTTGTAGTCCATTTATTTCTTTTCCATGTGTGTACAGGGTTGTATACATAAAGAATAAGTAAGGAGATACGATTAATTCTACCACAAGTTCTGACCCCTAACCAAAAGTAAGTAGAATTCACCAATTTTAATATATATTTTAATCTTGATTTGTTATTATCAAGAGGTACAAACAAATAAAGAGCTGAAAATTTTTAACCTGTTTGCATGTACCCATATCTGTACCATTGTCCATAGAGCACACAAGGTCAGACATTGCATTGCAAGCACTTTGGACACTGAAATAGAAGTTTGTTTACATTAAAAAACCAACCTTGCTAAACAGCAATGGTTTTTTTTTTGCTTAGAAACTGCGGGAATTAAAATCAATGATAACAACCTGCAAGCATCATTAAGATTTCCTAAACTTTGAACTGCAGGAACAATGCAGGTATCATTTGGAGAGGGACTATTTCCTCTGTGAATAGGGGGAGTCTACAAACAAAATATATTATTCTGATCAACTTTTGTAAAACTCATAACTGGAATTGAAGACTTTTTTGATTAAAAAGAAAAAAAATAGTTCTTACCACCATAGTGTTTATAGCTGTTATTGATTCAGTTATAAACTGAACAAAGATATGCTTAATATCTAATTTTGAAGGAACCAATTACTAAAATCACCTGGGCTGGTGGTTTAGTTGTTGTTATATCCTCTTTTACTGGTGGAGTAATGGGATCTATTCCAGGTGGACTAGTAGTTTTTTTGCACTCAGATATGTGTCGAGTTCTATAAATCATGAACAATTTATAGTTCACATACTTAATCACTTTTTAATTAAGTTTTAAAAATAAACAAAAAAATTCTTGTAGCAGATATTTTCTGAACAAATTAGTTAAATATTTAGAATCTCTATACACATTACCCACATTACCTACAAAAACAATTTTTTTCCTCACATATTCCTTCTCCTTGTTGCAGTCCATACATGGTAACACAATCACAGGAGTCAGTGCATTTGCCATAGCGGGGTTTACATTGATTTAAATAGCATCCATAGCCTTCTCCCAGTTTGGTGCAGTTATTATTACTATCACAGAATTGATGAACACAAGAAGACATAGCTCCAAGTGTTTGACATCTAAACAGGTTATGTTACACAGACCCTGCTTTTAATTAAAAATTAAATAGTCTGAATTTACTTGACAGGATGGTCTGTTTTGGCCTCACAATCTGCATCTGTTGAACACTCAGGGGCTTCACAAATACCACTTTTAGAGCATATCTGCATGCCACCACATTCATCTGGAATTCTAAAAGGATCGGAGAAAAATTCAACAAAATGAAATTCTGGATTAAAAACCAATTCAATAACTTACTTACAACTTCCTCCAGTTGACCCAGCAAGGGGTGGAGGACTGGGTGGAGTGTATGTTACATCTGAAATCAATGCTCTAGGATTGTACCAAGGGAGTGGTCTTAATTATTTAGCTGAGGTAAAAGTCTAAAATTGTAAAAACTGTCCCTAACTTTAATTTCATGCCTATGATCATTAGGCATATTTGAAGTAATCCAAACACCCACCTAGGGTTTGTGAAATAAGTTTCAAATGATTTAATATGGGAGAAATCACTAAATATAAGCCTTAAAATATAACTTTTTAAAACTTTAAGTTGTACATAGTTTTCTTGGACATTTTATGCTGAACACAATAAACAAATAGATTAACATGTTTTACTTTTTCCTATATTTTCAATTTCTTTGATGAGCTCTAAGTGACTTCTGATTGAGAGTACAGTGGGGCCCAAAATGGATTAAAAATTATTTTTCTGATATTGAAGTGTCAGATCACAAGTACATAATCAGTTTGAAAATTTAATTAAATCACATTTTATTTTAGGCCTTATTGCAAAAACCCATGTTGGGTGGTTGGTTGATTTCTGAAAAAGTCATAAATAGTTCATGACTAATGATCATGGTTTATGGATGATAGAAACATCCCTGAATTCAAGTTTGTATAAAATCAAGATTTACTTTATCAGAACTATAAACCGCCTTTTGAAATATAATTATTCTGTATTTGTTTCCTACCTGATGGTGGGCAGGAAGTGTTAGGTAAATGACTTCCGAAAACTGAATTTACAATTAAAAGAACAAGTGCACTTTGCTGTGCTAGAAAGCACATTTAAAGTAAATTCTATCTGACCTACTATATTTCAACTTCACTCTGATTCTAAACACTGTAATTTAAAACTATGTATTTAAATATTCAATGTAATACTTTTACTCACATCATATTTTTCATTTAATTTGAAACAAATTTAAATTTTAAACTTGAAATGATGCTGATTTTTATAATATTTTAAATCAGCCACAATTTGTTGCTTTTATTTATTTCTTAGAAATATTAACCTTTCTAATCATGACACGACAGCATTTACATTTTTTTTTAAATAGGAAATTTCCCAAAAACCTAGGCATTTGGGAAATTTCCCAGATACCCAGGCATTTGGGAAATTTCCAAGATACCCAGGCATTTGGGAAATTCCCCAAATTCATGTAGGTATTTGAGGGTGGTATATTTTTAATATTTTGGAAATTTCTCAAATGACTGGATATTTGGGAAATTTCCCAGATACCCAGGCATTTGGGAAATTTCTCAGATACCCAGGTATTTGGGAAATTTCCCAGATACCCAGGCATTTGGGAAATTTCCCAGATACCCAGGCATTTGGGAAATTTCCCAGATACCCGGGCATTTGGGAAATTCCCCAAATTCCTGTAGGTATTTGAGGGTGGTATATTTTTAAGATTTTGGAAATTTCTCAAATGACTGGATATATGGGAAATTTCCCAGATATCCAGGCATTTGGGAAATTTCCCAGCTACCCAGGCATTTGGGAAATTTCCCAGATACCCGGGCATTTGGGAAATTCTTCAGTGTCATCTATCCTGGGCTTAGTGGTGTTGTTTACACCAGTGACACAGAGCCTGTTGGCCATTCCCAAGATGGCAGGCCTACAGGAAGAGATGTACTCCTGACTCATGGACGCATTTTTCCAACCAAAGAAATCTACCAGCTGCTCTGTTGTGGCCCATGCATCGGCTGCCCTGGTGGCGCTGGTCCTCCTGAAGGAATGGAAAGTGTACTCAGAAGGGTCAGATAGCTTGAGAAGAGCAGCAATCTTGTGGGGCAGCTTGAACACAGAGTTAGTGCCCATGTGCTGGGTTGTCAACTACTCAGTCTCCAAATTACGCAGTATTAGAGATTGCCTGCCTCACCTCCCAGTAGGCTGTGTCCAGCTTCTTCATCCAGAACTTCTTGAGGTCCTTAACAACAATATTATATAGAATTAAAATTTTAATAAACCACAAAAAAGTCTAGTAAAGGAATTGAGTTTTTGCCACAAATGCTTTTTTCTAATCTTTGTTCCTTAGCAACCTGACGTTGTAGACCTTTGATATGTAAAATTATGATTTCTATCAGTTCAAATAATCTAAGTTTGGCATTACAAAGGTTTAAACCTTCAGTTTGCAAAGATATATGGATTAGAACATTTAAGTTTCTGGCAAAAACTCAATTTCTTTAATTTAAACGTCAAAACAAAACAAAAAAGACTTTTCAAAACAAAAGTTAAATCTTAACATAGTGATACCTAGAAAACTCTGTAATGAAAGACAATGTCATAGCATAACTATATTTGAAGATATAATTAAATTGATACCTAGAAATCTCTGTAATGAAAGACAACGTCATAGCATAACTATATTTGAAGATATAATTAAATATTGTTACTAGACACTAATTAAAGTCATAACTTGAGTCTTAAAGTCGTCTTCCTAGTTTTCTGGTTATCATTTTTTATGGTTTATATTTTTTGTGGGGTGGGGTGGAGAGTGTGTGACACCAGTTCTTGTGAGATCACTGAAGTTAAGCACACTTGTCCACTGCCAGTAACTGGATTGGTGTCCAGGCTGGTGTTCACGGGTTCGATTCCCGTACTCCACAAAAAACCTGTGGTTTCAAAAACATCTGAAGCCGACATCTGGTTTAGCAGTTAGAAGAAATAAGCTTCAAGTGGGATTGATCCAAGTGAATGACAATGAAGAGAGGAATGGTGGACAAGCAGGGAGAGTCTATGGTTGCCAGCTATAGGTACCTGGGGGTATCCAATCCGGGCTTACAGATGTTAGGGAGCAATGAGTGTGATGTTTCCTATCAGTACGGCACCCGGGCCTCATTCCAGTATATCAGAAGGATTCCTGCACTCTATATTCTCAGGCCTAAGAAGAATCTTAGGCAGCTGGAATCTTGTCAACCCTCTTCTCAGAATGAATGAAGCGTGGATGGATGAATGTGCTGCCAGATTACAACCCCTGGTATATCAATATAAAAACCCAGAAAACACCAAACTTTCGCAATAGAAAAAATTCCGAGATTTGATCGTAACTACCCGATCATGTCCTGGGGACAAAAAAAAATCTCTTTTAAAATTTTTATATCATCACATTAAATCGCTCACCTCCTCTTCAAATATGGCAGCCTTATGCTGAATACCTCCCTCAAACCCCTTCATCCTTATTGTGATCCTGGGAAGGGTCTGAAGCTTCCAGCCGTACTTTCTCTTCATGACACTGTTGATGTAGTAGAAGTTGCCATTTTTTTCTCCAGTTTTAGATGTTTAAAATAGACAATAATAGCCTCCTCTTCAGGGTGGCCTTCCTCAAATTCAAAATCGATATTGAAGTTTTTAAAATCCTTCCAGGACTTAACATAGGCCATCCTGCTCTTGTCCTTAATCTAGGCTAAGACTTCATCATCGGCGTAGATCTTCTTTCTCTCATCCATCTTTACACTTATATGAATGTCTTCTCAGCTCANCACAAGTTTCAATTTTTTTCAATGAAGGTTAGTAGAGATAAGGACCCGGTCAATTTTGTCCGTCTCGGCATCAGTCAAAATTGACCGCCCAGTCAATTTTGTCCAAGCCGAGACGGACAAAATTGATATCCAAATTATTTGACCTATTACACACTGAAGGGAAGTAGAGTAAGGTTCAGATTTCATTTATCAGATCAATTGTTGTTTATATAATTTACAACATTATGGGTAAATGTGAAAAAAAAATCTACTCATTTTTTACGATCAAACAATTTGACTGCATCTGAACAAATTAGACCCAATAGTAGCGAACAATTATCTATATTGCCCCTCCAACTTTTTAGAAGTATTACCAACTTCCTAAATCATAACTTTATAGTTGTTTTTGATCTTTCTATTAAGTTGTCATGTATTTTATTTATTCAGACAACTGAATTGTCAAGAAAAAAAAATGAAAAAAATGAAAAATATTTTTTTTAAAAGATGGTTCTAAAGTAAATTATCATTTTTGATCAATAAGGATTCAAAGAAAAAAAGATTTTGTTAGGGCAGTATATAATAGAAGATAACCTCAGGAATTTCCGGAGAAGTATTCTGGAGAAATTCTAAGGAATTTTGTGGGGAAAAACTTCATAAAAATTCTCAGGAATTTCTCAAAACTGAGTCTCAGAACTGTGATCCCCCAAAAATCTCTCATCTTTGGGACCAATTCTGCGGAATTTCTTAAAATTTCCAAGGTTTTCAGTTACAGGAAATGATTCTCAAGAAATTCCTCGAAAATTCTTCAAAGAAAGTCACCACATTTGGAATCTGGGGAAATTCCTCACTTTTGATACTTGGGTTATGTTTATTTAAGTATTGTTCAATTAAATGATAAATCTTTTATTATTCTATATTTTATTTATCCATTGCAAATGTTACGCGAGCCATGCTGCGTGTAGAAAGTCTGCTTGTCACCCCTGTGTATTTCTGAGTTCTCCCTGAAGATCTGTACAGAATGTATTGTGAAA